TAATTATATTAATTTAGATTATTTGTGTTTGACATTAATTTGATATATTCCTTTTTCCATGTTAACAGGTTATGTTATCTTCGAGTTCATGTTGACAAGTAGTTAACTCTAACTCATTAATTTCGTATCAGATTCATATCGTATCAATGTGTCGTATTCAAAATTGTGACCATCAAGTAGTGTTGATCGTAAGTCAAATCTCATTCTTTAGACGGCTTGAGGCATATCAGCTTGAATACGCTGGTAAATTGTTTATTTTTGCTAGTAGCTAGGGAAGGGAAAGTAGGTACGGAATTCAGTATCATACCAAAAAATTGAAAAAAATGACGACGAATTAAGATCACATTACAAACCACATAGTTCTAACTTACAATTCAAAGACATTTTAAAAAGTTGAGGTCAATCTTAAGTTTGTGAGATCAATGCCAATTGACCTCATTGAATCGTTACTTCATAATTTTAGATGCACAAAGTAACTTAAGTGTCAGAGTGTTATCCATTCTCACTACTCTCTTTTTTTTTTCCCTCTATAATAGTTATGTTAAATAAAGAAGATTATATACTATCGACAATAGGTGTAACTTGTTTGATCATTTTTATCTGAGAAAGAGGCGAAATATAATCAACTTGAATTCGAGACCACTATTTAGAAGAAAATGTGAAAACAATTTAGTATTTGTCTCCAAGACAACCAATGTATTGGAGCAGATTTTTGAGGGTTTTTTTCAACAAAATAATCCATCAAAACACACACAAATGTTTGCGAATAGAGCTAGTATAATATAAAGGAAACCCCCTGCACTTTTTTTCCACCTTATGGTATGAATATACAAGTTCTCATTGTATGTCAATTTTGGGAGTTTTTCTCCAAACCCAGTCTCTCCACCATATTTATTCTCACACCAAGCCTGTTTTAAACTTATTTCTCAAATTTAATTTTTTTTAAAAAATATTATTTGAAATGACGCCTTCATGGATTAAAACGTCATTTCAAATGACGTTTTAAAACTGAATTTTTTTTATTAAAAACTTCATTCAAAATGAATTTTCAAACGACAACCTAACGGATGTTAAAAAAATTGATGGGTAAAAACGTCATTTTCAATGACGTTTTATGCGCCTTATAGTCACACCCCAAATTTCTCAAATCACAAAACCTTGTCTAAACTAAACTCATCGATTTACCCATACTCTCCACTCCACACCTTCGACGATGATCAGTCTGATGCAGGCTTTTACCGTCGACGAAGACCACTTTGGCATAGGAGTCTACCTCCGATGAAGACACTCCACCGACGAAGAACCACTCCTCTGACAAAAGATCTGATGTGGGAGAAGGAGTTCATAAAGCTGTGGAATCTCTCTTTGTTTCTGTTCATGTCCTTTGACGACTACTAAACACTACTCCGACGTATGAAGCTGAATATATACAAATATCAAGAGTCAATATATGATTATTGGATAACCTTATGAGAAAAATAATAACTCGCTTAAAAGGTCTCGTTGGTACAATGCTCTCTCTTATAGCGGATTCTTGAGAAAGACAATTGGTAGACAATCGCCTCCCAAGTCTAGAGAGGTTTTTTAAGACGGGTAAAAAACTCATGACATAACACGCACTTGCCACCTTTTCAAGTCCGATATGTAAAAATCATTATTCCACAACAAACTAATATTATTTGTATTTAATTTGGAAAATGAATTGTTGTCACCGGATTGACAATGAAACTTATTCAATACTCTCACCTATTGCTAATCGAATGACGAGAGTACATTAGGTCTCTTCATTAGTCCCAAAGTTGGTCCCCTTTTACATTACTCTTTAGTGAAAGAAAACCAACATATGGAAGAGAGAACGGAAACACTTCTCTATTTTATTCAAGGCAAAGTACATCTTACATAGCACAACCAAAACACAGCTGAAAATCATATTATGCCATAACTAGCACACATAGTTATACATCTTATCATAGCACAAGTGGTAATCTAATACATGTGTCTCCTATGATTGTGAAATCAGAAGATCGTCATGCAACAAAACCTAATGAACTTATTATGTGTGTAGAGATAATATCTCCACGACTCTTACTAAGGCATAACTAGCACATATTTCATGACAAGACTTGGGAAAATATGACTTTTGACACCAATCATATACAAAAAGTTCAAACAAAGAGAAGGGATTTCATGCCAAAGTTAAGCTCCCATAGACAAAAAGTTCCCTTGACGAAATCATTGTATCCACCCATCAACTGTAAAGTTTTGTTTGCTAGCCCGGCTCGCACATATGGATAAGTCAGTAGGTTTATCAGAGACAAGTTCACAACCTCCTGCATTTGGATTATAGACAGATATTCTTAACCTCAACTGTCCTCCTTTTAAAGCAAATATGCAACTTAGTTCGGTTACGATATTAAAAAATAATTATTTATAGTCTTATTTATCTAATATAAATATGACATGTATGAATTCTTTTATTTGATTATTTTTCATCACTTTATCATCTTTTCAATCGTTACAAATCATTCAAATTGAAATCTATAGATGTGATCAATTCTAATACAAAACCGATGACGACAACATAGTTATATCCGTTTAAGAAAAGCCTTACACAAGTTATGAGTAATTGCTTTACTGATAGATCAATTTTGTGTACAATTAGATAGCCTTTTTTTTAAAAAAAAAAGAACTTTTGTGTTTTTTAAAGTATTTTTGTTTTCTTTGTCGGGTTTGCTCATTTTTTCTAAGCTCAATCATGTATATGTTAGAACATATAACTAATTTTTATACCAAAACGGAAATAAATGATCATTTTTTTCAAATAATAATCAAAAACGCTTTTTTTTTCCTTTTTTAACTTAAATAAAAGTACAAGAAACAAACATCATTAAAACATCGTGACCAAAGAAAAGTCAAATGTACAAACTCTAATTTTGTTGCAAAAAAAAAAAAAACTATTTTTCATGACTCAACTCCATGACGTGCATGTCACAGTTGGAAAAAATTTATCTTCAAAAGTCGTAACAATCATCCTCAGCAATGTGTACTGTTCTTTTCTTTCATATATTTTTATGATTTTTTCGAGAGTTTGTTTTATTATTATAGGTGTGATATTTTCAACATTTTCACTACAAAAGCACATGAATTGAAAACCAACCAATCTTCTTAACAATGGTACTTGGAAACAACTAACTTTCTACGTTGGCGTAACTATTTCAACTAACATTCTCCCTTTTTTTTGGTAATTAACTTCTACAACCTAGGATCTGGTATACGACAACAAAGTTAAAAAATAAATAAATAAATAAAAATAAACAAATGTGAAAAAAAAAAAAAAAAATCAGCACCCAAAAACACAAGTTTGTGTGGAAAACTCAAAGATCATAAAAAAAAAAATATTGCGGAGTAACACCAAATTTACTAAGAAACGAGCAAAATACAAGGAAAAAAATATAAAAAGGATGTTGTTCTATATGTTTGTTATATTAAACAATTGCAAAAGCATCATTTTCCAAATGTGATTTAAATTTTCACCGGGGCGGGGTGTTACATGGAACGCCCACATTTTGATCCATGACTGATTACTTTGGACGTACAATACTATTAATCTTCAAACAATTTAAATCTTTGAGAGCAATGCTACATGAACTTTAATTTTTAATTGTGTGTGCATGAGAGAGAGAGAGAGAGATATTGTCATTGCCAATTTCTACTATTCACACTTCGTCTAGTCTGAAACTACCAGTCAAGCTCCCGTGTTACTAAATCATGTTTTGTGTTTTCGTCGTGCGAGGTGTTTTTAGTTTAATCACGGAAATAATCACACAAATTATATGTGTTAATATGTCTTTGTCATTGTTTTGTATCACTCAATAAATGGGTACATATAGCTGGTTCTTTGATTCTGAAAGATCATTAATAAAGATAGAATTATAGGATTGGGTTGCTATCACTTTCTAGTTTTGATCAAATAGAGACATGTACATTAAAATCATTGGGCTCCACAGGGGGTAATCGTAAATGATACATGATTCGATGCATTTAATTTTAGATGATTCAATTTGGTGGAAGTGTCCAAATAAAGGATTACAAACTTTTCTATCATGTTATGCAAGTACAACAAATCAAGTAATTGGATCATGATTGATATTTTTTTGGCAATTCTCCGTATCGAAATTTGAATCCACTGGATCATGATTCATGAATTTGGATTTAGATTTGAATTTAACAATATCCGATTCAATTTTAGCTCAATTTGAATTTTGTATAAATGCAAATGTATAATATACTTTAGGGATTATTTGATAAAATTACATTAAAATTTAGATATAATTTATTTAAATTATATCCTAATTAAGTTAATCTGATAACACCACATTTTTATAATGCGAAGTTTTTCGACCACATTTTTATGAATTAATGATTGGAACACCAAATTGCGGTGCATATATTCATTCGTAAACACGAAATTCGGGAAATGTATGTATATCTATGTCTCATTTCTTATTATTCGACTACTAAACTAATTTGTGCATTTCAGACAATCCCATTTGGATGTTCTACTTGAGATGAAATAATGAAATTCACCGACTAATTCGGCTAGAAAAAAATGGATGGGAGGGGATAGTTAAATCCCATCGAATCTAATATTTAGACCAACCCCAGCTGGAATTCAATTGATTTAGGGTTTCATAGTTTCTATGGTATTAAAGTCGACGGATATATCTTTACCAAATCCCAACTCTCTCTCTCTCTCTCTCTCCAACTAATTCATAGAATTTCTGTCTCTTGTCTTCAACCAATGCTTGGTTTTGTTTATGTCTGCTAACTAATATAGTAATTTGGAGAATGCCAACAAGCAAGAAGATCTAGAATTACTCCCACTTCTGTATTGCAAGTCACTAAGTAATTGCACAGTAAGACCCTTGTTTATATCTCCAATGTAAGCGAATCAAATTCTATGTAAGTGACAAATTATGGGTCACGAAGAAATCAACATATGAAAGAGAGCATGCCAGAGCTTCTCTATTTTATTCAAGGTAAAATACATCTTATCATGGCATAACCAGCACTATTTGAACAATCTTACCATAACATAACTAGTACATAGCTGAACATCTTATTATGGCGTAGAAGAAAGTTTGATACACGAGTCTTCTATTTGTGCAGAGTTTAGAAAGCGTAAATGTACGAAAGTCCAACTTACTTTGCGAGCAGAGATACAAATTCCATGATTCTTATTTGACACCAATCATGGTGTAAAACTCAAACAAAGATAAAGGGTTTGATGCCGAAATTGTGCCCCCAGAGGGAAAAAGTCCCTTTGACAAAATCGTAGTATCCACCCATAAGTAGCAAAGTTTTGTTCGCCAACCCATCTCGCACATATGGATAAGTAAGTAGGTTTTCCAGAGACAAGTTCACAGACTCCTGCAATCAGATTATTGATAGATATTCTCAGCCTCAACTTACTTCTCTTCTTTCAAAGCAAATAATGCAACTTACTTCTCTCATGACGTCACTATGTTTTAAGTCTCATATATCGAGTAAGTCAGTCGCAAGTAGCAGCCTCATTAAAACATTATCGACCATTTAATTTCATTTTTTATCTACCATTTAAAAACGTTTTTAAAGTATATAACAAAATTACTTTTATTTTCTTAAGTAGAAGTACTTGAAAAACATTACCAAACTTTATATCATTTTTTTATTTCACAATATATATATACTAGTTATTGTTTGTGCCTGAAGGCACATAGTAATAAAAAATGATAAACAATAAACATATTTGTATTCATATCCAAATTGAAATCACAAACATAGAAAATAGGTAAATGAATTTAAACATCGGTTTGTAGTGGAGGTGAGAGGTGGTGCGCGACAGTGATGGTGGTAAGAAACGATAATGGTTGTGGTGGGTGGCAATGACAGTGGCGGCTACAATGGTGGCGGTGATGGTGGCGGTGGCAACGGTGGTGGTGGTGGCGACGGTGATGGCATTGGTGGCGGTGGTGGTAACGGTAGTGGTTGTAGTGGCGGGGACAACGGTGGTGAGGGTAGTGGCAGTGGCGGTGGGGGCGATGGTGGTGGGGGTGGTGATGATAAAGATAGTGGTGAGGCGGTTTTAAACACTATTTTTTAAAAATATTTATAAAAAATAATTTTTAAAAGTATTTTTAAAAAGTCACTCCAAATACAACTTTAAGGAGCCTATTTTTTTGATTAAATTTAGAGTATTAATATTAGCCGTTGGATTAACTTTAAAGTAAAATTTAAAATGATCTCAACCGCGAATTGTAAAAATCATTTTGTTTATCTTTTGAGATTTAAATTGTAAACTATTTTATTATTATTATTATTATTATTATTATTATATATATATATATATATATTGTGACAACAGAAAGGAAAAGGACTCTCACCCTTTCACAAATGGCACGCTGTTCCTCATCCGATAAATTCCCAAACTCGGCCTTCACCTTGGCTTTGGCAGGCAAACCGATTTTAACCCAATCATGAATGAAGTCACTGCACATCATTATTAAATACAAGTACAACATATTACTAGTCTTCTAATATTAAAATACAAAAATTTAAAATGTTAAATTACACTAATGGCCCCTAAAGTTTGTCACTCGTGTCAATTTTGTTCCTAACATTATAATTTTCTCACTATCATCATCATCATCAGAGATTTACATGTTGCACCAATGAGTAGCTGACAAAGGGCCATGGATGGAAATTCGGTATACGCATGTGTAGCACACGTGCTATGCACATGGATTGTTTTGTCTCTAAATTAAACAATTATTAGGGTGAAGGATCAAATTGGTCCTACCTGAGAACGAGAATGAAATTGAAAAAAATTAAATTTTAAGAACCAAGGTGACACTGATAAAAAATTTGAAAAAAAAAAAACCTTAGGGACCATTGGATAAATGTTCATTGATATTTATCAGAAAAGTGATAAGCTTCCAAGCCACTATGTGTGAATTAAAGCCTTACTAAGAAGTTGTTCCATCCTCAGGAAGAGACATTAGAGCCTTTATTCCCCCACATCGACTGTGTCCAATCACCAAAATAATTTCAACCTATGGAATTTTCCCATTGTTTAAGACCCTTGTATGAAAGAGAAAACAAATAGAATGGAGAAGAAAATGTTATATATATTAGAATTTAGAGGAGTGCAAAATGACCTTGAGTTCTGCAACTGCATATTCAATGACAGCTCCAACTCCAGAATACCTAACCTGAAGTCAACTAAAATATCATTACAATGTTTCTATTAGGATCAGTGTCAATCAAGTCGTGTTGTACCATATTTATTTAGTATTATTTTTTGGTCGATTTATCTATAAATCGTATCTTTTTGAGCTTATGTCGTGTGGATTATCTTAGTGTAATATGTAATCTCGAAATTACACGACGAGGACTCTATTTTCTCCCAACAAATATCCACAACATTTAGGTTATTCTAAGTTAAAAAAAATCTAAATCATGATCACTAGCCTAGCAAAACCAAATATAAAAAAAAAACTATTTAATTCTATAACAACTCAGAAGTTACAAAAACCCAATATTTATGTATACAAAACAAGTTAAACATGTTACCTGTGTTTGACGATGATCTGACCTACTTATGACTCGTGTTAATTTGTTGGATCATTTATGGGTTGTGTCATGTCTAACTATACTTTGTTATCGTAACATGTTGAAAATTGACAATCTTAAAGTATATGATGGTGGGGAGACTAAAATATTTGTTCCTAAGATAAAAATAATTTCACACAATTTGAAGACCTGGTTGAAAGGAGGAACCAAGTTAGCAATGTTCCGGGCCATGAAGGCTTCACCTGGCCGAAAGCTTAGGATATTAGATGGACATACTCGTGAATCTGAGCATGTAAACACCAGAAACTGCAATAGAGAAATTAGCCACAAAATTCGTAAGGTAATTAAAGTAATTATCTCTAGCTTCTCTCCGACGAGTAGAAGCGTGCTTATGTCACTGAGGCTCGTGAGTCCGGATAGAGCCGAGGGCCTCCGGGTGCATGACCTAGTCCCTCAACTTATGCACGCACCAGTTAAATTAGGACTTGCGTTTCGGTGAAGATTCGAACACACACTAGAAACTTTGATACAATTCATCCAAACAATTGAAGTTCGTCCTACCAACCAATTACACCTTTTTCGCTTAGGGTACTTGAATTCTTGACCTCAAGAAGACTAAATTTTCACAAGGTAAAAAATATCATTGTATTAAAAGCCCGTTGGTTAAAATAAATTATTTTTAACTTGAATATTAATATATTATCGGGTAAAAAAAATTATTTTTTTACCCTATAATATAATAATATCCCAATTGACTGGGATTTAGAGAGGTCAAAAGTGAAAAAAGAAATAATAATTTTTTTTGGGGTCAGACACTATTATAAAGAAAAGAAGGACAATGTTTGATCCCATAGTCTAACAATAAGGGCGATTAAGCCAACCTCCTAACATCACAAAAGAAATATAATAGTTGTGAGACACAAAAGCCATACCATACCTTTGGGCTCTGTCCCTCGGCTAGTTTAGTGTAATAGTCTGGAAACTTGCTGCAAAAGAGGTCCAAATCACCAGAGAATTGGAAAAACCATTTAAGAAACATATCTTAACAGAGTTAGGATGCAATTCAATCACCTTACTCTAGGTTGAGAGGTCACTCTGGATTCTACTCAAGCCCAAGTACTATCTCAATTTAAATTGGGTTAAACATTTTTCTAATTATTCGCACCAAATATTTTAATTTGAATTGCAGTTGACCTACTCAAATTGCACCTCTACCGGGAGTGCAATTTTTCCTTTTTTCGTACCATCCCCTTAGGAGTGATGTTCTGTCAATTTTTAGAAATAATTTAATCTGATTGTGAACTAATTTGAAAATCTAATTTGAGGACCTAATTTTTTAAGACTTAAAATTAATTACAAGCAATAATATTATTTTTAAAAACTCATATCAGGTTTGAATAATGGAATCCTGAAATGAAGTCCGCTTGGCAAATTAGATTTTGGGGACATTCAATACATCTTTTTCCATAGGAGGATGTGTTTGAAGTAGAATATAATATAGTTCTATTAAAAAAACCTAATTAACCCAAAGGGTTTAACTCAAGTGGTAGTCGGCCACATGATAGGTACCTTAAGTTAGTATTTGCTCAATGGAGGGGCGAGCCACCTCCTCTAGATTTAACTCTACTGCGTGAAGAGGAGGCTTTGCTTGTAAGCCCAAGATGACTACTGGTCGCGGTTCCAAATGGGCTCGATTGATGGAGGGCTCTAGGGTTATCGAAAAAAAACCAAATAATAATATTATTATGTCATGCCAACAGTAACCTTAGGTTAAGATTTTGGATAAAATTTTAAAGTCTCAATAGTATTACCATAATCGGATATTATTCGAAGAATAATATATTTTATTTTATCTTTGGTTGTTAGGACACAACAAGTAGATTAAATAAACACAGCATACTCGAATTCATTGGTCTTGAACTGTTTGAATCCATCCTTAATCTGCTTAATCGCTTCACTTGCTCCTGGTGAATCGTTTATTATCTTCTCGAGCTCGGCCTCATCTATCTTATCCTGGACTTTTTCCTCTCTGCAAAACCATGGCAATTTCATCATTTGTTAGTAAACATATATTAATTACATGATTTGTTGACTTAGTAAACTAAATCAAAAAATTATGTTTAATGGGTATTATTGATCATAAAAATGTTTATGTCATTTCATTCAATTTAAAATTAATTGACGAGAAGTGAAGTAGCCTTCATTTAGAGTATGTGGTGGTTCAATATAGTATAAGAGTAGAAGTTATATCTTGTATTTGAATCTCGCTAATATCCTAATTGTTAAAAAATTTTCACGTGCACGACTTAAATTTCGCTCTCTAATTACTAAAATTTTTAGAATAGATTGCGATTTAACAGAGTCTTACAAGCACAAGCGAATAATATTAATGTGGGTCCGGGTGTTAAAAACTATGGGATACGAGGTGGAGGTTATGGTTGTCAGAAGTGAAATCAAGCAAAAAGCAGTTCAACTAGAAAACAGATACCACACCCTTGCGGAGTAAGGATGGGCATCCAAGGGACAGAAATATCAAGCTCAGGTCTATGAATTATATAGGGCGTACCCGGTGCATAAGGTTTTCGTTATTGCGAGATTTGAGAACGATTAGATATACACAGTCTTATTTTTACAAATAGAGAGATTATTTCACGTTTCAAACCCGTGACCAACAAGTTACGATAAAATAATTTTATCGTTCACATTTCTAAATTATATCTAATTTTAAAATTCTGAGAATTGTACAGAACTGGTGGTCTGGCAAAGTATAATAAACCTTGTCATTCCAGCAACAGCTACCTCACTTGAGCGCTCTGCCATATGTGCACTGTGGAGACAACTGAAGATGAGAAGATTTCTACACAATTTGCACTTGAACTTAAAATGAGTGTGTGCAGAGAGAGAGAGATTATATCAATAGGAACAATATAAAATCAAAACTCGATGATGGTTGAGCTAAACAACATACCGTTTATAAGGATCTTGATTTCAATGACTTGATTTTCAAATGCCACAACGCGTGGTTCCTTCCTTTATGGCTATACGTATTTATCGGCCCAGGGGCGGAGCTGTTCATGGTCCAGTGTTGGAAAGTGCCCCTAAATTTTTTATTTATTTTTATTATTTAGGTATATATATATTTTATAATGTCTCACTTGTGCTGCCCAAAATTAAAATCAAAAACAAAAACACTAGGTCCACACAAAACAATAAAAAAAAACAGAACACTAGGTCCACACAAAACAATAAAAAAAAAAACAGCTTGCCCCACTCAAAACAAAAAAAAAAAAGGTTGGCCAGTAGCCAGTAGCCAGTAGCCACCACCCATTTCCTATGATCCTATCCTGTTTTCTCTCTTTCTCTATTATGCCCAACCAGCGACAAAGAAAACCTGAGAGCAGCCTCTCTTTTCTCTCCCTCTTCTTTTTCATTGCACCCACCATTGACAACACAAGCCCACAAATTTTTTTTCTCTTCCAGCCTTCCATAGTTCTAGTAATATCCCTCTCTCTCTCTCTCTCGCTATATATATATATATATATCACTCTCTCTCTCTTCATCAACACAAACAGCACTACAGTGCAATGCACACACAACGCACACACCCCATTTCCTATCCTCTTTTCTCTCTCTCTCTCTCTCTCTCACCCAGCGACTCCTTTTCTCTCCCTCTTCTTTGTCGTTGTACCCACCACTGACAACACAGGCCCACAATTTGTTTTTCTCTTCCAGCCTTCCTGAGACGTTCCAGGTAAAACCAAACGGCTTTATATTTCAACTAACATTCTCCCTTTTTTTTTTTTTGGCACTAACTTCTATAACCTAGGATCTGATATGCGACAGATAACAAAGTTAAAAAAAAAAAAAAATCAACATGCAAGAACATAAGTTTGCATGGAAAACTCAAAAATCATAACAGACAACTATGGAGTAACATCAAATCAAATTTATTATAAAACGAGGAAATACAGAAAGATAGTAATTTGCTAAGATAATTTCCCGTAACCCTTGAATTGGAGAAATTATTGACTGTACTCTTCATCAATTATTAGAGCTGGATATTAATATGATGGTTACAATAAAATCACGTCATTATATTAGTAAACTAAATTAGATTTTTAAATCTCAATAATATAACTCATATTTGAAACTCTATCCAAACATGTTCAACTTAAGATGAAATAATGAAATTCACCAACTAATTCGGTTAGAAAAGAATGGATAGGAGGGGATAGTTAAATCCCATCCAATCTAATATTTAGACCAACCCCAGCTGTAATTCAATTGATTTAGGGTTTCACAGTTTCTTTGGTGTTTCACAGTTTCTATGATATTAAGGTTGACGGATATATCTGTTCGCCAAATCCCAACTCTCTCTCTCTCTCTCTCTCGAACTAATTCATAGCATTTCTATGTCTCTTGTCTTCAACCAATGCTTGGTTTTGTTAAGAAATATGGTTATTTTGAGAATCCCTACAAGCAAGATCTAGAATTACTCCTACTTCAGTATTGCAAGTCCCTAATTTAATTGCCCAGTAAGACCCCTTCTTTATATCTCTCATGTAAGCCGATTAAATGCTATGTAAGTGAAATTATGGGTCACAAAAGAAATCAACATATGAAAGAGAGCATGCCAGAGCTTCTCTATTTTATATTCAAGGTAAAATACATCTTATTATTGCATAACCACCACTATTTGAACTATCTTATCACAACATAACTAGTACATAGCTGAACCTCTTATTATGGAGTAGAAGAAAGTTTGAGTACACGAGTCTTCTACTCCTGCAGAGTCTTGAGAGCGTAAATGTACGAAAGTCCGACTTATTTTGTGTGCAGAGATACAAATGTCGTCATTCTTATTTGACACCAAACTTGGTGTAAAACTCAAACAAAGAGAAAGGGTTTGACGCCGAAATTGGGCACCCAGAGGGAAAAAGTTCCCTTGACAAAATCGTAGTATCCACCCATCAGTAGCAAAGCTTTGTTCGCCAATCCATCTCGCACATATGGATAAGTAAGTAGGTTTTCCAGAGACAAGTTCACAGCCTCCTGCAATCAGATTATTGACAATATTCTCAGCTTCAACTTACTTCTCTCCTTTAAAAGGAAATAATGCAACTTTTTTAAGAAAAACCTTGAGCAAATGTACGTGGTTAACGACACTATGTTATAAATCTCGTATATCGAACAAGTCTGTCACAACTCGCAAGTAACAACCTCATTAAAACATTATCGACCATTTAATATCATTTTTTATTCTTTTTCAAAAATTTTAAATAATGGTTGTTTTGGTTTTAAGCTTTTTCCTTATTTGGGTTAGCTCGTTTCTTTATTTAAAAATATGTATGATAGTTCACATATATGTATAAAAGTACATAATTTATATAATAAGATGGATGTCGATCACTTTTACAAAATAATAATCAAACATATTTTTGATTTGCTGACAAAATTACTTTTATTTTCTTAAGTAGAAGTACTTGAAAAACATTATCAAACTTTATATAACTCTTCTATTTGTTTGTGTGTTCTTTTTTTTTTTTTGTTCAACAGTGAGTAATGTCCGAGTCAGCTTAGATGCACCTTGACTAATTTTTTTCTCGGTCCAATCAGAAACAGGTCATTCATACATGGATTAAGGTATTCATGAGTGATAACGAAAAAAGACTCACCCTTTCACAAATGGCAATCTGTTCCTCAAATGGTAAATTCCCAAACTCAGCCTTCACCTTGGCCTTGGCAGGCAAACCGATTTGAACCCAATCGTCAATGAAGTCACTGCACATCAGTATTAAAGAGAAGTACAACTTATTAGTAGGCTAATGTGAAAATACAAAAAGTAAAAAATGTTAAAGTACACTAATGGTCCCTCAAGTTTGTGACTTGTGTGTCCGTTTTCTTCCTAACATCATTCTAATTTTGTAAATATCATCATCAGAGTTTTACATGCTACACCAATGTCCTCCTTTGCCCCAACAGTCATTAAAATTAAAGACGCAAAAACGCATGTGCACGTGTGACAGATAGAAATTCGGTCCACATATGTGTCGCATTCGTGCTATATATAGATATACGTATGCGTTTTCTGTCTCTAATTTGAATAATTGTTAGGATGGAAGATCAAATTGGTCCGATTTGTGAACGAGAAGCAAATTGAGAAAAATTAAATTTTAAGAATAAGAACCAAGGTGACACTCATAGAAAAAAAAATCTCTTGGGGACCATGGGATAAATGTTCATTAATATTTATCAGAAATGTTATAAATTTCTAAGCCAAGCCACAGTGTATGGATTAAAACTCACATGTACCAGGTTGCACAACAATAACTTAAAATAAAATAATAAAATGTGTGTGAATTAGCCTTACAAAGAAGTTGATCCATCTTCAGGATGAGACATTAGCCTGTTTATTCCCCCACATCGACTGTGTCCAATCACCAAAATAATTTCAACCTATGGAATTATCCCATTGGTTAAGGCCCTTGTATGAAATAGAATGGAGAAGAAATTTTTTATATGTTAGAACTTGGAGGAGTTCAAAATGACCTTGAGTTCTGCAACTGCATATTCAATGACAGCTCCAACTCCAGAATACCTAACCTGAGTTCAACTAATCAGGATTAGTGTCAATCAAGTCGTGTTGTACCATATTTTATAGAAAGTAATGATTCCAGCCAAATCAAGGAACAAAATCAGGCCTTAAACAAAGGGATAGCATATCAATCACAAAGATTAGATCATGACACAAATAAAGAGCAGATCAAACAGCAAGTCATGTGACAATAGATTAGTCATTATCTCCCTGAATTTCTCTGGATTTTATATTCTTTCCATTCTTCTCTTTAGAAGCAGTTTGTTTGAATTTCAAATGGTTTTCTTCCTTATATTATGTCCATTGTATTCCTTGTACAAAGAGAAGAGATTTCATTCTCTAGTTGTAAGAAAAATCATAATATTCAGAGATTCCATATAGTTAAGTAGCATTTTTTGTGGGTCGAATTATCTCTAAGTCATATGAGTGGCGGAACAACATGAGGACCAGAGGGGGCATGGCCTCACCCTGAATTTTTTTTTTAAAAAAATATTATTTATGTATATTTAAAATTATTAGAAGTATACTTAAAGGTGTTCACTCTATTATTTTTTATTCTATCAATTAATATAGTCATATAACTAAATAATTATTAATTTTTTGACATACTTTGAACACTTTATGGATACATTTAGATATATTTTTGATTTATCAAACTCACTTTTAAAAGTTATAGATATTATGAAAATTAGGTTAAATAAAATAATGAGTGATCTTTGGGTAATAGTCTAATTGGTTATATAGAGAAAGACTGTAGCATCTTTTATACAGTTAGTCTCATTTATTGTGTAGGGTTGTAATTAGCTTCTTTTTTTTTTTATTTGTTTACACTATATTTATTAATGTTTGATAATTTTTATATTTTTTGAATTTTTAAGTATCAAATACAATTCCATAAATTTAAATATATTATTTTATTTCCAAGTAAACCCATCCTAGACATAATTTCTAGCTCCGCCTCTAGTTATATCCTTTTGAGCTTGTGTGTCATGTGTATTATCTTATTGTAATTAATATGTAATCTTGAAATTAAACTACGAGGACCCTATTTTCTCCCAACAAATATCTGCAATATTTAGGTTATTATAAGTTAAAAAATCCAAGTGATCACTAGCCTAGCAAAACCAAATATAAAAAAACATTTAATTTTATAATGGTGGGAGGCTAAAATATTAATTTGTTCCTAAGATAAAATAATTTCACACAATTTGAAGACCTGGTCGAATTGAGGAACCAAGTTAGCAATGTTCCGGGCCATGAAAGCTTCTCCTGGTCGAAAGCTTAGAATATTAGATGGACACACTCGTGAATCTGAGCATGCAAACACCAGAAACTGCAAAAGAGAAATTGGCCACAAAATTCACAAGTTAATTAAAGTAAATTTTTTTGACCCTATAATATATTAAAATCCCATTAACTGGGGTTTACAGATTTTGTTTTGTTAGAACGTCGAGAAAGTTCAAACTTGTGACCTTAAGGTTCAACAGCGGAATTGGTGATCATTAGACCAACCACTAACCTCTGGACACAACTCAAAACTGAAAAAAGAAATAATAGTTGCGACACAAAAGCCATACCTTTGGGTTCTGTCCCTCGGCTAGTTTCCTGTAATAGTCTGGAAACTTGCTGCAAAAGATGTCCAAAGCACCAGAGAATTGGGAAAACCATTTAGCAACAAATTAAAAAGCCATTTAAAAAAAAAATAAGAAACATATCTTAATTAACAGAGTTAGGATGCAACTCAATCCCCTTACTCTATCAAGGTTGAGAGGTCAATTGGACTATACTCAAGCCCAAGTACTTTCTCAATTTAAATCGGGTTAAAACGTTTATCTGTTGAAAATCATCGCCCCTAAACTCAACCAAATATTTTAGTTGAACTACAGTTGATGTACTCAAGCTGCACCCCCACCGAGAGTGCAATTTTTTCATTTTTTGTATCATCTCCATGTTCTGTCAATTTTTAGAAATAATCCAATGTGATTGGGAACCAATCTGAAAACGTAATATTAGGACAAGTCATAAAGTTTGAATAATGGTGTAGGATGATGTGTTTGAAGTAATAATATTATTATGTTATGTCAACTGTAACCTTATTAGGTTAGAATTTTAAATAAAAAATATAAATCTCCATAGTATTACCATAATCGGATATTATTCCAAAAATAATTTAATTTATTTTATTTTGGGTTTTTAAGACACAGCAAGTTGATTAAATAAACACAACATACTCGAATTCATTGGCCTTGAACTGATTGAATCCTTCCTTAATCTTCTTAATCGCTTCACATGCTCCTGGCGAATCGTTTCTTATCTTCTCAAGCTCGGCCTCATCTATGTCATCCTGGTCTTTTTCCTCTCTGCAAAAACCATGGCAATTTCATCATTTGTCAGGAAACAAATATTAATTACATGATCATTGTCATTGACTTTGACATCAATATTGGTTTGGACCGGTTCCCAAATCAACAGTTATATGATGAATTTAAGTCGGTAAATTAAATTAAAAAATTAGGTCCAATGAATTTGGTTAGCGCGAGAATAGTGGAAAAAGAAAAAAAAATTAATTTTTAATGCAAAAGAGCAAAAATATGAAAGTAATGGGGAGAAAATTTTATTTTCAATACCTAGTTTTGTAGTGGGACGGATAAGGCCATTTTTAAAATTTTACAAATAAAGGGCAATTTAGACACTTACAAATATTTTCTTATAACTTTCTTCCCTTCTAAACTAGAAAATAAAATTTTCTTCAAACTTTGTCGCAAAATTTTTATCCTAATTAAATGCATGCAAGAGAATAAATTTTGTTCACTTTCTATTATTTTTTTTTTTCTAACCAAACTAACCGTGGTTAGCAACTTAGCAGGATTAGGTGTTAACAGAAGGTAAAGTCGTAAAGATTTCTTTTGCTTTCGTAATGTATTAGGTTGACGCTTGACTTTCGCTCTCTAACACTGCATGCTCGAACATAAACAAGTTTCCTAGGGCCTCTTTTTTCTAGGTCTTCCATTCCTTCTAGCCACGACAGAGTTGTGACAAGAATAAATAATTAATTTATATCTTCTTTAAATTTTTAGAGTAGGTGGTTACGTGTTAGAAGAATTTTACACGATAAGCTTAAAGTTTATTTTCAACGCGAGAGAGCATGTTTGATTACAATATTTAAGTTACACACTCTTGAATAACTTAAATTTTTTAAAATAGATTGTGATTTAATACAATTGAATAATATTAGTTAATGCGGATCCAAGTTTTTAAAATAAATGGTTCAAGCTGAGTTTATGATTGTGAGAAGTGAAATCAAGCACAATAGAAGTTGAACAACTTTAAGAGAAGTTCAAATGTTAATAAGAACGAACTATAAAATTAGATGTCTTGAATTTGAATCTTGATAACTATCTGAAGTCAGATCATAAGAGTTTTATTCTTCATGAATACCCTATTTTTGAGGATAGCCTACTTTTGATCGAATAGGAGAAAAAATTAATTAAAGTGTACGTACATCGATCCCGACACACCTCACCGTTGAACGCAAAAAAAAATTTAACTGGAAAACAGATACTGGTGGTCTGGCAAAGTATAATAAACCTTGGAAGCCTCTTCATTCCTGCAACAGCTACCTCACTTGACTGCTCAGCCATATTTGCTCTGTGGAGACAACTGAAGATCAGAAGAGTTCTACACAATTTGCACTTGAACTAAAAATAAGACGTGTGTGTAGATAGATACATACATATAGAGAGAGAGAGAGAGAGAGAGAGAGAGAGAGAGAGATTATGGTGCAGACCTTTTATAAGGATCTTGATTTTGAAGACTTGGGTACGAGTCTTTATATCACAAAGGCAAAGCTCATGCTCTCCTTTGTTTATGGCTATCTGTATTTATAGGCTAACAATGGTTTGTGATCTGTGAGATGATCAATTATGTTCTGGGAAACATTTTAAACATTTTCATAAGGAAAAACAACGCCAATGAAAATGACTCAAACCAACCTGTTCCACGAGGGTACATGGTACTAGGATTCTAGAACACACCTAGCAGGTCTACATTATTGCAACAATTTTTACAACTCTCTCTCTCTCTCTCTCTCTCATGTCTGTGATGAGAGATAAAAGTCTCTGATGAGAGATAAAAGAGAAAACATTCGGTGCTCATTGGCAACCTCCTCCGGTCAAGAAATGAAATTTTTTTTTTTTTATATCTTAATTCCGATATAAATGAATTGTCTTTGCATAAGCATAAGTTGGTTCTGACACTTTTTACTATTAAAAAAAAAAAAAATGAAACATCACGTAGGAGTGTTATGTAGTCTACATCACGAGTGAATATTGAGTATAATTGTGACATCACGTCACTACTATTATCACGTAATATTACAATTCAATAATTAATCTACAAATAAACATAATGAACCCCACGTCGTAATTACTTTCATATATGAGGTGGTTACTAAATGACATCAAACAGTGATAATTAAAATATATGAGATTTACTTGTTCACTTATTGTATTCATTGAAAAGTGGTACCATGCGACGATAACAATGTTTTTGGATCAATTATTATCACTTGTATAATTGCCAAAAACGTTTTAAAAAAAAATCAATGTGTGGGTCCCAAAAGTTGTGATACGTTCTTATGGCGTCATCACGGGGTGTCCTATAAACACCAAATATTTTCTCGAGATATATTACAAAGGATAACACTGTTATACTGTCACACTATTTTTTGATATAGTATCAAAAAATAAGTTAGTTTGTATATATGACACGTAATTTTTGAAAATCAGTGCGATCGGTTATTTTCAGTACCTAGCCATAAGACATTCAATAGAGTTGTATCTAAGCAAAAAAATTGTACCTCATCCAAAAGAATTGTACCATATTATACGCACATCCAAAACATTGTTACTATCCATTAAACTTGTACCGATTAGAGTTGTACCCCATAACTTAATTATTAATATTAGTTATACATTTAAGGAAAAATTATTTTACTTTGCCCTATGTATTTTATCTTCAAAAAAATAATAGACGCTTCTAATTAGGTACTGTGGAATAAAAATATTACTTGAAGGTGAAATATAAGGAACAAAAAAAAAATATTGTTATACTTCATGGTTGTAAGTGTAATTTATTTATGATAAATTAAGACCGGTCGTGAGAATGGGAGATCGATCCTGATATTACATATTACACTTTTATCCTTTAATATTATACTTTTAGACTTTTGATATTACACTTTTAACCTTTTAATATTATAATTCATAAAATTAAAATCTAAAATCTAAAATAATTTAATAAATATTCAATTTATCAAATCAACATCAAACATGCAATTTCATCCAATTAAAACTAAATTCATCAAATTTACAAAAAATTAACATTCAATTCTTCAAATCAACATTTAATTTTACCTAATAAATATATAATTCACTAAATTAACATTAAAATTCAACTAATAAACATTTATTTCGTAACATTCAATCTCATCTAATTTATATTCAAATTCATTCAATTCATAAAATTAACATCGAAAATCTTTAAAAAAAGATTTTTTTTTTTATTAACGAAACGATGGATGGTATTTAAAAATTAAATTACACATTACATGAAATAAAATAATTAGAATAATAGAAGCAATGCATGCATGATACAAGAATTAAATAAATAATAAAATTGTAAAGCATGCTATTCAATAATAGGCACATGGGTACATCACGCAAAAATCTCAAATGAAAATTTTCTATTATTTAAATTTTGTTTAGTTATTTATTGTTCTCTTCACTTTTTGTTGCTTAAACTTAATTATTTCGTTGTTAAATAGAGGTGTACTTCAGTATTGGTAAGTATTTTATGTGTGCTGAGCTTGTTTAATAAATAATGTCTTTACTCTAAATTAGCTACATATCAATTACGTTTATTGTTTTGTATTTTTCTAGAAGAAGGTCTGCCCTTATTTTCCTATGTTATCTCCAAAGTTTCTTGGTCAAGTAATTTTGCTCTATCCTGTTCTTCAATTGAGGTTGGTTGTGATATTAAAAAAAACATAAAAAATTCGGTTACATTTTGTAAAAAGAGTATATCTTTATAGCAGTAGTCTTTGATATATGACTTTTGTTATTAAATTAACAAAATCATTATCTTTTTATGCTTCTATATATAACCTTGATCAACAAAATGGATCTTTTATATTTTTATATCTCAATATAATAGTATTATTTCTGGAATCAAAGTGAAATTCTTGGTTTCATTATCTTATATATGGCTTTGTAGTTTAGAAAGATGAATAAGAGGGTTAGAGATTGTATAATCACCATTGACATAGAATCATGGATTTTGGTATGTTCAAACTTTAGACTATTCATTCTTGTTAACAAAAGAATTTCAAGTACAAGTCGAATTTAGCAGTATTTGAAATTGGGAATCAATTTCAATAAAAATGTGATTTAATCTTCATAGAAGGCTCCCTGATTGAAGGGATCTTAAGATATCGAAGAAGATTCAGACCAGTAGTAGTATCCACAATTCTTCAAATCATAATGTAATAAAATTTAATTCTTCAACTTAGTATTCAATCACATCCAATTAATATTCAATTCATAAAATTAACACAAAATTAACATTCAATTCATCGAAATTATATTCAAATTTATTAAATTAACACTCAATTTATCAAATTACATCGAAAATCATCTATAAAGGTTTAATTTAACAAATCAACATCAAAGTAACATACAATTTCATTTAATAAACATTTAACTCATCAAAACAATACCAAATTAATATTCAATTCAACAAATTAACATTCAATTTCATTTAATAACATTTAATATTCAATTCATCAAATTTATACCAAATAAACATTCAATTCATCATATTAATATCAAATTAAAATTCAGTTCATCCAATTAAATTCAGCTTCATGTTCCTTCTTCACCCTAAACATAAAATAAACCATTAACCACAAAAATGACTTCACCATATAAATTACGCTATTAATTAAAAAAAATGTTCACTTATATTATATTTGAACGAGTCAAAACTTGGATATCAAAGACAATGTTCACCCAAAAAAGAATTAATGGAGTTTCACAATAGTCGTTCTCTCGCAGATTCAACAAAACCTAAACCAAATAAACAAATATTTTTTGTACGGTGAAAGAGATGGAGGGAAGGGAAGAGTAGTAACAGTCGCTTAGGCGGGAAAGTGGATTGAGGGAGAGATAAGGTTTTTGTGATTTGTGGACCAGAATATTTACTTAGAAAATAAAATAATAATATATTGTAATATGTGGGGTGTAAGTGTAATTTACAATGTGAAGAATTAGGATCAGTCCAAGAAATGGAAGTCCAATCCTGGGTAAATATCACACTTTTATTCCTATTATCCCTTAACTATCACACTTTTATCCCTTTTATCTCTTAACTATCACATTTTTATCTCTTTTATCCCTTAAATAATCAAAAAAATCTTCAAAAATATTCAATTTCTTATAAATAGTCCCATTTTTTTATTCAACAAATAAATAATGAATAAAATCAAAAAATTAAAAGAATTGTAAATAATGCTTCCAACTATTTGGGTCAGGTTAAAATATTTTTGGATTGGGTTTCAATTTTTTGGGTGACTTCAATTCACTCGATCAAAGAAATCCAACTGTCCAAAAATATTCAATTTATTTTAAAATAGTCCCATTTTTTATTAACAACAAATAAATAATTAATAAAATCAAATAAATAAAAGAATTGTAAATAATGTTTCCAACTATTTGGTCTGGTTATAACTTTTTTTGGATTAAGTTTCAATTTTTTAAGTGAGTCGGATTAGCTAGATAAAAAAAATGTCCAAAAATATTTAATATTTTATAAATAGTCTCATTTCTCATTAACAACAAATAATTAAAAGAATTGTAAATAATGCTTCCAACTAGGTTATAACTTTTTTTGGATTGGATTTCAATTTTTTGGGGTGACTCCGATTAGCTAGATCAAAAAAATCTCAATCCAAAAATATTCAATATTTTATAAATAGTCCCATTTTATATTAAGAACAAATAAATAATGAATAAAATCAAACAATTACAATAATTATAAATAATACTTCCAACTATTTGGATCAGGGTTATAATATTTTTTGATTGGGTTCCAATTTTTTTCATAGAGGTTCTAACTCTTAAGGGAGAGTTCTAACTTTTTTGAGGTTCCAACTAGGTTCAAATAGTTGGGGGAGGGTTCCAATTTTTTTGGGTAAGAGTTTTAACTTTTTTGGATAAAGGTTACAACTCGACAGGGTTCTAACTTTTTTTGATAGGGTTTCAACTTTTTTAGTTATAAGTTCCAACTTTTTTTGGTAGGATTCTAATTTTTTGGGTAGAGGTTCCAACTCTTGGCAGAAGTTTCAATTTTTTTGGGTAGGGTTTTCAACTTTTTTGATAGGTTTCCAACTTCTTTGGTTAGGGGTTTCAAATTTTTTGGTAGGATTTCAACTTTTTGGCTCGAGGTTCCAAATCTTGAGGGGAGGGTTCCGACTCTTGGGGTGAGTTCTAATAGTTGGGGGAGGGTTTCAACTTTTTTGGGTAGAGGTTTCAAATTTTTTTGGTAGAGGTTCCAACTTTTTGGGGTTAGATTCCAATTTTTTTTGGTAAGAGTTCCAACTCTTCGGACAGGGGTTCCAACTTTTTTGGGTAGGTCTTCCAATTTTTTTTGGATGGGTTCTAATTTTTTTGATTAAGAGTTTCAACAATTTTAGGTAGGGGTTCCAACTCTTGGGGTAGTGTTCCAACTTTTTGGATTAAGGTTTCAACTCTTGTGGGGAGACTTCCAACTTTTTTGGAGAGGTTCCAACTTATGGGTGGGTTCTAACAGTTGGGGAAGAGTTCCAATTTTTTTTGGGTAGGGGTTTTAACTTTTTTGGATAGGGATTCCAACTTTTTTGGAGTGAATTTTTGGTTAGGGGTTCCAATTTTTTTAGTAGAAGTTCCAACTCTTGGGGCAGAGGTTCCAACTTTTTTGAGTAGAGATTCTAACTTTTTGGTGGGTTCTAACTTTTTTGGTTAGAGGTTCAACTTTTTTAAATAGGGGTTTCAACTTTTTGGTAGATGTTCCAACTCTTGGGGTGGGTTCTAACAATTGGGGTAGGGTTTCAACTTTTTTTAGTAGGGGTTCGAACTTATTTGGGTTGAGGTTCCAACTCTTGGGGGCAAGAGCTCCAACTTTTTGGGCAAGATTTCCAACTTTTTGGGATATGTTTCAATTTTTTTGATTAGGGGTTTTAACCTTTTTGGATAGGGGTTCCAACTTTTCGGGTAAATGTTCCAACTCTTGAGGGGAGGGATTCCAACTTTTTTGGGTAGAGGTTCTAACATTTTTAGAGTGGGTTCCAATATTTTTGGTTAGGGGTTCCAACTTTTTAGGTAAGGTTCTAACTCTTAGAGGGGTTCCAACTTTTTGGGTTTAACGGTTGGAGGAGGGTATTTGTCAAATCCTACTCTTTTTCATTACCGGTTTAGCAGGTAACTGGTATCCCACTTTTTAAACTAATCAATGGTTACAAAAATAAAAAAATTACGTCAATGACCCAAATGAAATGTCGGTAACGTACCGAAAATAAAAATTCGGTATTAAGGTTATGTGATAATTATTTTCATATATGGAATGATTACTAAACGACATCAAGCAGGGATAATTAAAATATATGAGATTTACTTGCTCATTTATTATATTCACTAAAAAGTGGTACCATGCGATGATAACGATGTTTTTCGATCAATTAAAATTGCCAAAAACTTTTTAAAAAAAGGCAAAGTGTGGGTCCCACAAATTGTGATAAGTTCTTATGGCGTTATTACGTGGTGTCCTATAAACACCAAATATTTTCTCGAGATATATATTGAGATATTTTACAAATTGTATACTTTGTTTGGGTCCGTAATTGCTTTTTCACACGCAACTCGTAGTTTGAATCTATCAGTAAAACCACAGTCAACGACGTTTAAAATATGCAAGGCGGCTATGGTTTAATAACAAAACTTGAATGATTCCTTTCTGATAGACTTGTTTATTTCTTCGTCGTGGCTTCTATGCAAAGACTCTTTTGTTTTTATTTACAAACGAAAATGAAACTCCATGAACGTAATGAATGGTTTTTGTGAATATGGAGGTGTAGTTTAACTAGTAACATGGATGAATTGTAAACTTAGACGTCTTAAATTTGAATTTTAATAATTTCTTAAGATCAGGTCATGAGAGATTTATTTTTCATGAATATCCTAATCTCGACATGAATAACCTGTCTTTTATCGGACTGAAAAAGAAATTAGTTAAAATGTGTATAAACTGACTTGAACATTCTTAACAGTTAAACCAAAAAAAAAAATGAATGGTTTTGTTTTTCTATTGCTAGTTATCTGTATGCTAATTAGTAAAATAAACGGAAAAATTATCAATAAGCATGGGAGGAGCTAAAGGGGCTAGTGTGAACATGGGCTCACCCTCAATTTCTTTTTTTGAAAATTTGTTATATGTATGGATATATGCTCACTTTTATTTTATGAAAATGTGAGTTGTGATTAATCTATAATTATGTATTTGGTCGTTTTATAGTTTAGAGGCTTTCTTCAATTGACTTTGATTACATATTTATGAATTTTTTGTTTTTGGATTTATGTTGTTAATTTAAAGTAAAATTATTTGAAATTAGTCCACAATTAACCTTTATTTTTCTATGACTCGTCGTATGGTTTCTCTACAACATGTTCTTTCTATTTTTTTACAACTTACTCGCTTTTGTTTGATAAATTAAAAACAAAGATTGATAGATTTCGATTGCATAAACGAATGGATATCAATAGATGATTGATAACTTAATTACATATATAAAAAATATCTTTAATGGCATCAATAATGAAATTATCATTTTTTTTGTTTATTTTTCATTGACTTTTGGACCTTTTTTGTTCAATAAATTTTGTATGTATCAATATGATGTAATAAAATATAAATACTAATTTTTTTTATCGATTGGAAGAAGGAAAAAAAACTAAATCTTGTAGTTAAAGTGTTCACCCAAAAAAATAATTTTTGGCTCCGCCCTTGCCAATAAGTATCACTTTTCTTCACAAAATACTATGAAGTCCTATCGTTTTTTTATTTAGGACAATAAAGTTCTAATTTTAATAATTTATTTCAATGAAGTCCTAATTCTATTACATTCCAGATTTGTCCTTCGCTTTTAATTTCCAAATGCCTTTCATAACTCTTGATGCTTCCTTAGATTAAGATCATTCTTATCATTTTTGTGCTTTGGGGTTTTATGTATTAAGTTAGATTGGAATTTAAAATGATTATATTAGGGTATACATTATGTTGCATCCAATAATGACAGTTTTAAAAATTGAAATAATTTGATGTTTCATAAAATTAGCAAAATAGGCAATATAAAATTCAGAACGCACCAAGTCGGATGTATGAAAAAAAGAAGAAGACTATTGTCATTAAGTATTTCAAGAGAAGGGTAAAATTGAAACAGAATATAGTATTTATGAAATTTAGAACTTCATGGAAATAAATTATCAGACTTCATTATCCTAAATCAAAAATGGAATAACTAAAAGGTATTTTGTATGAAAAAAGTGATAATTATTGGTAATTTATGTTAAAAAAAAAAATTCAGGCCATTAATGACAATAGAATTATAGGATCGAGATATTTTCAATTTCCCAATTTTAATTAAATTGAAGTGATTATAGTTAAATTAATTAGGCCTAGTGGTGGGTTTTCTCAAAGCAATACTATTTAAACTTAATTTACTAATCTAATGAACCATTGTTATTATATCGATTGGCCCCAATATTTTAAATAAATTTTAACATAACACAATTTAAACACAATCCACCTTTTCTCATAATTGAGATTTGAGAGCAGAGAATGTCAATTTGTTTGTCAATTTTACAATGCCAAACTAGTAAAACTCAGCTTGATTACAATGTCAATTTTAGTATTATATGTTAATTCATTTTAGTTATTAATTTTGAATTAAATAATTTATAATTATTAATTAAAAAATAAATTAAATTTGATTTCAAAATAGTGATCGAAAGGCTTGAAACTTATTTGAGACCAAAATGAATGAATCAAAATGCCAATGTTTTGAGGCATTTTTAAATCTTTTAGTGATTATTTTACAATATTTTAAAATATTTTGAGATATTTTAATTTATATTTTTATAATATTTTAAAAATGAATTCTCTAATTTTATTTTCGAAATATTTTTAAAATATTCCTGTAGGTGACCGAAACAGTGCAAGAAGTTCAGATTATCTGAATCAAATTTGTCGTTTTTTGACTGCCAAACCAGATAGTATCGGGATGAGCAAAAACTACATCACCATCGTCATCCTCTTCGGTAGGCTCTGAAGTTATGGCTTTATTTTATGTTGACCTTCTCCTTCTATGCATCTAATTTGTGTTTCTTTTCTTTTCTATGATCTTTCTTTAGTGAACATTCAGCTAAAGCAAAGGAATTATGGCAACTGAATCCTCGGTTCCTCCCAACCCAACGGACCAGAAACCCCAAAACCCAGGTGTGATTTTCTCTGTAAAATCTTGGGTCTATACTGAAAATTTGATTTTCCAGTACTATTTGTTTGGTTTCTGAGAAAGCCAAGGAAAATCAAATAGTTCATTCAAATACTTTGGTAGGAAAGACCTTCATCAACCCCTCCGACTAGAAATTAATGATCCCAATAAGGTAACCAAAGGATTTTTTTTTTCTCTCCTTATCTCTGCTTAACCTCATGAAGAAATGCATTTTAGTTGCTCTTATGTAATTTATAAGCTAATTATAGTTCAAGGTTGAATTTAATTTGTTATGGTCTAGACTCTGGATTTGTTATCCACTTAACTCCTACATGTCTAGATAGTCTTCCCAATATATGTAAAAATTATTTCAATCTCACCACTGCATCAACTAGGCCATTGCTAGCTATATAGGAAACTTCTATGGGTTCTGTTATGCTGTTTCACTTGTATTTGCTTGGCATCACTCTTAGTGTCTAATACTATTGTTCAGCTACCTCTTTGATCCTATTTGTGTCTTTAGACTTAGTAGGAACACTGATTGAGAATAACTTTGATTTTCCTTTCCATGTTTTCCCATTTTAAGTTCATCTTGGTTTAGATTTGTTAATTGCAATTTCGTATACAGTACAAGGGTGTTGCTGTTGGTTAGACTGTGTATTTTATAGTTTGAACCCACTTCTGGAAACTTTTTACTTTGTAGCCTTGTGGCTCCTATTGTGATATGGTGTTGTAAATGAATTGAGGAAGATGTAGACAGTGTGGAATATGTTCATAAACACATATCGCGGTTACCTTTTTTTGTTGAAAACTTTAGACATCACTACTGCCATAATGGAGGATTAATTTCTTTTGTACCTACAGCTTCCGAGGTTGTACAGCCAACACTTGAGAATCAGCAAGATATGGCGGAGGCATCTAAAGAAAGTTCTCCACCATCTGTGTTTGTGAACTCAGAACCAATGCGAGAGGACCAAGTGCAAAATGCTGTAAAGTTCCTTTCACACCCGAGAGTTAGGGGATCTCCGGTCATATATAGACGATCCTTTCTTGAGAGGAAGGGCCTCACGAAGGAGGAGATAGATGAAGCCTTTCGCCGTGTGCCTGTAAGGAAGTTACCCTTTTTTGTCCCTCTCTCGTTGTATGAGACCCATCCATAGGATCATCCCAGGAAAAGATTTATTTATTCTTGCTGTTACTAATAGCTGTGAGGGTGTATGTGACAAATTGGGAACTGACATTTTGTGTAAATGGCAGGATCCGACCCCAACTATTTCCAATGCGCCGACAACTGTTACAAATCAAGGTAATAAACATTTGTGTTGGTGTGGGTTTTCTGATTGAGTTAAAATGTCAACAAATTTTCGCTATTCCTCACACTAATCATGTACTATCTGCTTTGCAATATTGAATAAAGATTCGCATGCGAAGTCTTCAGCAAATATTAATCCACAGGCTCCAAGTCAAAGTCTGCAGCCTGCAGTAGTCACTCCGGCTGGTGTCATTTCTAAAGTAGGAACCTTTTCCAGATTCCACTGGTCCCATGCTCTTCTTGCTGTAGGAGTACTGGCTGCTTCAGGAGCTGGAACAGCCGTACTTTTTAAGGTATTAATGGAGGGGCTCTATACGATTGTGTTATTTAGTCCCCTTATTTGTTTGGCCTGTGCCTTACCTTCTTACCTTCAATATGTTATGCTTTTGTTGGCACATATTGCATGCTTACGATTTTAAACACGAGTACCTAAATAGGCTAGGTTTTTTAATTACTTCTCTTTTCCATCTATCTTAAATTTTTAAGCTCAACCACACTATAAGATTAACTTTGTGAGCTCAACCACACATTATGTTTTAGAAAACTATCATTCCTACTTTGAAGTCTTGGATTCGCAAAGTTGTAATGGAAGAAGAAGAGGATCCTGTGGCCAAATCAAACTCAAAACCAAGTTTGACAGAGGAAGCTGCTGCTGCTGCAAAAGCTGCTGCAGCTGCAGCTGCTGAAGTGGCACAGGCAAGCCAGGAAATGTTGGTTTCAAAAACTGAAGGTAGGTTTATTGTACTCTAGCATATTCTGTCGCTTGGATTTTCATCATAAAAAATACGATGGTTTTGTGTTTTGGTTTCTTTGTTTAGTTATTTTGAATTCGTTATTAATGACTGATGAAAAATGAGCAACAACTTTCATACTTTTTCTTGAATATGTAACTTCTTGATTGATAACATTTATTTCATCCTTGTCAGAGAATAGATACTTCAAGGAACTTATGGATCTGTTAGGTGTGCAAGTACGGGAAATGAAGTCAATGAGTAAAGCCATACAGAAGTTGGAAGGTAGGAGAGAAGCTATTGTCGATTACACGCTTGAGAATTTGTTTCCTTTATTGTTATCTGCGAAGTGTACAGTTATCAAATTACCATCCGTAGCCTATCCTCTGCATTGATTTATAAATGGTTGTCCATCATTAATGGCACTCTTGGGCATCCACACATTTTTGGTTAGGGAGGAGAGTCAGTTTGTTATAGTGTTTCCTGTTTATGCATAACACCAATTGTACATGCATAGCAGATAGAGCACAATGGACACACTAGGACATCTGCCTTTGTGTTGGGTGGATGGTAGAGAGATTTAGGCTAGAACACTGCTTGGTTATAGTCCCTCGGGGATTTTTGGAGAGCTGGTGTTGCTTTTTGATTATTTCTTATTGTGGACTCTTTAAAATTAACTTTTCAATCTGTACCAACTGCCTTCTTGAACCACTTCTTCACTTATATTAATTATCGTTGAGGGGACAAAATTATTGGCAATTAAGTGTGATTTTTTTCCTAGGAAATTATTTATTGGTTGTGGCATGTTTACCTAGCTGCATCAATCATCTGCTTTTCATGCCTTAGCGAATCGTGGAATCATCATACTGCTCCTTATCTCTTGCTGCATATATAGCTTGTAGTCCATATGATTCTCATGCTACTTATTTGCATGGAATTTGGTTGCCAGCATGGGCAACACATGGCAGCCAATAATCTCTCATGTTTTTCTCCTCTTTATCAAAGGCTATAGTATGCTGTCTAGTTGAATAAATGTTTACTCGTGGGGAAGACAATTTATTTATTTATTTTTACTTTTATGTATGCCTTACCAATTCAACTTTATTTGTAATGTCAAATAGTACGGTTTGATATGTTTAAGAAGTTCACTAGCTTGCAGTTGTTGGTGAATATTCGACCTGATTAGATTGTCAACTTTGTTTGTGCTTACTTTGGCATATTTGGTTTATAATGTCTCATTCTTCAATGGATATTGTTATTACCTTATATTGTTCAATTGACAACCTTGAACAACAATTTCGTCATTGAGTCTAAAAAGTGTTTCCTTAAGCTTGCTCATGTGAATTGCTTAGACGTTTTCCCTTCTTTGAAGAGTCTTTCCATCTTTTATGCGGAGTATTTTTCAACATTTTGTTGGTTTTTTGTGGAGTTTAGTTTGTATATGTGATCCGGACGATGACCTGACCCGAAGTAATGTTGTGTGGTTTTTTAATGAAAAATTTTCTGAGGCTTAGTGCATAGAGCGAAGGCTTGGGCCGATAGGCCCAAGCCGTAGCGCTCATGGACAAGCCTCGTAGCCCCCGAGGAAAATTTTTGGGCCCGTTATATAGCCCAGTGCGTAGGACATATAAAACACGTTGTTTTGGTGATTAGGGTTAACATGGTGGATTGTACAGCCGCTCTCTGTATTCAACTCTCTCAATAGTGAAATCCCTGCAGTTTCGTAGACGTAGGCAAATTGCCGAACCACATAAAACCTGTGTCTTGTTCTTTTTGTTTTTTATTGCTTTATATTCTTGATTTGTTCTTCGATTGTGTGTGTTTGTTAGTGGATTTAAATTGTTTTTAAATCCCAACACATTTAACAACAGTGGTCTTTAATCCTAAAGAGCAATTTCTAATACGTTCCAGTTTTTCTTTTTGTTTAACTTGTTCGATTGCTCCATGTTTGTGTCATGGTCGTCTTTCGATGGGCCATTTGTTGTCTATTGTCCATATGCAATGGATTCAGCGACTCCCAGGCTGGAAATGGTTATATCATGCAAGTCGTTGCTAGTCTTTTTGCTGACTAGAATATTGACCATGAAGGAAAAACAATTGACTACCATATGTTGTATACAAAGTGAGATTTTCACGTGTTTGTAGATGATTTTCAAAACTTATCTAGTGATTTCTCTGTTGCACTTTATACCCATCTAGTTCCAATTAGGATGCTCTACGTCAAATGTTTGACTCATGCAATTGGGGCTTAGCTCTCTTTGTATATCAGCTTTTTGCCAACTGTAGATAACCCGGAGAGAACAGAAGTTCAGTTTTTCTCTATTGGCTCCTGCAAATCTGTATGTATGACCTGTCCTTGTTTAGCTGGATTCCACATTGGTTTGGAGGCCTAACTAAAGTGGCCACTTGTAGGGTTTTTACTGTGTCATCAGATTAGGAATTTTGATTGTCCCACCATGAAGGGAATTTCCTAACAGATAATTGTTGAGGTTGTGACCCCAGAATGGGTTGATTATTTTGAGCACTTAACAGAAAGGAATATTGTTGGTCTGAAGGGTAGTGCTACCACATTCTCAAGTACTTATATTAGGGAGATTTTTTAGACTTTATTAGCGTAGATGCACCTTGATGTTTTGAGCCCTCACCCTCTATTGTTTCCTGCTGGACGATCTTCTGCATTTTTCTTTCTATTTTCCTTTATGGGTGATGACTTGAGGGTTCAGTGCTTGATTTACTAATAAAATGGTTGGGTCTTGTGTCAAGTAGGAGAATCGCAGGTTCGATTTCACTTATTCCAAAGCAAGGTTAGGCCTTTTCTTGTCCACCCGTACATCCGTGTAATATGGTGTCCAAACTTCTAAAATGTAGCTGTTTTCTCACTGGACTGACTTGGGGTGTGGCCAATTATTGAGAATTGAATGGCGTAACACAGAAGGATCTTTCATGTATACCCTCTTGTTAACACTCTAATCATAGGTTTCCACTGTTTAATGGGTGAAAGGTTGTTCTTGGCTGTAGAAAGCATCTATTGTATTCCTTCTAGATCCTTGGATAAATTTTCCATCGTGGTCTGAGTTAGGGTTCCAAATTTTCCCCATCCCTTGAAGCCCAAGTGCTCTAGGTTTTCTTATAATTAGATAGACAAGGCTTGCCTTACTATTATTAGCTATGTGATTAGAGGCTGAGCCGTTGACTGTCCAAAGCTATGTGAAAATAAATACATACTGATGACCACTAATTTGCCAAATTTCAGCTGGAGAACTGCTCTTATAGAAGATTTTTCTGAACTTTCAAAACTCGAGTGAAAATAAAAACATAGAAAATGGTCTGCAAAACCCTGCTAGTTTGTAGCAATTGCTTGAATTTAGGTCATTAGTAGAAAGGTTCTGAGACACACCAGGGAGTATCTGAAAAAACCTTAAAACAATAGTGTGTGATAGATTGGCTATACTTTCTTAAGGTAGATAGGCTTGGAAATTTAACTGCACTAGTCCTTATGCTGTTCGAGTTGTCCTTTTATATGCATGAACAGAAGATGTGAGGATCAAACTAAAATACCAGAACTGTACCAGCCTTGGACTGCAATGACTTGGCAAATAGGCTACCTTTTTTCCACAGAGAGGCTGTTTTCGTGATTCAAACCCTTGATGCCTCTGTCAGAATAGCCAAGGCACACCCTCAAAAGTTATCATTTTTATGATAACTCCCTATGCATGAGCAAAATTTAGACATGTCTTTTTAGTCATCATATAGTTTGTATTTACATGCCAGAAATTTAGAAACATCAAATTACTGGGTTTCCTTTCTATTTTTATTCTTATTGCCGCTTTTTGTTACCAGTCTTAAAAACGGTTTTGTTTTTCAATGATGAGAATTCGTTTTCTAATCTTATTTCTTGTCTAATTATCAGGACAAAGTAATACCCCTAGAAGAATATCTATTGCTGAACAAGATGATCATAGAGTCTCAGTCTCAAGGGTGAGTTTGATAAAGGCATAATTTCAGTTTGGTTATTAATCTGTAAAGATGATATGAAGCTGGCATGCTGTGATCTGTTGTTAAGTGTTCAAATTGAGTTCCTTAGTTAATTCAAACGATTTTCCAGCAATCATATGCAAATGGCAATGCGGACTTTGACTTGCGTTCAGGTATTGTTCTGGGATGAAGTGCTGCTCCACTATTTTAAAATGCTTTGAATATCGATTTCATATATTGGAATGTTCTATGCAGGGAGATCTTCATCTCCACCTGCCACTGTGGAATCCTCTGTTGCACCTCACCCAAAGTCATATGCAGAGGTAACATCTCCCTCAATTGGCCAGAATTTTTTTTTGAAACATTAATGGCTGGTCTGTTCATGAGTGCAGTCTTTTTTCTCACATCTTGGTTCACTTGATGGTAAAAAGCACACAACTGTCATTCAGAAATAGAGATCGATGCAATTAGATCCTTCAAAACTGTTTTATATAATCTTTCCAATGTACGTTATATCTTCTAGGTAGTCATTTACAGGTGATCTATATAGTTGCACAAACCCTTCCATTGTCCTCGTAAACACCCTTTCCAACTCGGTTTAAGAAATCCTAGTTCGTTCCTTTGAAGTCAATACTTTTTATTCAAAAGTCTGCAATTCCCCTCCCCTTTCCCAAAACCCCAAAAGAAGAAAATAAAAACTATGAATGCCGAATGGGAAATATGTAGGGAGTTTAGATCATAGTCACCGCCATTCTGACAGTCCGATACCATGAATATTAGTTTACAGGTATACAAAAAGAAACTAATAAAATGTGTGAAACTTAGACAAATGCCTACCTTGAGATCGAGTTTCATTATCTTTTTCAAGTTATTTTACTACTGAAAGATGTGTTGATGTTCTTCATGTTTTATACATTGTGATATCCTTGTTCTACAAGATTTATAGTTTTCAATTACTTTAAAATGGAGCATGAAATCTTTTCATATTCTGATGTTGGAATCATGTTGCAGAGCGTGGCAATGGTTCAAAGAGGAGAGAGACCTCCTAACATTAGAGTAAATCTATTTCTTCCCATATCTATTCTGAGTTTGACTACACTGTGCGGTTTACTGCTGATCTTTTCTAGTTCATTTATTTTCCTGTTTTGTTTTTTCTTATCTCAGAAGATCAATGATCTACCATCCAATCCTAATCAGCCAGTGTCTATTCCTCACATAACACCCAGACCTCAGGTTGGCTTTCTCAAGTTATCTTGCATCTCAATGTTCCAATTTTTGTGTGCAATTAGTTCATGGATAAATGTGGACCGATTCGATTTATAGGTGTATGAATTATGAAAAGTAAATTTTTAAAATTGGATCATGTATGTTTTTGTTAAATGTGTACACGTTAGACTTTAAATGCTAGGCATGTGCATGTATGTCAGTCTTGAAGTGTTGTATGTTCTGTGTCACCTAGCTAAGAGGGGATTCCACTGACACTGCCAAGTTAGTTTTTGAATATAGTAAAACTATTATCATGTTCTCAGTTGCAGTTTAGTGAACTGAATTGCTGCTTACCTGTACTTATGTAATGTGACTGTTCAAACACTCCAACCATTGTGACTATTGATTGTTGCATACCATTCTCCGACATACTTGGGAACTAACACTTAGTACATGCTAGTTTGGTAAAATATTTTGAGACTTTCACAAACCAGAAATGGTAGCGTTCTGCAATCTGATCATCTGAGTACTTTTCATCTTATTTGAGTGGTTCATTGGGATACAGGCTGTCATTGTAATGCATTGACACCAGATGAAACTGATTACTGTTGTTGTTATCTCGAATAGCCTTGGGAGTTCGGTCTAGCTCAGAATACCTCAAACCATGTGCTTCATTCTCAAGAAAGTAGTGATGGCTTGGACTCCATTTTTCAGGACAATGGACTCGGTAATCAGTTGAATGGAGACAGTTCAGTGCCTTGGTGGCAACGAAAAAATGTCAGAATCACAGAAATTGAGAGTGAAGATGAACACAAGACTGGGTCTTCTAGTGTGCTAACCAATGGCCGACCAGTTCAACGCTCGTGGGTTCCTCCCCAGCCACCTCCTGTGGTAATGCCAGAAGCAGCTGCAGCCATTCGACAGCCAAAAAAATCATTAATTCAAAAAGAAGAATTGACAGATGATCAGTTACTGGCCCGTTCTTCAGATATAACCGATGAGTTGCAAAGGATCACAAAAATATCAGAGTCAGGAGGTGTAGAAGAGACTAATGGTGGGATCTCTGAGCTGAACAGAAATGAGATACAAAACGAAGACAACTCTTACATTGAGACTTAAAGAGAGTAACTGAAAGGGGTCGATCTAAGGTACTTATTTCCATCATTATTAGTTGATAACGATAATCCAAGGACTTGTTTGTTGCAATTATCAATCCATTTGATCACGTACGTGTATGTACCTGAACTGTGTTAAGAAATATAGGGTTATTTTGTTTATTAAGGGTAAAATAGTCCTTTATTTTTTTTTTGTTTAGTCTATATATAGTCTCTTTGTATTTAGGTTAAATCACTTATTTGTATTCAATTGAATTATGCAGTATCAATAAAACTCTAGCCTCCTCTTTTCTTATCTTTTGTATTTCTCTTTTATTAGATTGTTTAACATGGTATCAAAGCAAAGTTTCATGGGACAAGGTTTAATTTTTTTTGAGAAGGTATTCATTCCGTTTTTGTAATCTGGTTTTTTTTGTTTTTTGATTATGGCTACTGAAAAAGACGATTCGCTTCAGTTTGTGAGTGTGAGGTTGGATGTAAATAATTATTCGTATTGAAGTTATGTGATGAGAAATTTTCTTGAGGGTAAAAAGATATGGGGATATGTTAGTAGAATTTTTGTGAAACCTAAAAATACTGATGCGGATTATGCTGCTTTGATAGATTCCTAGGAAGCAGACAATGCAAAAATTATTGCTTGGATTAATAACTCTGTTGAGAATTTTATAGGTACACAGTTGACAAAGTATGAGACAACAAAAGAGGTTTGAGATCATCTGTAAAGGTTATTCACTCAATCAAATTTTGCAAAACAGTATCAATTGGAGAATGACATACGAGCTTTTCAGCAGAGGAATATGAGTATTCAGGAGTTTTATTCTGCTATGACAAATCTTTGGGATCAATTGGTTCTTACAGAATCGGCCAAATTAAAGGCATGTGGTGCCTATATTGCTCGTAGAGAACAACAACGGTTGATACAGTTTTTAATGGCACTTCGTAGTGATTTTGAAGAACTTAGAGGTTCAATTTTGCATCGTTCTCTACTTTCTTTTGTTGACTCAGTTGTCAGTGAGTTATTGGTTGAAGAAATACGCCTTAAGTCTTATTCTAAAAAAGGAATTCTTTCTACTTCTAATCCTTCTATGCTAGCAATATCTTCTAAACCATTTTCTAATAATCAGAATAAGCCTTACACAAGGACTGCCTTCGACGAGTGCAGTTTTTGTAAACAGAAAGGTCATTGGAAGACTCAATGTCCTAAGTTAAGACAACATAATCAATCGTAGCAACAATCTCAAGCTTAGAAGCCTGGCAACCAGTCACAATCTAATGCTTATAAACCACCTCAGGGTTACAAACCACCACAGTCTAATACTGCAGCAGAGGCTTCATCAAGTCCTTTCACCGATTATAGTACTTTGGCTGAACAATTTCAGAAGTTTTTCTTCTTACAATCACAAGCAATGTCTGTTTCTTCTTCCGTAGGTCAGTTGCCTCATAGTTCTTCAGGTATGTCACATTCTGTATGGGTCTTGAATTCTGGTAGTTCACATCATATATCTCCAGATTCTTCATCTTTTACTTCTGTATCTCCTTCATCTTCTATTCCTGTTATGACTGCTGATGGCACTCCTATGCCTTTAGCAAGTGTTGGTTCTGTTGTTACACCTCACTTGTCTCTCCCTAATGTTTATCATATTTTGAAACTCACATTAAATCTTGCTTCTGTTGGTCAGTTATGTGATTCTGGTAATTTAGTCACCTTTTCCTCTTCTTCTTGTTATGTACAAGATTTGCAGTCTCAGAAGCTGATTGAGATAGGCTATAGGAAGGGGGGACTATATATTTTGGATAAGTTAAAAGTGTCAGTTGTTGTTGCTACTGCTTTTGCTACTAGTGTTGATTTTTCTTCTTTTCGTTTGAGTCTTTCTTCTTCTAGTTTTTATTTATGACATTATCTTCTAGGTTATGTTTCGTCTTCTCGTTTGAGATTTTTGGCATTCACAGGGGCTTTAGGAAATTTTCAAACTTTTGATATTTCTGATTGTAGTGGATGTAAACTAGCAAAATTTTCAGTTTTACCTTTTAATTGAAGTATTTTTGTTTCTTCTTCTCCATTTGATTTGATTCATTCTGATGTATGGGGACCTTCTCCTGTTGCCACAAAAGTAGGATTTCGATATTATGTTTCTTTTATTGATGATTATACTCGTTTTTGTTGAATTTATTTAATGAAACATCGTTTTGAATTCTTTGAGATATATACAGCTTTTCGAGATCTTGTCAAAACTCAACATTCTGTTGTTATCAAATGTTTTAGGTGTGATTTGGGTGGGGAATACACTTCCAATAAATTTGATGAGTTGTTTGCCTTAGATGGAACTATTCACCAAACTTCGTGTACAGATACTCCTGAGCAAAATGGTGTTGCTGAAAGAAAACATTGGCACATTGTTGAAACTGCTCGTTCTCTCTTGTTGTCTACTTCTGTTCCTAGTGTGTTTTGGGGTGAAGCTATTCTTACTACTGTAGGTTTGATTAATACAATTTCATCTTCTCATATTTAAGATGTTTCTCCTTTTGAAAAGTTGTATGAGTATGTCCCTGATTATTTTTCCTTTAGAATTTTTGGTTGTACTTGTTTCGTTCTTCGTCCTCATGTTGAACGCAGCAAGCTATTCTCTCGATCTGCTATTTGTGTCTTTCTTGGCTATGGTGAAGGTAAAAAGAGGTATTGTTGTTTTGATCCAATAATTCAGAAATTTTATGTGTCTCGTCATGTTGTTTTTCTTGAGCATATACCTTTCTTTTTTATTTCATCCACTACTCATAGTTTAACTAGATCTGATCTTATTCGTATGGATCATTTTTCTGAGGATTCTGATAGTTTGTCATTTCAAGTTTCTAATACTTCGAATACCCCTTCTCATGTTCTTACCTCGTTACCTTTATTTCTAATACTTCGAATACCCCTTCTCATGTTCTTACCCCGTTACCTTTACATTATACTCTCGACCAATTTGTACTGATCATACTGCAGGTACTGACACTTTACTTTCTAGCACACATGAAGCTACCTCTTCTCCTATGGTCCCTCAAGCTCCATCTGAGATTGTGGATCCACCTCTACGTCAATCCATACGCATTCGTAAGTCCACAAAGTTACCAGATTTTACTTATTCTTGTTATTCTTCATCTTTTACTTCCTTTTTAGCTTCTCTTCATTGTCTCTCTGAGCCCTCTTCCTATAAAGTGACAATTCTTGATCTTCTTTGGCAGTAAGCTATGGATGAGGAATTTTCTGCTTTGCATAAGACAGGTACTTGGGATTTGATTTCTCTACCTCCTGGTAAGAGTGTTGTTGGTTGTCGTTGGGTGTATAAGATCAAGACTAATTCTGATGGATCTGTTGAACGATACAAAGCTAGGTTGGTTGCAAAAGGGTACTCTCAACAATATGGTATGGATTATGAGGAGACATTTGTTCTTGTTGCAAAAATGACTATTATTCGTACTCTTATTGCAGTTGTTTCGGTTCGTCAGTGGCATATCTCTCAACTTGATGTTAAAAATGCATTCTTGAATGAAGATCTTCAAGAAGAAGTTTATATGGCACCCCTTCCTGGTATTTCACTTGATTTTGGGTATGTTTGCAAGCTCAATAAAGCGTTATATCGTCTCAAACAAGCACCTCGTGCTTGGTTTGAGAAATTTTCTGTTGTGATCTCTTCCCTTGGATTTGCTTCTAGTAGTCATGATTCTGCTCTTTTTGTTAAGTGCACTGATGCAGGTCGTATCAATTTGTCTTTATATGTTGATGACATGATTATTACTAGTGATGATATTTATGGTATTTCAGTTTTAAAGACAGAGTTAGCTAGACAGTTTGAAATGAAGGATTTGAATTCTCTACGATATTTCTTTGATATTGAGGTAGCCTATTCACCCGGAGGTTATCTTCTTTCTCAGTCGAAATATGTTACAGATATTCTTGAGCGAGCTAGACTTACTGATAATAAGACTGTAGATACTCCCATTGAGGTTAACGCAAAGTATTCTTCTTCTGATGGTTTACCTTTGTCAGATCTTATTTTATACCGTACTATTGTTGGGAACTTGGTATATCTCACTATTACTCGTCCAGATATTGCAAATGTTGTTAGTCAGTTTGTTGTTTCTCCTACTACAGTTCATTGGACAGCTGTTTTTCATATTTTGTGGTATCTTCGGGATATAGTCTTTCAAAGTCTTTTACTTCCATCCACCTTTTTCCTGGAGCTGTGTGCATACTCTGATGCTAATCATAACAGTGATCCCACAGATCGTAAGTCTGTTACTGGTTTCTAGATCTTTTTTGGTGATTTTCTTATTTCTTGGAAGAACAATAAACAATATATTGTTTCTCAATCTTCAACCGAAGCAGAATATCGTGCTATGACACCTACTACCAAAGATATTGTTTGATTACGTTGGTTACTTGCAGATATGAGAGTTTCTCTTTCTCATCCCACTCTTATGTATTATGACAACCAGAGTTCTATTCAAATTGCTCACAACTCAATTTTTCATGAACGAACTAAGCACATTGAGATCGATTGTCACCTTACTCGTCATCATCTCAAACATGACACCATTACTTTGCCTTTTGTTTCTTCTTTTTTGCAGATTGCAGATTTCTTTACTAAATCGCATTCTATTTCTCGTTTTCATTTTCTAGTTGACAAACTCTCGATGCTTGTAGCTGCCGCATCGTGAGTTTGAGGGGAGCTGTTAAGAAATATAGGGTTATTTTGTTTATTAAGGATAGAATAGTCATTTACTTTCCTTTTGTTTAGTCTATATATAATCTCTTTGTATTTAAGTTAAATCACTTCTTTATATTCAATTAAATTATGCAATATCAATAAAACTCTAGCGTCCTCTTTTCTTATCTCTTGTATTTCTCTTTCATTAGATTGTTTAACAAACTGAATATTTAAAGTGTGTACCTGGAGACTTATTTTCATAGGAAAAAAAAGATGAAATAGACAATGAAAGGTGAATTATGACAACTCTTGTTATAAGGAAAGATGGTTTATGCTCCATTATGTGTAAGCTTTTTTCTGCCTTTTTACCTATATAATTGTTCAGCTTCTTTATCAGAATGCTTGATCTCAGACCTTAGCTTCAGTAGTTGAGCCAAATTTTGTAGTTAAGGCTTAACACCATTTCTATTGATTGGATCTCCATTAGTTTGTCGATGTTCTGCACTCCATGTTAACCATTAATTCCAGATGATGAAGAGGGAAAGGGCGAGTTTCAAGTATGATCCAAGACTACGGTACTGACTTTGGTATTGTATATCTATTAATCTCAGTTGATTTGATCCCATTGGCCGAAAAAATAATATAAAAATTTTACACGTGGTATATTTTTATTAGTTGAAAAATAAATAATGGTACTCATTTCAGTATTGTAATGAAAATCATATGGTTTATATCTCTCCACCCACCCCGAATCAACACGAAAAACCCTGCGATGGTACTGATTTGATTTTCATGGATCATCCTCAATTGAGTTTTATGGGCACGGAGGGTTTAACTCGTGAAAATAATTTTTAAAATAAGATTGGGTATGTCTAATTTTTTTAATTCTTGTAATTATGGTATATCATTTTCGATGGGTGTTTAACTTTGACGTTATCAGTCTTCACTCGTTAACCACGTGGATTATCCGTTTCACACACGTTAGTTCCTTAATCTAGGAGAAGATTCTGTTGGCTATTTGGACTTAAACAATTCTTGCATGGATATGTACGGAACCTCCCCAAAAAAATTTAGAATCAGTATCGAAATTTATATATATAGCTATTGAATAATAAATTAATAAAGCAACAAGGAATATTAAAATAAAAATATATGCACTTTTTATTTATTCTCGTACGATATTTTTTTTTTATTAAAAAAAGGAGTGGAGAAAAAGAAAAAGATCTAGATATCACTCCGATAAATTCTCGCCGGTGGGGTCACGAGGTCCTAATCTCGTCTGTTACTTATCTCAGAAACAAACCTAAGGTGAGAAATTCAAACACCAAGTTCTAATGAGTACTCCATTGGACCACCCCGCTCGATAATCTCGCGTACGGTGGTTAGACCCCTATTTTTTATGCCAAAAACACTCTCTTCCCTCCATCTGCTTGGCATTCAACCAAACAAAACTGCATGTATTTACTCTGACCTTTTCATTCCTATCCCTATTTTCTTTCGGCCTCAAACCAAAAAACCATCAACTTTCAGCTGATATAACGTTCTGATTGGGACATATGTATGCATTGGACGTGAATCACATGAAAGAGCACAAACAAGTACAATTTGTGAGGTGAAACAAAGAAAATGGCCAAGACCTTTCACATCTACATCAGAAAAATGGTGTATTAGGCTTTACATCACTGTCTTGTAGTAGCAATCTCAAAATAATTGTCAAAGTGCATACTTCACAAATTTAGGCCTTTCTAATTGCCAAATAACACGGTATGATTCTTAAAATTATTTTTTGATTTCACGCAGATTAATGAATTTTCAATCTAGATTTTACTTTGAATTATTTATAGTTATAATCAAGAAAATAATGTAAAAATAAAAATAAAAAAAAAAACTTGAGCACGTGTCAGATTGTAAGTGAACCAAAAAATAAAAAAGTATCATAAAAGACAATAGAATTTCTTGAACACACCTTTTGTAAGATGGTTTTTAGAGGTCATGTTAATTTATATTTATTCATTATTATCGTAAGTCGTAACTATAATTTTAATTCATGGGTTTACAACTTTTCTAAATCCATGCCAATCGACCTAGGTGATAAAGTGATTCGAACTTGATTATCTTCCTACCAAGGACTGTCACTAAGATTTTGACATGTTACATAATTCAAAGTCGAGAAATGGAGAACTCCAATACGAACTTAATTTGATAGGATTACGAATTAACTTAATTAGAGTTAGAGTTTTCGTTGTTAATGGCTTACACATGTTTTGAAGAACGCGTGGTGGGTGGGGGTCAGCATTTTCTTAATGAACTAATAAACCGTAATTTGCTAGGGATCTCTTCCGATCTCCATTTGGTGGGATACCATTGTCATATGCCTTGATGGGTACATCTTTTTTTCTTTTTGTTCCAAAGTTAGGGATATCTAAATTAATTTACGCACGTTTCAATTAATTTTCTCTCTGATCCGATTAAAGACATACCATTCACGCCGGAACTAAGATATTTATGAGGGATAAATCTCTTATAACACAACTCAAAGAATTATTAAAATTTAAACTCAAAATGTTTGAATTTGTATCTCGTCTCTGTTACCACTTAAACTACCATTCAAAATTCTCAAATAGATACATCATCCAATTACATTACCGATAAAAAAGCACAATTCAATGCATCAAACTTTCGTCATTATAAAATTTAGAGATGTCAGATATATTTGTAACTTTATCTCTGTGCGTAATATTTATTTTCGTCACTCCAACTCTAAACGCACAAGTTATAATAGAACAACTTTAACATACGACAATATCCACTATTGTTCCGTTTTATATTACTTCATCTGTTTCTAAATATCTGTTGTTTTACACAATTTTTTTTGTTTCATAATATATGTCCTTTAATGAAATTAAAACATATTTAATATTTTTTCTTTCAAATTTACCCTTAACCTTTCAATGCATTAGATTAGGTGTAGGCTAAGTGTCTTTCATATTCTTTTTCTTCCTAATATATATTGAATAAATATATTTTAATTTTGTGTAATTATTTTTTACTCATATTAGAGAGATATTTAATAGTTTCATTAATTCTTGTGCAAAAACCTTAAACGACATATATTTAGGAATGGAGAGAGTATTGTGTAACTTGTGTTAGTTTATGACAGCAAAAGAGTAATGTTATATGCACTTAAAAATTAGATTTGATAATCTCAAGTATTGAATAGGTAGTGGGTTTCAATAAATGCTGGAACCCACAGTAAAATCAATGGTTGAGATTATCAAGTCTAGTTTTTAAGTTTATATAGCATTACTCGATACCAAAATACTTTTTTTTTTTTTTTTTTGTATGATACACCCAATCAAAACACCGACACATGTAAAAGTAATCTTATGCAAACTCAACACAATGTTGTGCCTCTGGGGGGGGACTCGAATGATAGCCTTATAACGTGTTTAGGTCTTTTTCGTTTTTGAACAAGAAATTAAATTTAGGACAAATTGTATTTTGACCCCAAAAAAATTTTGTATTGTCAATTTACTACTTAAAAGATTGAGATTCTTATATTGCGCCCTTAATCAAATAAAAAGTCATCAATGTACTTCATTTTTAGAACATTAAATTATATAATTCTGCTAAAAACACTTTAAATTGAGTATTATTCGAGCAATTTGTGTATAGAAATAGGATAATATGACAGATACAACAAAAAAATTGTCGAAAAAAACAATTAACATTTACTTTTCAATACATTGCTACTTCTTTATCTAATTGAAAGTGTAAATTAAAAATATAAGAATTTAAAATGTCATTCCACCCTCAAATTTCCTTGCTCTCATTAGTGAATCCCTATGGACCTTATCTATATGGCGTGGGGTCCAATGAATTTTTAAATATAGATAATGGAGCTTGTTGGCTAGTCATTTATTAATACTGCAATTTTTTTTAATGTATGCTTACCATTAATGAGAGTGGAGATAAAAATTTCATATGGCAGAAGGATATAATGAATAATGTTATTCAAATCTAATTCAAAAAAAAATTATTCAGATCTAATAAATATTTTAATCATAATAAATGGGGTTAATTACACCAAAAGTCTCTAAAATATGAAATTTGTCTCATTTTGGTATCAAATATTTTAATTGTATCATTTTAGCCTCTAAAATATTGAATATATTTATATATAGTTCTCCTCATGCAAAAAATAATACTTAAATATGAGTAAAAAATAATTTGAATAATTCTTTATCAAATTTTTATCCAAATTTTAATTAAAAAATTATTTAAATTACACAATTTGATCGAGAGTTGCAATGCAATTAACCTTAGCAAATATATTTAAAAAAATGTAAAAGAGTAATTTGCACGTGGCTGAATAAAACTAGTTGAGGCAAATAGAAGGCATAAAAACAAACATACATAAAACCGCATGCAGTCCACGAGAAGTGCTGATTCCCAAGTCGTCTTATCCTCGATTCGTCCTCTTCTTCCCTACTCTCTCTCTCGCTGTCTCTCTTGTCTCTTTGTCGCTCTCTGTTCCTGGCTATAAGAGGCCTCTTCTCTTACTCCAACCACATAGTAATCCCCATTCTCTTTCTCCACACAGTTATCACTTGCTTTTCCAAGTTCTCTCTCTTTTTGGTCCATTTCATAAACATAATCCATTGGAAAGTGGGTATAGCGATATGGCTCTGAATCTGCACTCGCCGACGGAAATCAAGGCTATCTCCTTCTTGGAGACCTCTAAATCCAACCACAACCTCAACCTCCTCAAGCTTCAAGGTTTCTCTCTCTTTCTTTCTCACTGAACATTGGGCTACAGATTGATCAATACATTCTGTTAGACTTTGCTACTTCTTGCTGTGATTGGATGTTTATGTTTTGTCGTGGTTTGGAACATTGAAGTTTTTTTTTTTTTGGGGGCTTATTCAAAGTGGGTTGTTCATAGATACTGATTTGAACGTGTTGTGATTGATTTTGTATATAAATTTGGAATAAATAATGAGTTTGACGTAGCTCAAAATTTCAAGACTTTGGCCGGTAAAGACTAATTCTTTTGGTGTTAGGTTGAGCTGAATTCAAATAAGTCATGTACATTTTGTTATATAGGTTCCTTGTGTTCCTCTATTGCAATTTGCTAGATTCGATTGTAATAGCTCTGCAAGCGTAAATGGTGTCTTTATCTCTCTCTGTTTATGAATAAAAGGGTATCTGTTATTATCTTGAAATTTAAAACTTGGAGGGCTTCCTTTTGTCATGGAGATTATTTGGCTTTAAATGGTTGTTGTGAGGGTAGAATCTTTCAATTTAGAATTGGAATAAAGTATATATCATTAGTCTGACTCCAAATGATTGGGACATAATACTTGGTTTGGTTTGGCTAGTAAAGTATATATCATAGTGCGGCCATATTTTGTGGATCCGTGGATAATAGTTTGTTCAAGTTTGTTTATTTGTGATTATTCTATTTTCTTAGGTGGATTAGCTTTGAAGAGGAAGGCCAATGGAGTGGTATATGGGAAAAGAATACATTGCTCAGTACAGGGTCCTCCCCCGGCCTGGCCAGGGTGGGCTGTTGTTGAGCCTGATCGTAAGACTTGGGACGGTCCAAAGCCTATATCAATTGTTGGATCCACTGGCTCTATTGGAACTCAGGTGAAGAATTTGTGCTGTTAATTTGATTGGAATTTTTTTTTAACTTTCTTCTTCCCTCGCATCTTTTCCACAAGCTATGGATTGATTAAACATTATCTAAAGAAACCAACTACTCTTGATATTTGATGGTTTTGCATTAGTGCTTATTTTGATAACAAGAGTCAATTTTCATGTCTTGAACCCAACTAATGATGGAGTAGGCCTTATTTTTACCTAAATTTGCTTTCAAATCCTCTTTCTCTCTCTCTCTCTTTGGCTGTTATTGACAGATAGAACTGGATAAACCTTACTTTGCTTTTTGGTCAAACTAATGGCATGCATTTGCTTTGTGTTTATATGTGTTGGTACCATACAGACATTGGACATAGTTGCGGAGAATCCAGACAAGTTCAGAGTCGTGGCACTTGCGGCTGGTTCAAATGTCACTCTTCTTGCTGATCAGGTGATCATTCAGTTATATTTCCAATGCTGAATAGTCCTAATTGTTCTGCAGCAACCTGAGTTTAGTTGCTTGACAAACCATTGAAATAAATGTCAAAAGTGCCAGCATCCTGTTGCCTTGGTAGTTGGTCCCTTTATTTTCTAAGAAATATATATATCATAAATTCTGTCGATTTTTATTACTCCATCTATGCATAAAGGTTTTCCTTCATTGAGATTTTTTGGGACGGATTTGAGAGCACAAAGGTATTTGGAAATTCTTTGTGTAAAATTTGATCCTTGGCGTAGTAATTTTGAATCCCAGATCCAAACAAATTCTCTTGACATAATGTTATTTTAAAATCCTTAAGGTGAAGTAATTAATAACTAAGTACTATCAACTTCTGTCAGCAATTCATCCCTATGGCAACAACCGGAATTGTCATCACCAATACCATGTCAACTATGGTAGCCTGTTACCACCATATATACATTTGTCAGTTGTCACAGCTGTTGCTTCAACTGCTACAACTGCGACATCCATCAAGCACCAGTACAATTGTCCGTACAGTTTAGGTCAGCATCTTAAGGATATGTTAATTGGTATTCCATCAGTTGAATAATATGATACTGAAACCAGCTTTCATATTTTTAAGGGTGGCCTTACTGTTAATATCCATCTGCCCATGCTCATAATAATTGCATTTGTAGTTCTGTTTTCAGTATGTCTGCAAAGCAAATGCTCATGCAGTTGTATATATTTTTGGAATCCTATCATCAACATGTTCGTCATACAGGTCAAGACCTTTAAACCTCAATTAGTTGCTGTCAGAAATGAGTCATTAGTTGATGAACTCAAAGAGGCTTTGGTGGATGCTGAACACAAGCCTGAAATTATTCCTGGAGAGCAGGGCGTCATTGAGGTTACCTAGCATCAATTTTCCACTCTCTTTTGTTTCCCTGATCGAAGTTGATCTCATTCTTGGTGGTCATTGCTTAAAAAATCTAATTTCAGGTTGCCCGCCACCCGGATGCCGTCACTGTAGTAACAGGAATAGTTGGTTGTGCAGGATTAAAGGTAAATTTGTAATATTTTTTGTGAATGTCTCATTCCATCCATAAGTATGATAGGCAAGATGTTTTGGTTCGATTATTCACTATAATGATATATTATAAAACAAAATGAGGAATGATATTTTTGTTCAACTCCTTCATTGTACTTCCTTGTACATGCACAAACATGTATATATACATTGTATACTCTGTTTTGCGCATGTAAGTTCATCTTTATTCATGATAATGACTGTCATGGACTGTCGAGAGTTTCTTCTGCTTATGTACACATCAATGATTGTTTGAAGTGATTGATAATGTCAATGATTAACATGTTTATAGTCTTGCATCTTTGTGGCATGAAGAATCTACTATGCTGAACAAGCTATGGACAGAGTTTGAAATTCACACTACATCTTTATATAAACTTTTATCTAGTTTCTGGTAAAATATTATTTTTCTTTCTTGGACAAGAGGATGGGTGATGGGGAGCTTTACTTATTCATGTAGAAAGACAAAATTGGGAGAGAATATTTGCCTTTGATTAGAACTTAGTAGTATTTCATGTTCTCTTGTTACTTTTTCTTTCCGAACACTACCACGTCCCTAAATAGAAGGTAATAACTTGTAAAGATAGGAACAACACACAAGCACACACCTTTCCACATGCACGCACATAGAAACGGTTTGCAGCTTTTAATAGAACATTTGATTGTGCAACTATTTGACTAAATTGCTTGCCTTCCGTTGATGATCTTCAGCTGCTGCTTTAACTGCTTTATGCTTCTCTACAAGTTTTGATGCATTCTTCTATAACCTAAAGTATCCTAATCAATTAATGAATCAATGCTGTTCTCAATGTTTAGATTCAATTTATTCTTACTACCTTATTTTTCTTTGTTAGCCTACAGTGGCTGCCATAGAAGCGGGAAAGACATAGCCTTGGCCAATAAAGAGACCTTAATTGCTGGCGGTCCTTTTGTCCTTCCTCTTGCTAACAAGCATAAAGTGAAAATTCTTCCTGCCGATTCAGAACATTCTGCTATATTCCAGGTATCAAAACACATCTTTGTCGATAGATAAGTCCATGCTGGACGACTTGTGTAGAAAGAATTTAATTGCTTTTGTTGTGAAAGTCAGCATATTACCATGGATTCATTTTCCTGCAAGTTGCATAGCCCTGCATACTTATGTACTCCATGCTGATTATAATAGCTAAAGGAAATTTTCAATCTTCAGTGTATTCAAGGTTTGCCAGAGGGTGCACTTAGGCGCATTATTTTAACTGCATCTGGCGGAGCTTTTAGGTATGATGTCATAATTTCAGATATAAACTCTTGATTTGGACTTGAAAATCTATCTGTAGCATGTATTCTGTCTTTGCAACATTGAAAATCATGAATAAGCAATTCTGAACATCTTAGTTCTCAGCTTCCTTTCACTAATGTATACAGTAATCTGTACTTGCAATGTCTGATTGAGGTAAAGTTCATGTTGTATCTTGTCTTTCATGCATCTTTGTTTATGTTTTGTTTCTATGCATATCATAGTAATGCAATAACCTTTAGTTAAAGTGATGATTACGGTTTCCTTTTTAGAGTTCAATTTTATTCATCATTTTATCATAATGTAATCTATAAGTTATTCAAAATTGATAATCTCCTGTTCATACATTCATAAATTGCTGGTTTGATCTTTCCTTTTCCTTGTTGTATCTCATATATTTTTTTGATCTATCAAGTTTTGTAAAGTAATTCGCTTGTGCTGATTTTTACTTTGCATCATGGGTCCTTTCTCGAAACGAGTTAGACATTGATAGTATAGTTGATGACAGGGATTGGCCGGTTGATAAACTGAAAGAAGTTAAAGTAGCTGATGCCTTGAAGCATCCTAACTGGAATATGGGGAAAAAGATTACGGTGGACTCTGCTACCCTTTTCAATAAGGTAATTTCCCTCCGTTGCCTCCATTTTCATTCTGGTGCCATTCTCTCTTTCTCTCTTCCCCTTCGCTCAAAAAAAAAAAAAAAACATGTTATATTTTGCATAAACAGCTCCAATTATGAACTGATGTCTGAGTAGTAAGCAGCCAGATCCTTCTTGCCTGACACTGTATAATGAGTTCTTTTCCATCTTGACAGGGTCTAGAAGTTATTGAAGCTCACTATCTTTATGGGTCTGAATATGATGATATTGAGATTGTTATTCACCCCCAGTCCATCATACACTCAATGGTTGAGACACAGGTTTAACTCCTATCCTGTCCTGGCCTTGGATTATGTCTAAGACATCCCGTTTATCTATCAAATCTGACAGCTGGGAATTTCTTTCTTTTGTTCCCCCTTCGCAGGATTCATCTGTCCTTGCACAGTTGGGATGGCCTGATATGCGTCTACCAATCCTCTACACATTATCCTGGCCAGACAGAATTTACTGCTCTGAGATTACTTGGCCCCGCCTTGATCTGTGCAAGTAAATAGCACACTTCTCTTTCTTATTACAGTTTTAAATTGGCTTATATTCTTTCATTCTTTGACAGCTTATGAAGGTAAACTTCAAAGTTGAAGTTCCATTATCACGAGTAATTTCACTTTTGATAATGGCAAAAAATTAATCCAGTTGTCAGGAATCAGGATACTATTTCTATATGCCTACATTCTTTTGCAAGGACAAATGTACACAGTGACTTCAATGTTCCTTGGTCATCTAAAGCACTTATTTGTTCAACAGAAAGAAGAAAAATTTTGACACAGTTACTTTCTTACAAAATACCAAATTGGCAAGTCACTTTTTGCTTATCTACTTGTCAACAAGTGACTGTAGATGAGGAAGGGGCTAAAACTAGCTGAACTGCTATTATAAACTGCTCATGCAAATGGATGCAAATTTCATGTGCCTCATATGTGTCTATCAAGGTCTGCATTTTAGTTCCTTGTGAATCCTCGTTGTTAAATAACATGAAAAAGAGCAGGCTATTGTACGAGACTTCTTCCACTATGAGGTGTGGAAAGGGTTAGATATTCGCATCCTTACTCCGTGCGCGGAGGCTTTTTCTGAGACACAGGCCATGACCATTTCCCATGATGTGCATCTTTGCATTGCAGCTAAATGTGAGATGAAAATCATGAAAAACATTAGACTATATTGTTGATTCTTATTTGGTTTTGTATGATTAAAACTTCAATGAGATGAAACAGGCTTGGTTCTTTGACATTTAAAGCTCCTGACAATGTGAAATACCCATCCATGGATTTGGCTTATGCTGCTGGGCGAGCTGGAGGCACCATGACTGGAGTTCTTAGTGCAGCTAACGAGAAAGCTGTTGAACTGTTTATCGATGAAAAGTATGTACTTTGTTCTACTTATCATCTGCATGTATTGAAATTTAATTCTTGGTTCTTTTTCTGCCTTATTTTGATGGTGAATGGAATATATTCTTGGTAGCTGTAGCTTCACCCTCTGCAAATGAGTTCTCTATTTGGAGAGTGGCTGTGTTTTCTTGTCGTCATAACTTACTTTTACTTCACATATCAATCCTGTTAAGTTTATGGATGCTGAGATGGTTGGAACCCGATTTTTTGACCTCACCTAAAAGAACCCAAATTGCTTAATGGATTAAAAGGTGGGTTATGGGTGATGTCATGAAAAGTTGAATCTAAGAAGTATAAAATATCGAAGTCTCAAATATATCAACTTCTCCAGTTTCTGTTCCTTTTTTGCCTTCTATGTGCCATCGTTGAGCCCAAGCTAACAACGAGGCTAGGAGTGTGCTGGTTTGATGGGGTGAAACATTTGTGGGTGCAAAAACTACCTTCCCAACAAGTCACCCAGGGATTTTTCTTTTAAATACCTTTTCAAGAAATTCTTTGAGGTTCCATCAGATGTTTTGAGTGCTTATACGGAATATGCCCCTCATGGAATTTTCAGCTAATGAATTAGTTTCCTGTTTTCAGGATCAACTACCTGGACATTTTTAAGGTCGTGGAGCTAACATGTGATAAGCATGAGGCAGAGCTGGTGTCCTCGCCTTCGCTTGAGGAAATCATACATTATGACTTGTGGGCACGGCGATATGCTGCCAGTTTCCAACCCTCAGCTGGTTTGAGTCCGGTTCTTGTATGACTACTCCACATTCGAGTCGAAAATGTTGGTTACAGAATTGTTGTATGCATCCCCCAAATGGACATCTTTGTTGAGGTATGCCAAGCAGGAAGCCAAATTGTGTAGCATTGTTGAAGATGAATAAGTCTCTGTATTCCATCTATAGGTTTTAAATCAATGTATTCAGTTCTTTCTTCAGCATGTGTAGTGAAGAACTCATCTCCAAATATATGAGGGATGGTCATATTAAATATTGAAATATCCGTAATTGATTGGATCATTTAAGCTTTAAGAGTTTGGACTACATATTATAATCAGTTATTGCTCGTGTCTGAAGGTACGAAATAATAAAAAAAATGCTTAATAATTAACTTATTTATATTCACACCTAAAATCAAATTCCAAACATAGAGGAGAGAAAAATGAATTTAAATATCGGTTGTAGTGAGAGTGGACGACAGTAGTGGTGATGGTGAAAGACGGTGATGGATGTGGTGCAAGATGGTGATGGATGTGGTGGAAGACGGTGATGGTTGTGGTGGTGGAAAACGGTGGTTGGCAACAGTGATGGTGGTGGGTAGTGACAAACATGAGTGACGGCGATGGTGTTGGTGGGTGTGGGTGGAGGTGGGCGACATCGATGGTGGTCAGCAACGGTCGTGGTGGGGTAATGACGGTGATTGTGGCAGTGTAGGTTGTGATGATGGATACTTCTAAGCAATAGTGGTGATGAATGGTGGTGGTGATAAGTGTGGTAAAGGGTGGGTGACAATGGTGGGCGATGACGAGTGGTGGTAGATTGTGTAAGTGGGTGGCAATGGGTGATGATAGAAGCTGGTAGTGGGCGATGATGGTAGTAATGATAATAAATATAAAAATGAGATGACAATGGTGATAGATGGTGCCGGTGGTAACAATCGGTGTTTTGGTGATGATGATGGTGGTGGTAATTGTAGCAGAGGTGGTGGTGAGATGGTGACGATGACAATGGTGGTGATAATGGTGGTAGTGGCGGGGTGGGGATTGTGGAGGTGGTGATGGGGTGGCAGCCGTGTAGGTGATGGTGGTAGTAGGGTAGTGGGGTGGGGGTGGTAAGGGTGATAGTAGAACAGTGACGGTGGTGGTAGGGTGGCAACATCGGTGGTGGTAGTGATGATGGTAATGGTGGAGCGATAGTGGTGATGATGATTGTTGTGACAGAGGTGATGATAGCAAAGATGGTGATTATGGTGGAGTAGTGGTGGTGGTTAGGGGGGGAAAGGGTAGTTAGGGTGGTTGGGTGGTGGTCGTGGTGATGGTGGTGGGCAGTGGTGGCAGAGGTGTGGTGGGGGTGGTGCTTGTGGTGTTGGTGCTAGGGTTGGTTATGGTGGTGGGGGTGAGACTATTCCAAATACTAATTTTCTTTGTTTTGAAGTAGTTATGAAAAGTTACAAGTTCTAAAACAGTCTTGAAAAATCATCTCAAAAATATCCTTAGGGACTTATTTTTTCTATTAAATGGTGGTAGTTGTGATGGTCGTGGGGGTGGTAGTAGGGTAGTGGGGTAGGGTGGTAAGGGTGATAGTAGAACAATGACGGTGGTGGTAGGGTGGCAACATCGATGGTGCTAGTGATGATGGTAGTGGTGGTGATGATTGTTGTGACAGAGGTGGTGGTAGCAATGGTGATGATGATGATGGAGTAGTGATGGTGGTTAGGGGGGGGAAAGGATCGTTAGGGTGGTTGGGTGGTGGTCGTGGTGATGGTGGTGGTGGGGGTGGGGGTGGGACTGTTCCAAATACTAATTTTTTTTTTTAAAGTAATTATGAAAAGTTACAAGTTTTAGAAACAGTTTTGAAAAATTACCTCAAAAACATCTTTAAGAACTTATTTTTCCTATTAAAATTGGAAAGTTAATATTAATCATTAGATTAACATTAAAGTAAAATTTAAAACGATCTCAACCGCGAAAAATTAAAATTATTTTGATTATCTTTTGATATTTGAATTATAGTGTACTATATTATATAGATATTTGTGAATCAACAATGAATGACATTTGTTCACAAAGTGAACTAGTCAAAATGGTGTGCCATGTGGCGATCATTTAATAAATGCAAAAAGAAGTAAGTCTATTGACATTATGTTTTAAATTTAAAGGGAAATTGTTATACGAAGGTTTTTGTTCTAAATGAGTGGGTGGTTACCTTGGAATTCAAAAGGTGTTCTTTTGAAATCAGGGAAGCAAAGAAAGAGAAGATAATTGAAGAAAACTGTTTGAAAACGAGTACAACTGTTGATCAAAGGTGCCTATAAAACAGACACTAATTGCAAAGAGGACACGATAAAACCTATTAAATGTTGAGTGTCCTTCGTTATGCCTTCTCATTGAGACCCAATTTAAATTAAAGATATGTGCATGTGTGCATTGGAACTATGCATTGAAAGAGTCTAGCACAATCTAAGAATTGAAGACCTTTTGTCTTCGAATTTTACACTTTGAGTGAAAAAAAAATGTATAGAAAACATTGAGATGAGCTTCTTTTGTGATAGAAAAGTAGAAGACAACAGTCCACTTAAGGCCCTTTTCTACTCTAGTCGAGCTGAAAATTCAGGGACATATTCCTCACTTCCACAACGGGTATCTACTCTTTCGGGTCGTCAATTGGACTCTTCTACAACTGATTTTTAATGACAGAAGTTCAGACATTTCAGTGAGATTTTTCTAGTTGTTTTGTGTTGAAATCCACCTAAGGGTGAAGTTTTTATGTTTGGGAACTAAGGAGAAATTTTTCTCTTAATGTTTGACGTCTCTAGTGGTAACTAGAAGACTTGTAATCCTACTTTCGTTGATAGTGAAGAGATTTAACCAAGTTTGATCTAGTGATTTTTTCCCTTTGTCTTGAAAGGTTTCCAGCTTAAAAATTATTGTATTTCTTGTTATTGGCTTGGTTTACTTATTGTACTTGATTGTAGTTTTGGTTATTCTCTATTAATTTGCGCATAGAGGAAAAGTCACTAGTTTTCACAACATTAAAGACTCATAACTGGGTCATTTTAGGAGTAATACTTGTCATATTTTTAGCTTAGAAATTAGCATTGCAGTTAAGGCTGATTGATTAGTCCTTTGTAACCGAAGTTTCAATTAAGATTAATAAAAGTGTTCTCTCTTTTGTTGTTTCAAACTCTCTTTATTAATTTCATCCAAAGAAGTCCTAAATTAAAACAGTTAAACCTTAAATCAAACGATCATCTGAAACCTCTTTGTCAAAAGACTACACTCTTCGATCGTTAGAGAAAATCATTTGCCCACCAACAATATGTTAGAACCTGCCATTATATTCTATTCTTTGTGAAAAACTAGTTTAAATTTCCAATCAAGCTTGGCACTGTAATGGTAGGCCAAACCATTAGTTATTCCATAGTTGGTAGTCTTAATCATCATTCTACTGGGTCCAATCCTCAGGGAAAAGACTATACTCTGAAGGTGATCACATTATCTTTTATCCTGTCTGTACAGAGCATATACCCCTCTCATTTTACACTTTCTTGTACTAAAGCTCACATATTACATATGAGGAAAGACAGATTTCTCGTAAAATAAAGATCCAGTCTGACTCTAAGGACGAAGCAACTCAAAATGAGTGTTAGCAACTCTGATTTTGATAATCGTATACGATTGACCAGACCATCTCTTTACTATCTTTTCCCTTGACACTAGCCTGGGAAGTATAAGTTGTTAGCATCCTGATGTTTCTGATTGAGATAGGGATTTAAGTGTAAGATAAAAAAGAGTATACAAGTGGGGTTCTTCTGAACATGGCCAGCTACCTCATTAAGGTTTACTGTTTCACTCTTGAAAATTACACCAGTGAAAACCCATTACATGATCTCTAGTGTTCAAGTTCTAGACTCAGTAACAAGCACACTGATTGATCAGATTTGAAACTCGGAGACTAAACCACTGAAGTTCTATTAGAAATAGTCTATAGACAGATTGACGAATATGAGAAAATAACTACCTATGTAAATATGTGACACGTTACACCACAAGACCAATCTGATCTAGAAGGCTGGTGGGGGTCCAAAGGACTCTCTTACTCATTGTTAACAAGGTAAATGAAATTATATTTGATAACAAGGGATGTACAAGGTGGACCTATACAACAAAGGTAACACATTAGAACAAAAGGGATTAAACCTAATAATAGAATTCAAGGGGAAGTAAGTGCCATATATAGAATCACTTCCAATTGAATCCCATTCAAGCAATACCAAAATGCATCATACAATTAAACAAGACTTCTGAGTAACAGGTCCCATTGAAGAGCCAACTGCATATTAGTCCCACAGGGACTGAAATAGGTCATTATAGCCGCATTTTTTTTAATTTATCATATTTTCAATAACACTTTTTTTTTAAAAAAAAAAAATGTTACTGACACCTTTTCTAGTTTATATTTAAACATCAATGCTCCTGTCATTAAACTACCATTTCTAACATGAACAAAAAAGAAAAATTTCAGTCACACCCTTTCAAGTTTATCATATCTTCAAGGACAACTCTTCTATTTTCCAAATCTTTACTGATGTCAGATTAAAAATGTTCATTAGAATACATTTTTACTAAATTGTCCATGACACATTTTTAAAAAAAATTCATCCATACCCTTTTTAGGCAGACATATATTTAATGAGGTCTCCTTTGTTTTCTAAGTTTTTTTGCTTATTAAAATTTGGGCTAATTAAAATTTATTTTTTATGTATTAAAATTCGAGTGAATTAAAAATTATATTTTTTTACGTATTAAATTTTGAGTCAATTATTTTTAATCGATTCAAATATTAGGGAAATTTTTTTTCAACTTACCAAAATTAATTCCTCTAAAATCGGAAGGAAAGTAGATGAAATATTAGTTATTTGTGTTTAGATATATCTTATTTGTCATATATATATTATGTATACATTAATTTCATATAAAAATATAATGATAAAATATGTGTGTATATATATATATATATATTTTTTTTTTTTTTTAATTAAAAAAAAATATTTTTTCATCTTAACTAGGAGTGAAAATTTTTGATCCAACACAATGATACGACTCAAACTTGACACAAATTTTATGACACGAATTTGATTATAACTCGACACGAACTTAAAAATGACCTGACACGCGAACAAAAAATATAAAAAACTCATAATTTTATGACTCAACACGAATTTGATACGACACAACTCGATTGTCAACCTTAATCTTAGACATCACAAAAAAAAAATTAAAAAAAAATTGGTCATTTTTATTTTCCATCCATCCAACCAAACACAAAAGAAGTAAAATGTATCATTCCTATTTTTCATTCATGAAGGATAGAAAGTGTATCCTTCCTACTTTCTATTTTTCATACTTTCTATCATTTATACCAAACGAAGCATTATAGACATAACTGACGTGGAGGTCGTCCAAAATTTTATATCAACAGTACTAATTATGATTTTTTTTTTAAAAAAAAATTTTTAATTTTATTTCAATAAATAACATAATAAAACATGAATTTTTGCTGTAAAAATTAAAATATTTGATATTCTATTTTTAATTAGAGTATTTTTGGTTTAAATGTAATATTTTAAATTAAAAAAATTTAAATATTACATTCTTCAAATTTTTTGTCACAAGTATAATTCTATGCAAGTATAATTCTTATATATATGATCATAAGTTTAATAGAATGCCATATGTGGTTGAATGATATCTCTTTTTTCCGTATGCAATGAGATTAATTAGTTCCTAGAAAAGAAAAACCATGTTTTTGCTAAAAAAAAAATCATTTCCTTTTACTGACAAACATCACAATTGTAAGAGAGAAACCATTGGACGCCCTATATGAGAATCTATTAGGGGTAACTCGTAATGTTGGTGGCGGTTGGATAAATCTATTTGAGATAATCGAATGAGTTTATTGAAGTTTGCTCTATTTTATATTATAAATGGATAAAACTTACCCCTAAAAACTAATTTGAAAAGAAAGATTGTCCAAGAATTTATATACACACATCGAATCTTATTTTTTAACTACTGTGAGATCGTAACATTACCACTCTAGATAAACACAGGAGGACATCCTAGCATTTTTTTACTTCCCTGGCCGGATTCAAATTCCATCTATACTTGCTACTCTACCTTGATAATTAACATTCTCCTATTAATTTCTTTCCTTTATTTTTTTCTTGAAAAATCATTAGCTATTAATGAGTGTGAGACTCTCTTATGATCATTCTAGAACACGTGTTACAAATTTGGTATGTGACATACCGACATGGTAAAGACTGAAAAAGGCATAAGAATCATCCTGGAGTTAATTAAAGTGAATCAACAACAAAAACGAAATTGGAAATTTCTATTTCTAAGCCATAAAAAGAAAGAAACCCTGAATAGTAAATCAACCATTACTCTTCGGGGAAATTAACATTAAAAATAAAATTTCCATGAGTTAAAATAAGGATATGGTACGTGAGAGAATTTCAAGGGTCACGTACATGTTGAAAAGAAGGCATCGTTTTATAATAATTTTCTTGTACAAGAGTCACCACTATTTCTTTATAATTTTTCATTTGTGTCTTTAAACGTAATAAAGTCTCTATATATCTTCCCTTGCACGCCAACACAATGCACGAACACAATCTTATCAAGACAATCTTCTACAACAAACCAAACCACAATCAACCAGTTTTAGCGAGTATACATCACCGCGTATCTCTTTCTCTCTCTCTCTCTCTGTTTGTGTGTGTGTTTGTGTAGAATACTAGAATCAATGTTGAAAAGGAACATCAACTGTGAAAGTTTGTTGAACACGGAAAAACAATAAAGGAACAATGGAGGTTGTAGAAAAAACAGAAAAAAAAAAAAAAGAAATTGGGTAAATAGTTATATTTGTGTGATGAATTTGTATTTGTTAATCGAAAAAAAAAAAGACAGACTGTTTTCAAGAGTAAAAACAACGTTATGTCGTGCTTGTTGAGGGTTTTTAGTCGTCGGTGATCACTTTTGAAGGATCCTTCTCTCCCATCTCTCTTTTTAACGTTTTAGATTGTTTATTTTTCTGTTCTATTGCAGCAGTTTTCTGCGTTATACTTATCTTTTTTTTTTTGTTCTTTTAATTATGTTTTATGAATTTGAATTATGTAAATATTGGATTTTAGATTTTGATCAATCATACATCGTACACTTTTATATGAACCAAAATCTTTTCAATTAAATTTATGATAGATGATTTAAAGTCGTAGAATTTTTAAAAATGGACCCAAAAGAGTCCCATTGGAATTCTTTAAGAACATTGTCCTGCTTGATATAAAAAAAAAAATTATCCTAAATCTTTTTAATAGGTCAACAAATTGTGGCATTATTGTTAAAAAATATGGCATTTTTTTCCCATATTGTGTTAATTATCTCCATGTGAATGCCACCTAAAACAAATCAACAGAAGCAACGAAAACTGATCAAAATTTATGCAGTTTGTACATATCTGGTGTTATTTTTTATTTGGTATGTCTCTTTCTAGTTATGCTGTAAATAGTCACAATATAATTTAGTTTTAATCTTTTCCATTGCCACAATTCTCTTTCCATGTCTGTCCTTATCAGGTTATAATCTCTCTGCCTTCCTTTTCTTGCCCACCAAGTTTTAATCACTCTTTCTTAGATAGTTAGACCTCTGTGTATATTTTTATTTATTTTTTTGCGAGGGAATTTTATTGATTAAAATTAAATTACACCTAGACATGGGCGTATGTACTTTACCCCTCGATGCAATCTAATTACATGGATTTAAAATTAAAATAAAACCAGAGAGCAAAAGCATGCATAGTTACAAAATAATGAAATGAAAGAAAATAAGCATGCTGCCCCTAAAATATTAATGACAGTAACTGTTCTGAGCTGGGAGCCTAGCTGCGAGAAAGAAAGGAGCTGAGAGCAGCTCACATAAATTAAAAACAGCAGCTGATTTGAGCTATGAGCAACAGTTGTCTTGAGCTGGGAGACAAGCTGTGGGAGCTATTTGAGCTGGAAGAAGCAGAGAGGAGCTGAAGTAGAGGCGCCATGATCAGTGGAGCTAAGCAACCGACAAGCCTTATTGGGAATCTGCTCCTAGTAGACTGGAAAACGCGTGATAATTCAGCTGCCTTATTGATGAGGAGGCTGCAGGGTATGTGAAAAGTCCTCTGCTAGTTGATAAGCTATCTGAGAAGGCAATCGAGAAGATAGATCTCATAAAACTAGATCTGATAAGGCATATGAAAAGTCTGATATGAGCAGAAGTCTGATAATCTGTGATGCATCATCCAAAATCCAAAAAGTCAAACAGAGAGGCAATAGAAAGATGAGGATGATCCTGTAACAGAAGCCCAACAGAAATCTGGAATTCCTATGAGTGCTGAACTGCAGCAAGATTCCATCATGGAAGATATTTGCCAGAGTTAAAAGGTGTATATATACATATACCTATATGTATCCAACTAAAGATATTGAATTTGGAATGTGTGACTCAGGTGGTACATAACAACTCAGATGGGTCATCATAATCATCACCTCTGGTTCCTGTTGGTTTGTATCTTGCTTCCACAAAACTGCCACTCATGGGGTTGGTCTTTTTCTTCCAAAGAGGCTCCATCGACGGATTACCCTTCAGAGAACATGGTAATTTCTGGTGATGTAGTTGCTGAATTCTCTATGGAACCTCTCAGCAACCAGAAGGGAATGAAGGTGGTTGAAATGGCCAGAAGAAAGTTGGCTGCGTTGAGAGCGGAATGCTTATCGGAATCTCTTTGCTGGTTGTTCCGAGATTCTTGCTGACGAAGAGAAGCGGTCGAGGCTTGCTTGGCATCTTAGTGATTGCTTTCAAAAGGAATCTCGGAGGCCTGCTTTCCCTTATTGCAACCTGAAATCTACCATGGTGAATTGTCTCAAAAACTTGGATGTCGATGCTCATAAGATTTATCTCGAGTTCTACCTTGAGACCAACTCCATCTGTCATAATTTACAGTTAAATCTCTCTCTCTCTCTCTTCATATATATATATATACACACACACATAGGTGTGTGCGCGCGTGTTTGTCTATATAAAAAGTGTGTTTTGGTCTTTTGTTGAACCCTTTTTTTATCATGGACACTGAATTTTGGACTGTTTTATCGTAGAACTGATGCATTCAAACGTCAAACAGAGAGATTAGTGAATGAGCTAAAGAAGTCCGCTGAATATGCAGAAATTAGGGAACATAGAAGAGCAAGCTGTGCATCTATTGGAGAATATAAATCAAATCCATGATTCTTTAGCTTCAATTGACCTCCAAACACAAAAGTGGCTCAAACTACAAAGAATATAGAAGATCATGTTAATGTTGTGTTACAGCACTCGGAAGAAATATATACTCAATCCAAAGGAATTGCAGTTTCTCAGTCAGAATTGCGGGAAGGACAAGAAAAAATGAGGGAAAAGTTGCAGGAAGGGATGGCAATGCTTCATGATTCATATGATAATTTGGGACAAGAAATTACTAACTTAAAGAATGAAGCAGTAGAAATAGAGAAGGAGATCAATAAAGTTGGAGATGCAATGTCTTCGAAGATGGAAAGTCTGCAAACCAAAGCTGATGATATCGGGAATATGGCAGGAATATCCTTAGACAAGCAAAAACAACTCCTTGATGGGCAGTCTCTAGGTCTTGAGGGTGTTCATTATTTAACTAAATTCCAGTCCCAAGCACTCGAAGAGAGCAGGTAAAATAGACAAGAAACTTCTGTTATCAAAATTAAATCCAAGACAATTTATATAAGTGAATATGAATTAGTCATCTAGTTTTTAAATATACAGGGGTACTCTACAACAGTTAGCTGAATTTGGGCATAAACAAGAAGAAGAACTTCTTCGACGGCAAGAACAACTTAAACAAGCTCATGATCGTCTGGTTGAAAATTCAAAGACAATATTGGAAGCTCAGGTTAGTTTTTACAGCAATTGGTTATTTTACTTCACATAATTGTTCGATCAATTACAACCTCTCTGTTTTACAGGAAGCTTTTGAATCAAAGCAAGCAAGCATGTTCATTGCCATAGACAAGCTCTTTGCCTTGCATAATGCTATGCTCCTTGAATCACGACTAATTAAAACTTTCTTTGCCTACTCAATATTTATCTTTGTGCTCTACATGTTCACCAGTACAAAACAAACACACACTGTGAGACCAAGGCTCTATATAGGTAATTGATCAATCAATCAGCTTTTATCTTCCGAAATATGAAACATAGAGTAGGTTTTAGACTCAAGATTGTTGCTTTACATTTGATTTTCATTTGCAGGGTTATGTGTTGCATTCTTGATTGAATTCACTATACTGCGGTACAGCACAAATGATATCGAAGAAGAAGCATGGATAATAAGTATCGTTAGATCATTCTTTGTGCTTCTTGCCTCAATCCAACTTCTATATGCCATTTGTACATACAGGTGAAAATACAAACTTGAGTAATCTTGGTGTTGAGATCCGTGTACATATAAGTAATATATTCAAGTGTGTATATGATGATTGTGCAGAGACTATGAAATATTGAACCACCAGATGCTAGCTACACTGATTGAGAAAGTCAATGGCATGCAAAGAAACAAAAAGTCATCGCGGGACATGAACAGTGAGGTGAACTGGTCTTCGTGGGTTGACACTGAGCTACCAGAAGATGTAGACAAATTACAAGACCCAGACTTTACCCTTCCAGAGGAAGTAGGAGAGAATTCGGTTGCAACCTCCACAATTACAAGAAAATACAATCTTCGGAATCGATCTCATCGTGTCTAGTTTCCTGATCGATTTTTAACCGAGTCCAAAATCTAGAATACTTACCAACTGAACTTATGTAACATTCTTTCTAGTAATAATTCAAACGATGAATGACTACACAAGTATACCTTTTTTTCTATATAAAGATTTAATGTGATGTGCAATTTTACAGTATTACTTCACTTGAGAGTTTTATTCTCCCCAAAACGAAGCACATGCATGTTGTTCATTGGAAAAAGGCAAGCACATCATGTACATTTTGAAGATTAAGAGAGTTGTTCGTCATAGTATAAATGCATATTGTTAGTTGAAAAAGGGCAAGCACATCATATACATTTTGAAGCTTAGAGAGATTTTTGCCATACCTCTACCATAATGGTTGCTCACCTTGATCCAAGACATTTGGCACCCCTGACTGAGCTAAAACCTGGAGTTGATGACTTCGTCTCAAGGGCAATTTAGATATAAACCTTCAATCCTAATTAGACTTGCGACATTGACCATGAAAACACATAGCACATTCAGGCTAGTGTGTAGATAGCGCTTTGAAAGAGGCAGGACTTACTTTAATGGTGTAGATGTTTTTGGTATCCCAGTACAAGTCCTTAACTTCAGTTACAAACTTCATCCAATGGTGGCAATCTACACAAACATGGAGATTATTTGTGATACTAATTGGACAATATAGCAAATTATTTGCCGTGCCTTCCGTCCCTTTTTATCTTCTCACTATCTTTAGATCCTTCCATATCGCTACATTTACAAAAACGTCTCCCATCGCATAATTACTTGGATGTTAGGTTCAAGCTCAAGCAACCATTTTGCAACGGCCTATGCAAGAGAAACATTGCAGTAAAGTAGGCACGAAGAGTAATAAACCTCACCAGCTTTTCAATAACTGCAGTGCTTTCCTAATTCTCCCAGCTCTACCTTGTATATCCAACAAACAAGCATAGTGATCTCAAGTAGCATTCAACCAGAACGCAACTCCTGTTCTACCAAACAATGCAGTAGAACACACGTTTTGCAATTCATTTCATAATCTGCCCACCCAGCTAAACCCCATACCCACTTTTTGCGTTCTCGTAAAAGTTTTAAAAGCCTCAAAGACTGTCTTTTCGAACAAACCCGGCAATCAATGAGTTCCAATAAACAAAAATCTCTGTGGCATATTTTCAAACATCATAAATACATCTCCCAAATACACAAACAAACGGAACACCTTGAGTGTCATCTAGATCTCTCATATTCCGTTTGGTACGATGGAAAAATGGGAGTATAGAAAGTTGGAAAGATAAATAAAACATCATATTTGGTAAGGAAGGAAAGTAGGGAGGATGAAAAAGTGGATGAAATAACTTTCTTTCTAACTCATCAAAATCAATCTCTCCAAAATCGGAAGGAAAATAGATGGAGAGTTATTTATTTGTGTTGAGATGTATCTTATTTATCTATATATTTTTTTATATATACATATATTATGTATACATTAATTTCATATAAAAATACAATGGTAATATATACATATATATATATATATATATATTAAAAAATAAAACTTAAATATAAAATAACAAAATTAAAAAATAAAAAAATAATAAAAAAAAATTTAAATTAAAAAAAATATTTTTTCCATCTTTACTAAGGTGAAAATTTTAGACTCAACATGATGACACGACTCGAGCTCGATACGAAAATAAACAGGTCAATTCGCAATTCGACACGACACGACACAATTAATTAAATAAGTTAAGTTAAGTTTGACTAATATTTGACACAAACTCATAATGACTTAATACGAATCTGACACGACACGACACGACTCGATTGTCACCCCTAATCTTAGCTAGCACAAAAAAAAAAAAATTATCATTTTTATTTTTCATCCATCCAACCAAACACAAAGGAAGAAAAACGTATTTTTCTTACTTTTCATTCTTTCTACTTTTCATCCTCCCTACTAAAACGGAGCATAAGTTACCCTGTTGAATTAAACGGGATAGCATGTCGCAGTAGATAAGCAAAAGCTTCTTTTGAAACCACAATTCTTGAATACCCAATTCTCGTTGTCACCCACACTAAATCGCCTCAAGTCTATCTTCAAATCACACAAATAGCCTCATCGGTGATGATGATAGTAGTGACAATCATGGGTGATGACGATGATGGTGATGGGTGTGAGTGGTAGTGGTGACAATGATGGTGGTTAGTAGTGGTGGTCAATAGTAGACGACAGGTGTTTTTGGATAACAGTGTGATGGGATGTAGCAAATGACGGTGGTGGTAAATGTGGTGGGCGATAATAGGGGGTGGTGGTAGGTGTGGGTGACAGTGGCTGACAGAAATGGTGGGCAATGACGAGTGGTGGTAAGTTACGGTAGTGGGTGATGGTAGACAATAATAGTGATGGTGGGTTCTGACGGTGGACGACGGTGATAGTGGGATGATGGTGATAGTGACAATAAATGTAATAATGAGATCACGACGATGATGGGTGATGTTGGTGGACGACGATGATAACAATCGATGATAGTGATGGTGGGGGTGAGGGGGTGGGGTGAGGGGGTGGGATTGGAGATGGTCCAGTGATGGTGGTGGGGTGGCGGCGGTTACAATGGTGGTGGTAGTTGTGATGGTCGTGGAGGATAGGGTGGGGTGGTAGGGGTGATAGTAGGATAGAAGCAGTAGTGGTAGGGTGACGACAATATTGATGAAGATAGTGGTGGGGCTGGTGGTGGTGGTGGGGTGGAAACAACGACGACGACAGTAGTTATGATTGTGGTAGAGGTGGTGGTAGAGTAGCGACAGTGGTGATGGTGGTGGTGACAGTTGTTATGATAGTGGGATGTAGCAAACGACGGTTGTGGTAAATGTGGTGGGCAAGGGAGTGGTGGTAGGTGTGGGTGACAGTGACAGATAGAGAATGGTGGGCAACGATGAGTGGTGGTGGACAATTATGGTGATGGTGGGTGTTGACAGTGGACGACGGTGATAGTGGGATGATGGTGATAGTGACAATAAATGTAAAAATGAGATCACGCTGGTGATGGGTGATGTTGGTGGATGACAATGATAACAATCAATGATGGTAAGGGTGAGGGTGAGGGGGTGGGGTAGTAGAGGTGGGGGTGGGGTGAGGGTGGTGGGATTGGAGATGGCGCAATGGTGGTAGTGGTGGGGTGGCGATGGTTGCAGCGATGGTGGTAGTTGTGATGGTCGTGGAGGATAGAGTGGGGTGGTAGGAGTGATGGTAAAATATAAACAGTGATGGTAGGGTGATGACAATATTAATGAAGATAGTGGTGGCGATGATGGTGGGCCTGGTGATAATGGAGATAGAGGTGGTGGTGGGGTGGAAACGACGACAATAGTAATTGTGATTGTGGTAGAGGTGGTGGTAAAGTAACGACAGTGGTGATGATGGTGGTGGCAGTTGTGATGGTAGTGGGGGTGGTGGTGGGATAGTACTGATATCAGAGTGGTTCTAAATACTATTTTTTTCTTAAAGTATTTATAAAAAATTATAAGTCTTAAGAGTCACTATTAAAAAGTCATTTCAAATACATTCTTAAGGATTTATTTTTTTTATTAAATTTTAGATCACAATATTAGTTATCGAATTAATTTTAAAATAAAATTTAAAAAAATTTTAATCACAAAAAACAAAAAAAAAATTATTTATTTTTTAGATTTGAATGTATTAATTATATAGATGTTCCAAAAGTGGGATCGTCAAGTGCCCACCCTCCCCCAAAGTTGGCTCCGCTCCCTCTCTCTCTCTCTCACTCACTCAACATTGGTTTATGGATTGATTAATACATTCTGCTAAGACTTCTCTACTTCCTGCTGTGAACAAGAGGTGAGTGGATGTTTATGTTTTGTCGTGATTTGGAACATTGAAGTTTTTTTTTTTTTTTTTTGGGACTATTCAAAGTGGGTTGTTCATAGATACTGATTTGAACGTGTTGTGATTGATTTTGTATATAAATTCGGAATAAATAATGGGTTTGACGTAGCTCAAAAATTCATGGCTTTGGTCTGCAAAACCGCCTTCTTTTTTGGTATTAGGTTGAGCTGAATTCAATTTAATCAATGAATTCCTCTATTGCAATTTGCTAGATTCAATTGTAACAGCTCTGCAAGTGCAAATGTCGTATCTATCTTCCTCCCTCGGTTTATGAAGAAAAAGGGTATCTGTTATTATTCTATTTTCTTTTAGGTGGATTTGCTTTGAAGAGGAAGGCCAATGGAGTGGTATATGGGAAGAGAATACATTGTTCAGCACAGCTTCCTCCCCCAGCCTGGCCAGGGCGGGCTGTTGTTGCGCCTCATCGTAAGACTTTTGATGGTCCAAAGCCTATCTCAATTGTTGGATCCACTGGTTCTGTTGGTACTCAGGTGAAGAACTTGTGCTGTTAATTTGATTGGAAACCAACTACTCTTGATATTTGATGGTCTTGCATTGGTGCCTATTTTGATAACAAAATGAGTCAATTTTCGTGGCTTCAACCCAACTAATGATGGAATAGGCCTTATTTTTTTCCTAAATTTGCTTTCAATCCTCTCTCTCTCTCTCTCTCTCTCTGGCTGTTTTTTGGTCAAACTAATGGCATGCATGTGCTTTGTGTTTATAAATTTCGTTTATTCCTTACAAGTATGTGTTGGTACCATACAGACATTGGACATAGTTGCGGAGAATCCAGACAAGTTCAGAGTCTTGGCACTTGCGGCTGGTTCAAATGTCATTCTTCTTGCTGATCAGGTGATCATTCAATTTTATTTCCAATGCTGAGTAGGCCTAATTGTTCTGCAGAAACCTGAGTTTAGTTGCCTGACAAACCATTGAACTAAATGTCAAAAAGTGCCAGCATCCTTGCAATCTGTTGCCTTGGTCCCTTTATTTTTTGAGAAATATTGATTTTTTGGAAGGATTTGAGGGCACAAAGGTATTTGGTAATTCTGTGTAAAATTTGATTCTTGGTTCAGAAGAAACTGGGGATTCTTAAATCCTCTGGAGTGTTCGACAAAGTAATTTTGAATCCCAGATCCAGAACAAAATCTCTTGACATAGAAGTTATTTTAAAATCCTTAAGGTGAAGTAATTAATAACTAAGAACTATCAACTTCCACCAACAATTCATCTCTTTGGCAATGACCGGAATTGTCATCACCAATACCACGTCACTATGTCACTAGTAAGAACAATTGTACTGTTGGTTGATGGAGGTGGCAGTAGTAGCAGTTGAAGCATCTTAAGGATCTGTGAATTGGTATTCCATCATTTGAATAATATGATACTGAACCAACTTTCATATTTTCAAGAGTGGCCTTACTGTTTATAACCATCTGCCTATGCTCATAATCTAAGAAGCATGGATACGGACACGGATACGACACGACACGGACACACCGACACGACATTTCTTAAAAAAGTAGGACACGGACACGTTAGGGACAAGCTACAAAAAAATTATATTTTATATATAACATTATATAATTTATTGCAAATATAGTGATAATGATATACAATTCATAAAAAAATTAGTATTTTATGATAAGAAAACCTAATGTCTAGTCATCTGTGTGAATTTTTAGACTAAAAAATCCTTATTATAGTCAATAATTATCAATTTTTTTTTGTAGACAATGTATACCTAATATATAATTTAAATAATTGTCCTCATTTTCTCAATTCCTCTTTTTTAAAATTTTTATGCATCTTTTATTTTTATTATTATATTTGGAGTACAACTTTAATATGTCTAGTATTAGTAATTATATGTTTTCAAATTTTTAAGTTTTGTTAATCACATTTCAACAAATGTCTATTGTTTATTAGTAGACACGTTCCAAAGAAGTGTCAGACACGTCATCAAACAAGTGTCTGACACGTGTCCAAAATTAAAAATTTATCATTTAATTATGGATACGGATAAAATAGTATTGAACACGTGTCCGAGAGTGTTCGAAGAGTGTCGGTATCCGACACGGATACGTCACGTTCTCAAGAATGTCCATGCTTTATAGCTCATAATAATTAGCATGTGTAGTTCTGTTCTCATATTTCTACAAAGCAAATACTCATGCAATTGTATCAATTTTTGGAATCTTATCATCAACATTTTCGTCATACAGGTCAAGACCTTCAAACCTCAATTAGTTTCTGTCAAAAATGAGTCATTAGTTGATGAACTCAAAGAGGCTTTGGCGGATGCGGAACACATGCCTGAAATTATTCCTGGAGAGCAGGGCGCTATTGAAGTTAGCTACCATCAATTTTACAACTTTTTTTTTTCCCTGATGGAAATTGAACTCATTCTTGGTGGTCATTGCTTAAAAAAAAAACTAATTTCAGGTTGCTCGCCACCCGGATGCTGTCACTGTAGTAACAGGAATAGTTGGTAGCGCAGGATTGCAGGTAAACCTGTAGTCTCTTTTGGGAATTCTCATTTCTTATGGACTTTTCAGCTATAACATTTCAGGTGCATGAGCATCCATCCAAAAGTATAATAGGCAAGATGTTTTGGTTAAGTTTGATTATTCACATTAAGTTTTGCCTGAAACATCAATATAATGATATATTATTTAAAAAATGAGGAATGATATTTCTCTTTAAGTCCTTCATTGTACATCCTTGTACATTCACAAACATCTATATATACGTTAGTTTTCTTTGTTGGCCTACAGTGGCTGCCATAGAAGCAGGGAAAGGCATAGCCTTGGCCAATAAAGAGACCTTAATTGCTGTCAGTCCTTTTGTCCTTCCTCTTGCGCACAAGCATAAATTGAAAATTCTTCCTGCCGATTCAGATCATTATGCTATATTCCAGGTATCAAAAGATGCAAAACACAACTTTGTCGATAGATAAGTTCATGCTAGAAGACTTGTGTAGGAGGAATTTCAATTGTTTTTGTTGTGAAGGCCAGCATATTACCATGGGATTCATTTTTTTTGCCACTTGCATAGCCCTGCATTCTTATGTACTCCATGCTGATTATACTAGCTAAACGAAAATTTCAATCTTCAGTGTTTTCAAGGTTTGCCAAAGGGTGCTCTTAGGCGCATTATTTTAACTGCATCTGGCGGAGCTTTTAGGGATGATGCCATAATTTTGGATATAAACTCTTTGTTTGGATTTGGAAATCTACCTCGAGCATGTATTCTATCTTTGCAACATTGAAAATCATAAATAAGCAATTCTGAACATCTGGGCGTGTTTGGTTTGCGATTCAAAAACTGTTTTTTGTTCTCAAAATATTAAAAACACCCAAATCCTATTTGCTTAGGACTTTTGTTCTTAAATTTTTGAAAAAAAAATGAGATTTAGAACATAAAAATAGAAAATAATTAAACTTGTTTTCACAGTTTTCTTTGAAAATTTTGGAAACATGGAGACAAGGTAAACAAGCTAAATGAGGTCGCAGCTTCGAGCCCCCTTAGCAGCAAACAACGTCTTCTTTTTTTTCCTTCCTCCCTCTCTCCACTATGCCCAGCGTCTTCTTCTCCGGCGTTTTCACTGTGCTTCAAATCTGCCTATCTCTCCTCTCTCTCCACTGTGCTTTAGATCTGCCCCTTTCTCCCCTCTCTCCACTGTGCTTCAGATCTGCCCCTCTCTCTCTTTCGCAACAGTTACAGATCTGTGTGGGTCTGTGTATATGTGTGTGTCTGCATGTGTGTGTGTGTGTTTTGTGTGTATGTATGCCTGTGTGTGTGACTGTTCTAGTGAGAAGATAATGTGGAGAAAGAGAGACAGAGAGAAAGAGAAAGAAGACTCTAGACGGTGACTGCTGGAGAGAAAAAATGTGATTTTTTTTTGGTTAAAAGTAATAAGTTAAAAATTAGTTTTGTGGATTATTGTCCAAACATATTTTATAATTTTTTGTTCTTTAAAACTATTTTCAAAAATATATAACCAAACAGGTTTTGCAATTTAAAAATTTTCAAAAATATTTTTTTAAAATTCTTCTCAAAAATTATTTTCAGATACTGTTTTTTGAGATGCAATCCAAACATGCCCCTTATTTCTCAGCTTCCTTTCACTAATATATACAGTAATCTGTACTTGCAATGTCCGAGTGAGGTAAAGTTCATGTTATATCTTGCATCTTTGATTATGTTTCATTTCTATCAATATCATAGTAATGCAATAACCCTCAGTTAAGTGAAGATCACGGTTTCCATTTTAGAGTTCAATTTTATTCATCATTTTATCACCAAATAATCTATAAGTTGCTCAAAATTGGTAAGCTCTTGTTCATACATTGATAAATTCCTGGTTTGGTCTTTCCTTTTCCTTGCTGTATCCCATATACTTTTTTTATCTATCATGTTATGTAAAATAATTCGCTTGTGCTGATTTTTATTTTGCATGGGTCCATTCTCGAAACGAGTTAAACATTGATTGCATGGTTGATGACAGGGATTGGCCGGTTGATAAACTGAAAGAAGTTAAAGTAGCTGATGCCTTGAAACATCCTAACTGGAAAATGGGGAAATAGATTATGGTGAACTCTGCTACCCTTTTCAATAAGGTAATTTCCCTCCGTTGCCTACATTTTCATTCCAGGTGCCTTTCTCTCTTTCTCTCTCTTCCCCCCAAAAAAAAAAATCATGTTATATTTTGAATAAACAGCTCCAGTTATGAACTGATGCCTGAGTAGTTGGTGGTCAGATCCTTTTTGTCTGACAGTGTATAATGGGTTCTTTTCCATCTTGACAGGGTCTAGAAGTTATCGAAGCTCACTATCTTTATGGGTCAGCATATGATGAAACTGAGATTGTTATTCAACTCCAGTCTATCATACACTCAATGGTTGAGATACAGGTTTAACTCCTGTCCTGACTTGTCATGGCCTTCAATTATGTCTAAGGGTTCCTGTTTATCCATCAATGAACTTATTTACTTTTGACATGTGAGGTGCACTATAGTTCGAATCTGACTGCTTAGAATTTTGTTTCTTTTGTTCCCCCTTTGCAGGATTCATCTGTCCTTGCACGGTTGGGAAGATCTGATATGCGTCTGCCAATCCTCTACATATTATCCTGGCCAGACAGAATTTACTGCTCTGAGATTACTTGGTCCCGCCTTGATCTTTGCAAGTTAATAGCACACTCACCTTTCTATTTGAAGTTTTAAATTGGTTTATATTCTGTCATCCTTGGACTGCTTATGAAGGTAAACTTCAAAGTTGAAGTTCCGTTATAACTTGAGTTACTTCATTTTTGATAACGGCAAAACGCTAATCCAAGTTGTCAGGATACTATTTCTATATGCCTACATTCTTGTTCAAGAATAGATGTATACAACTGATTTCAATGTTCATTGATCCTCTAAAGCATTTATTTGTTCCATAGAAAGAAGAATTTTTTTGAAAAAGTTACTTTCTTATAAAATACCAAATTGGCACGTCATTTTTTGCATATCTACTTGTCAATAAGTGACTGTAGATGAGGAAGGGGCTAAAATTATCTGGGTTTATCATAACAAACTTATTTAGCTAATTGATCACTTTTTTCATGATATTTATGCTCATTGTAAACTGCTCATGCAAATGTATGCAAATTCCATATGCCTCATATGTGTCTATCAAGGTCTGCATTTAGTTCCTTGTGGATACTCATTTAATATCATGCAAAGAAGGCGGGCTATTATACGAGACTCCTTCCACTACGAGGTGTCGAAAGAGTTGGATATTCCCATCCTTGCCCTGCGTGTGGGGACTGGGGAGGCTTTTCCTGAGACAGACTGACCATTTCCCATGATGTGCATCTCTGCTGTGGGAAATATATAGATATTTGATTGACCTGTTTCACAGTAGCCTTCTATTACACAAATTTTATAGTCATAGCAATTAAACGTGAGATGAAAATCATGAAAAGCATTTGACTATATTGTTGATTCTTACTTGGTTTTATATGATTAAAACTTCAATGAGATGAAACAGGCTTGGGTCGCTGACATTTAAAGTTCCTGACAATGTGAAATACCCATCCATGGATTTGGCATATGCTGCTGGCCGAGCTGGAGGCACCATGACTGGAGTTCTTAGTGCAGCTATCAAGAAAGCTGTCGAACCAATTATCGATGAAAAGTACGTACTTTGTTCTACTTATCATCTGCATGTGTCAAAATATTAATTTTTGGTTCTTTTTCTCCTTTAGTTTGACGGTGAATGGAATATATTCTTGGTAGCTGTAGCTTCACCCTCTGCAAATGAGTTCACTATTTGTGGCTGTCTTTTCTTCTCGTTATAACTTACTTTTACATATCAATCATGTTAGTTTTATGGCTGCTGAGATAGTTGGAACCCGATTTGGTGAACCCACCAGAAAGAACCCAAATTGCTTAATGGATTAAAAGGTGGGTTATTTTCCTGTTTTCAGGATCAGCTTCCTGGACATTTTTAAGGTCGTGGAGCTAACATCTGATAAGCATCAGGCAGAGCTGCTGTCGTCGCCTTCGCTTGAGGAAATCATACATTATGACTTGTGGGCACAGCGATATGCTGCCAGTTTCCAACCCTCGGCTGGTTTGAGTCCGGTTCTTGTATGACCACTCGACATTCGAGTCGATAAATGGCCATCTTTGTTGAGGTATGCAATGCAGGAAGCTAATTGTATACCAGTGTTGAAGATGAACAAGTCTGTATTCCATCTATAAGTTTTAAATCAATGTACTCATCTCCAAATATGAAGGATGGTCGTATTAATATTGAAATATCCGAAATTTAAGCTTATGTTTTTGGACCATATTTTGTAACTAATTATTGCCCGTGTCCGAAGGCATGAAGTAATAAAAAAAATTGTCAATTGTAAAATATTTTTATTCACATTCAAAATCAAATTACAAACACAGAGGAAAGAAAAGAAATTTGAGCACCTGTTGTAATGGAGGTGAACGGTGGTAGTGGTGGTGGTGGTGGTGGTGGTGAGAGATGATGATGATTGTGGTGGCAGTCGTGAATGGTAATGGTGATGGTAGTGGTTGGTGTGGGTGGTGGTGGGCGACAATGATAGTGATCAACAGTGGTTGTGGTCGGGTGACGACAGTGGTGGTGGGGGTTGTGGTAGTGGTCAGTGGGCCACGAGGGTGGTAGGCGGTGGTTGTGGTTGTGGTTGTGGTAGGTTTGGTGGGGTTGGGTGACAGTGGTGGCGACGGTGGTGTGCAAAGACGGATGATGGTGGTTGGTGCAGTGGGGGTGGATGATAGTAGGTGGCGACAGTGATGGGTTGTGATAGTGAGTGGTGACGGGATGTGATGGTGGTTGTGGTAGAGATGATGGTGGTGGGGTGGCGACAGCGGTGGTGGTGATGAAGTATTTTGTAGAGAAATGATTTTAAAGAAATATAAGTTATATATATATACTAGTTATTGTACGTGCCTAAAGGCACATAGTAATAAAAAAGGGTAAACAAGAAATATATTTGTATTCATATATAAAATTAAACACAAATATAGAGAAGAGATAAATGAATTGAAATATCGATTTGTAATGGTGGCGATGACGGCTATGGTGGTGGGGGCGGCGGTAGCGGTGGTGGGGGCGGTGGTGGCAGGTATGGTGGTGGAGGCGGTGGTGGCAGTTATGGTGGTGGGGGCGGTGGCGGCGACAGCGACAGTGACAGTAGCGGGAATGGTGGTGACAGCGGTGGTGGTGGAGGGTGGCGGGCGCGACGGTAGTGGTGGTGGTGATAGTAGTGGTGATGGCAGTAGCGGCGGTGGCAGTGGTGGTGGCAGTGGCGGTGGTGGAGGTAGTGGTAGGACGGTTTTAAACACTATTTTTTTAAAGTATTTATGATAAATAATTTTTAAAAATACTTTTAAAAAATACTCTACACACACCCTTAGAACCCTATTTTTCTTATTAAATATAAGGTGTTAATATTAACCGTTAGATTAACTTTAAAGCGAACTCAACCGTGAATAGTAAAAGTCATTTTGTTTATCTTTTTAGATTTGAATTGTAAGTTATTTTATTATATAGATATATAACTTTTATTTACTTATTTAAGTGCAACTACTTTTGACTTTTTTGGAAGTAATTAAAAAAAGTTATTCTAAATACTATTTTTTTTGTAAATTCTAAAAGTATTTTTAAAAAGTCACCCTAAATATCAATCGTCAGATTAATTTTAAAGAAAAATTTAAAACGATTTCAACCGCGAAAAATAAAAATTATTTTTTATGTTGTATTTTATTATACAAATATTTGTGAATAAATAATAAATGACATCTGTTCGCACACTGAATTTGTCAAAATGGTGTGCCACGTTGTGGACAATTAGTAAATGTGGAAAGAAATAAGTCAATCGACATGAATTTTCAAATTTAAAGGGAGGCAGTTACGTGGAAGTTTGTGTTTTGAATGAGTGGGTGGTTATCCTTGAATTCAAATGGTGACCTCTGAAATGAGGGAAGTAGCAGTCAAGGCAAGGGAAGATAATGGAAGAAAATTGTCGTGAGTGTAACCGTCGATCAAAGGTGCCTATAAAAGAGACACTAATTACAAAGAGTATGACACGATTAAACCCATCAAAGTCCCACAACTTGGGCATTTTAGGAGTAATACTTAGCATGGTTTAAGGTTAAGAATTAGTGTTGCACATAAAGATTGATTCATTAGTTCTTTGTAATCGAAACTTCAATTAAGACTAATAAAAGTGTATTCCCTTTTCTTAATCTTTGTTGTGATCTTTCTTGTTTCAAACTTTATCGATTAATTTCATACGAAGAAGTCTTGAAACAAGACAATTAAACCTCAAATGACACAATCACCTAAAATCTCTTTGTAGAAGGATTATACCCATCGATTGTTAGAGAAAATCTTATGTCTAGCAACAATATGTTAAGACTTGCCATTAGGTCTGTTAATTGAGCTGAGTTACTCGAACTCAACTCATGTTCTAAACGAGTTGCGTTGAATAATTTTTTAGACTCGTTTATATATAAAATAGTTGAGCTACTACTCAAACTCGACTCAACTCAGGTTCGATTCATTTTTTAAATAAGTTAATATTAAACAAGTTTTCTATTCGTTTAAAAAAATGAGTTCGATAGATTTGAACTCAAACTCACGAACCTTGACTAGAGCCTTGCCTATCATTATAATTATATATATTCTAATCAAGCTTGAGCACTGTCATACTAGGCCAAACCATTAGTTATTCAAACGTTTGCAGTCTTAATCATCATTCTACTGGGTCCAATCGTTGGGGAAAAGACTATTCTCCGAAGGTGATCACATTATCTTTTATACTATCTGTACTGAGCACATGTCCCTCCCATTTTACACTTTCTTGTATTAAAGCTTACATATGTAATATGAAGAAAGACATCTCTTTACTATCTTTTCCTTTGACACTAGCTTGGGAAGTGTGAGTTTTTAGCAACCTGATGTTTCTGATTGAGATAGGGCTTTAAGTGTAAGAGATAATGGGTGCATGCACATAGATAGGGTAAGAAAATGTGATAAAAAGAGTATACAAGTGGGGTATAATGTGTAACAGACATATTGATTGATCAGAAACAGTTTACAGGTGAAATTTGGAGACTAAACCACAGAAAGTCCTATTAGAAATAGATTATATTGACACATCGACGAAAATAGGAAAGAACCATTTATGTAAACTGCATGCGAAGGCTGGGGAAGGTTCAAAGTATTTCATAATTTACACATATTTCGACTAATATTCTCTTCAATTACACATATTTCGACTAATATTCTCTTCGATTTAGTTAAAGACAGTATAATCACGTCAAAAAAAAAATATTCACGAGAGATTTAGACAGCTCTTCGTTGGCATGAATGGACAAAATTCATCATAGGTGTTTACGTTATCTTAAAATTCTCCAACCGCATGATGCTAATGCTAATATGAAAACAAGACAAAAACAACCTTTGACATAATAATTATTGCTTTTTTTTTGGTGGTTAAGTTGACATGATGTTTTTCAAGATGAAAAGCTGGTGGAGTGTGGAACAAACGATGTAGAAAATAGTACAAGGGGTCTCCAAAGCTGATGTGCTGTGGGACAACCGGGGCGACAAAATATTATTGCTGGTACTGTTTCTTTTTTCTGTCGAGTACAAAACACAATAAGTGTAAAAAAATTTATTCTTTTCTTTTATTTTATTTTCTATAAATAATGATTATGAATAAATCAAACCACATTTAATCTATTTTTTTAATATATTGGCCCAAAAGAGAAAACTTTTATATACCATAGCCTTGTTCTATTTCACGTGGAATTCACGAAAAAATTTAAGGTAGTTTAATGGAGACAGAAACGGATTATAAATTTAGATGTTCTAAATTTGAAACAAGGCAATTTTTTTGTGATTAAATCATGAGAAATTTATCTCTTATAAATTTTTTAGTTCTGACGTGAATGTCTTTGACTAGACCGATGAAAAAATTACTCGAAATATACGTAAATTAACTCGAATATATTTGACCACAATATTTAAAAAAAAAAAAAAAAATGATAGTCATGAAGGGTCTTTGGCTAGCTTCCCAATAAATATGATTATGATAACTTGCAGACTTTAGCTTTGCATACCCTGAAAGAATAAAAGAGAAAACCCCTTTGTTTGGTTGTGTGGGAGAAACTAAAACAAAGATGCACTCTAGCATTTACTTGTGACTTTTCACTTTTATTTAACTGATTATCAGAAGAGATGTGTTATTAGAGTTCAGACATAGAATGACAGATAGAAATTATGGTACCGAAATTTTACTTTTCAGTACGATACTCAAAAAAAAAAAACCTCAAGAGTAATAAGTTTTACTAAAAAGAAATTGATAAGCTCCACCCAAAAAAAATAGTAAACTAATCTAAAAAATGGTAAGGGAATGTAAAAGGTGAGTGTAACTCAAAATTTACCTTACTTAAAAGAATAAATATCATAAGTAGTATGGTACTAATTTTTCAAACCCAAAATGATAACAAGTTCAGATTTTATTAGGGACCAAAGTATGTATTCTAGTATTAAGTTCGGAAATTGATCTCTCTAAAATATTAATAAAGTTTACTATCATTTATCTCAAAAATTTTGTGCAATAGATGCGATGTTTTTAATCAAATATGTTATTCAACTGAAAATGTATAAGTTATTGCTCGAAATATTAATCTAAGGCAAATACGTAATATTTCTAAAAAGTAATATTTTTTGATACAGTACTTGTAATATTCCACCAATATGCAAATTTTGATAGTTTCTTATTATAGTTTAATTATTTTTATGATTAACGACTATAAATAAATTAAAATCAAATAGTCCACAAAAAAAATCGATACTCTAGTGTTGTCCCAAACGAATATCATTGTAATTTTCATTTGGCCATGTAATGCTATGGTACTTTATTTTTTACAGATACCTCTACAAGATGGAATTATTATTATTTTTTTTTTGTACGTATTGATAATTACAACGATTATCTTTACCTTTTTATTTTCTTTGGAGTGACGGCAAGAGGAACAAATGTGGGGTCTACATTATGTTTTTTGTTAAAGAGGTGAGCAAAACAAAAGTGGGACCCACATGTACCTTTTGTCTAAATAATTAATGACAAATAAAAGGGTATTTATGAGATTTGATAAATTAAATTTTGTTTTAAAAAAATTTCTTCATACCAAGCAAAATAAATAAAAAATATTTTTATCTACTATTTCATCCCAAGGAAAAATATCTTTCTCCCCTCAAAGGATGAAAAAAATATCCATGGACCTTTTTCATCCCTTCTATTTTATATTTTTGTTCTCAATTTTTTTTAAAAAAATGAGATTTGGAGTAAAGAAATAAAAAACAAGGTTGACTTGTTTTATGAGATTGGGGCTGAAAAGTGTGACAACACAAGGGTCACAAAACTCTTTAACAAGGTCTGTCTTTCAAATCCCCTTATCAACAATAAATTTCTTTCTTTTTTTATTTCCTTACTATTTCCCAAACTCTCTAGCTCGTCCTCTGCACAGAATGAATCGTCGTCGTCTTCTCTAGCTAGTCATCTACGTAGAAGATTACAGATCTACATAGATCTGAGCTTCAGCACGTCGTTTGCACAAAAATTTCAAATCTACACAGATTTGAGAACATATTTGTGTGTGCGTGCGCGTATGAGTGTGTTTTGTGGAGATAGAGAGAGGTGAGAATTGTGGATTATTGTTTAAACAGATTTTATAATTTTTGTTATTTAAAACTATTTTCAAAAATATATAACAAAACATGATTTGTAATTTAAAAATTTTTAAAAACACTTTCTTAAAACTTTTTTCAAAAATAGTTTTTGAATACTGTTTTTTAAGATACAAACCAAATAGGCCCTATTAACTCATCCACTTTTTCATCATTCTTATTCTCTTGTCTTAACAAACATGATATTTTATCTATCTCTTCAACTTTTTTATCTTTCAATTTTTTATTGTACCAAACAAAACATAAACATCCCAAAAAAATTGCAACTTAACATCCAAAAATTTGTAACTTCATCCCGAAAAATTGTTACATCACTTCAAAAACATTGTAACTTTTTTTATTATAACTAAACCCCCAAAAAAAATTATAATCACTTATAAAAGTCATGAATTTTGAAATCGTATCATTTGCGTAGTCAAATCCCAATTTTATCTAAGATATCCATACAGTAAAACTGAGTGTCTTGTTGTGCACAAAAAGCACAATAACAATTTAAATCGTTTAGGTCCAACGATTTACGATTTATATTTTAATATTTTTGTTAAATTTTTCTATTTATATTTAATCTTTTAACTACCACAAAAATATTGTAATCATATTTATCTTTTAATCACAACAAATATTTTAACTAATAACTTATATTTTTAATTACTCACCTACATTTTAACCACGATAAAAAAAAGTGTAATTCGAGTGGGCGTAGTAGCTTAGAATACTAGAAGGGTTGGTTGGTATCAACACATCTTCTATCTTAGCAGCTTTCCTCCGAAACACCTTCGGAAAAAGACATTTCCTGGGGGGCTGAGGTTGTAGATATTGTAGGAAAAAAGACAAATTGGCACCTGCTAATCGTAAGACTCCATCGGGACCATTACAATGGCAAGGTTATTGATACTTTGCCTTCTCTAATTTTTTTTAAAGAGTGTCTAAATCAGTTTATACATATTTTGATTAATTTTCTCTTTAATTTGGTCAAAGACAAACCATCCACGTTAGAACTAGGGTATTCATGAGGGTTAAATCTTTCGTGACTAGGTTCCAAGAGTTGTCAAAATTTAAATTTAAAACATCTGAATTTACAGGTCGTTTCTATTATCACTTGAACTACCTATTTACCCCCTTAAGCATTTTCAAAGTAGGATCTAAACCCCCCCCCCACCCCCCCCCCCCCAATGTAGCAAGTCTCATACTGACCCTTTAATTTTCACAGAATATAAATATATGTCCAACAACTAATACTTTTATTTTTATCCTAAAAACTATTTTGGTAATACCACTTTTTTCTTGGGAATTATTTGTTGATTGCATTTTACCCCATAAAAATTAGTTATCCAAATGACGTGCGTTGCATGTGCGATGTCATAGTCAAAAAATGAGAGGTCATTGTTTAATTGTGAAAAAATTGTTATACTATCGAGAAATCTAAAGTAAATGTGACATTTATAAGTTTAGAATAGCGCAATTGAAAACTTTAAAATCTTTTGAGTGAACAAGTGTCATTTGCCCTTTCTAGACCCAAAAGAAAAAGAACATTCCTTTTATTGCTTTCCTCACGCCAAGGCGTCCACTTTTTTTCACTTGCAAGACATTCTAAATATCTGTTTAGTCATTACTAATATTATATAAACCACACTTATCTCAAGAAAAAGGTAGATGAGTAAAGGGTTTCTCCCTATCTACCAAACCAGCCAGGTACCAACTCAAAAGAATAAATCTATGAGGTCCCTTTAAGTGGAGCAACTACCCGCTCTAGATGATTCTGTTTTCCCATTAGTTTTTACAATCATTTTCGAAGAAATTAAAAACATACATCCTGATAGAGATAGGGTATTAATCAAGTTGAGTCTTTCAAATATTGCAATGTTGATGCTCTACTCAATTTTATTAGTCATTAGTTAAAGTTTCGCTCAGGTTTGATTGTTAAAAATTGTTTATGTTCGAATCATTTTGTGTTTATATTGAATTTATAGTCAAAGCTAAGACAATCCTTTTAGTGAATCATGTTTGATGATCTAATACTCAACCAACTTGATTAACAGACAAGTTATGCCAAATTATCACTCCTAGGTCCACATTTGCCACATTCATTTAACATTTTTTTGACCGACAAGAATTAGTTATAGTCGAGATTTTGAATTTGAATATTATCAGACACAAATGGGTCTACGATATATGTGACAATTTACAAATTGGTAATTTTTAATTTTTTTGGGGATAAGAATAATCTCTTTTAATTTCATACTCGATCAACTCCTGCCATATCCCTTTCACTTAAGTGTAATGAAATTTGGATATGACCAAATATTTATTTATTTTCTTTTTAACAACTGGGAGATACTTCACTTGTCTTTGTTAAAGTCCATTATAATTTCTACTTTTCTTGAACAGACCATTATAATTCCTATTGAAAATGCACGGGATCAAAGCTAGTCTATATTCTCAAATCTTTTCCTCACATTTTTTAAATTTTTAAAAATTTTAAATTATTAAATTCCTCGTCCTCCAATCACGTTCTATCAAATGATTTCAATAACTACCCATAAATTTCCTTTAATCAGCACTTATTTATACATATGCCAAAAAAACCTTAAAAGAGTTCAAGAAAAAAAAAATCTTTATATATGTATTCCCCAATAATTCGATTTTCTAATAACGGGTACTCGCAATTGAACCTTAACATCGGGATTCGAACCTCAACGTAGTAGATTTCATCTTGCCTGTATTAATGTGTGACTAAAAATAAAAATAAAGTGCTAATCGCCGCTTCGTCTTCTCAGGAAGTCGGTAGATTTTTGGTCATCAGCCCGTTCACAGTAGCGAAGAATCCCACAAGATCTTGCCGGTAAGGCAAAAATGATCGCTTTCTCTCACCTTCCTTCATCAATCTGCTGTTTCTTGTGTACTGAGCTGCCATCAGCTCTTCACGGCCGGTGATTTTCTTCGCCTTCATTTTTCCGGCGTCTATCGAGTCAGTTTTTTCGTCTTTCTTCTTCGAATTGAGAGTTGAAGGAGTGAAAAAGACGAAAGTGTCCTTGCCGTTGCTATTGCTTCGGTGAAGCAGGTCTCGAAACTTCCACCGTTTGGACGAGCCAGTCGAATTGCTCTCCTTGCGTGATTCCGGCGATTCCCCCGTCGTAGCTTCTTTTGAAGTCCAAACACTGTAATTTCCCGGCGGAACTCGGTCTAGCTCCTCTGCCTCCGACGACGGAGAGTCCCGTTCTTCTCCCAGTAGCATCCTCAACGAAAACCTAGTCGGAGACCGAGTCGGAGGTTTGGAAGATTCAGAGTCGTCATTTTCAAGATCACCTAATAACAAATCTCTGTTGAAAATTGGAAACATCGGTCGAATCTGACCGTTATAGAAGATCTCATCCGCTGAAATCGTCGACGAGTCAGATTCTGCGGTAACAAAAGCAAACTCAAACTCATCATCATCATACTCGTCTTCATCTTCTTCAAGGTCAACCTCGTCAGTACTCTTCCTCTGTTGTTTCTCTTCTTCCTCTTCTTCTTTAAGTACTTGTGGTAGATTTTCTTCCAGAGCTCTATCGTTTCCTGTTTCATCATTTGTTGAGTCGAATAAATAATCAAAATCCGAGTTTGATTCAGCTCTGAACTCTTCTACAACTCTGGCTGCGATGTCTGCGAGTTTGTTGGAAGAATAGGTGTTGAAGCTTGGTGAGAGGGAGAGTACTGAGCTACTCGAACACAGCATTTCTGAGTTTGAGGTAAGTATGATCATCAAACTCCAAACTCCAAAATTTCTGTCTCTCTGCAAATTGCTCTGCTTCTATTGTCTGGAGAGAGAGAGAGATATTTGGGTGTGTGTCACTGTGTGTGGTGTGTGTGAGTTCCTCTGCAACTATATGGCCTCGTCTCAGATTATGTAGATGCTGCCTGTTGGGCTGTTGGTGGTTTAGGGAAAAATTGGCGCATTCGAAAGATAAAGCTATAAATGAAGTAATGAGAGAGACAGAGGGGACGCGCATTGATGCAGGGGTTTAATTGGCTGAGGGGAGGTGTAGCGTTGAAGGAGGTGGCAGTACTGCAGAAGGTTTTTGAGGTGCTCGACTAAATTAATGAAATTGTATTCTTGATTGTTTAATTAAAAAAAATGTTAGAGAAAATATTTATTCTTTATTTCTGATTTTCAAAAAAAAAAGATAGCAAATCTGAAAATGTGGTAATATCTAATTTGATTATATTCTTATTCAAATTTTATACAAATATACATATATCTGAAAAAAATGAAAGTTAATTGATGAAATCAAGTAAAAATTTAAATGTGATTTACTAAATTTTTTATCAAATAAGTTATTTAGAACCAATTGATTTTTGGATCGAATTTTATATTTTTATTGAATTTTATTATAAACCATGATGATAAAATTTGAAAGATATTTGAATCAAATTTAGATACAAAAATTTAAATTAAACTCAAATACAAATTAAATAAAATTCGATGGATTGACATGACTATCCATGGGAAGTTAAAAATCGGTGTTTTTGAGAGTTTTAAACTCATTTACGGCAACTCGGGGTGGGGTCCAGTTTTTATAAGGTTTTTTCTTTCTTGGTTTACAAGTAAGACGATTCATGTTCGCACGCTTTAGATTACGAAGATTCTCACGTAATTAGACATTTTGCTTCTTCCAGAAATGTCCTACGTGGCCCACTTAGCTCTAATTAAATGCTGAGGTGGCTGTCTCCTATATATTAATTATCTCCAAATCTATTATCACAATAGGTCCTAATAAATAAATGAAGTATACTATCAATAGAATAAAATTAAATTTAAATAGTATTGCTCTTGTTTTAATTGGTACGGTATCAAATTTTGAGTGTGTTTTACTTGTGGTGTAAAAATGAAGTAAGTTTTTCGTCCAAAAATAAAGTACCAAATCAAAATATTAGTACTTAACCGATTTAATGTCACATCATTTGATACTTTATTTTAATCCCATTTTTAGTTAATACGGGATTATCTTTTTAGGAAAAATTTGAATTATTATTATTATTATTTTTTTGATGTTGTACCAGAAGGTGCGATTTATAATGACAAGGTTACACTTTTAAAAGTTAAAGTAAAAGTTACACTAATGAACTTTTGGTCTAATGATATTTTTTATCTTGTGAAAATTTTATTTTTTTAAGATCAAAGGTTCAAACCACTTTTCCTCTTCCCCTCCCCTAAAAAAAAATATATATATATATATATATATATATATATATATATATATATATATATATATATAATAAAATAAAATTTAAAGTTACAACTTACAACGGATCGAGAGAAAGTCCATAATTAATTATGGGACTCCCTAAACCAATTATAATTTTTTTCTTCCTGCTTATAACTCAATCTTTGAAAGTAATAATTTTTATATTGCTCACACCATTCTAAAATTGATCATCTATATAATAAAGTAACTTACAAATTTCAAAAGATAAATAAAATGACTTTTACTATTCGCGATTGAGATCGCTTTAAATTTTACTTTAAAATTAATCTAACGGTTAATATTAAAATTTTAAATTTAACAGAAAAAAAATAAGTCCCTAAAAGTGTGTTTGGCGTAATTTTTTAAAAGTGTTTTTAGGAATTATTTCTCATAAGTACTTTTAAAAAAAAATATTATTTTGAACCACTCTATCATTACCTCTACCACCACCACCACCACTGCCACCCCCACCACCGCCACCGCGGCCACCACCACCTCCACCTCCACCTCCACCTCCACCTCCACAACCATCGTCATCGCCGCCGCAGCCGCCACCACCATCACCGTTGCCACCTCCACCTCCACCCCCACCACCATCACCACCGCCACCGCCACCGCCACCTCCACCCCCATCGCCATTGCCGCCAACACCACCTGTTAGCAAAATAGAATTTCACCAAATTAGAAAGCTTTGATCGTGTATTCACTGTCCTTAAAAAAATTATGCCCCTACTATGTTGCTGATAGGTTTATGGCAAATTCCTCTAGGATTAACAAAGTCAAACAGAATTTCAGATAGCAAACTCTAAAATTCTCTCAATAATAGAATAGAGAAACGTTTTTTTTTGTATATCCTTCAATTGAAAGATCTTTACAGGTATTTATAATACCTTAGTGAGAAGACACAACTCTTGAGCCAAAAGACATTTAGCAATTAATTAATACAAAAATAATTAATTATTTAAAGGTTTCAAGCCCATCTTTTGACTTTAAAGATTATTTTATTTAAAGTCTAATCAAGGTTTATTGATTTGAAATATTTGGAGCTTCCCTCCAAATCTTTCCGCCATCCAAATTTATAAATTTTGGTGTTTTTCTCCTTTTAAACCCTTACATTCCCTTTCAACTTTTTCAATATCGGATTCTTTACATTTCTAACTATCTCTAACACCACCGTCGCCACCACCCTCACCTCCACCATTGCCACACCCCACCGCCGCCACCATCACCATCACCACGACCTCCACCTCCACCTCTACCCCCACCATCGCTATTATCACCACCGTCGTCACCACCACCACCACTGTCATCACCGTCACCGCCGCCACCGTCGTCGCCACTACCACCACAACTGTTACTGTTTCTTACCACCACCACTACCACCCATTATCTCTCACCCTTCATTACAAATTGATGTTTAAATTTTTTTATCTCTTCTCTATGTTTGCGATTTAATTTTGAATATGAATACAAATTTATTTATTGTTTACCATTTTTTATTATTTTGTGCCTTCAGGCACAGACAATAACTAATGTTTTTATATGTTATAACTTACATCTCAAAAAAAAAAATTTAATGATAAAAATTTATAATTTTCGATAAAATACTGTCATCAATGTTGTAGTCTTTTCCACTTTGCTATATCCACACTCAATGGTTGGTTTCTAAATCCAAGTTAAACATGATTGGGCTATGCTTTAAAGTAGGTTTTCCATCCAAAGAAAAAGTGTGTTATTCAGGGGAGGGTGGCTCAACTTTTTGGCATCAAATCTATAATGTATAATATTGAAACTATAATGAAGAATGCTTTGATCAATTAAGTCACTCAAATTTAAGCTTGGTGGAGAGGAACAATCCATAGGCTTTGATAATGCACAAAATTGGTCTCGTGCAAGATTTAATAAGGTGTAATTAATAGACAATAAATAAAACAATCAATGACAGTAATGTAAATATTGAGTTAACACAAAGATATATAGTGGTTCGGTCCGGATAACCTAATCCACTCTTAGAAAATGGCAGTGGTGGTGAGAGGTCTTTATTGATGAATAAAGTAAGAGAGAGAAGGCTCCGAGAAGTGTGTGCTCCGGGAGAGGTACAGTAGTTAGGAGCGAGAAAAGCTATGTGTAGAGAGGTGTCAAGGTGTGTTGAGAGATATGTCTTTCTATGTGGAGAGAGCTTATAATTTATAAGTATGGTGAGACGGTGACGTGAGTGTGAGAATACTATTTCTTCGGGGAAGATAGTTACAAAAGGTAAATACAATTAAAGTAGGATTGATCTTCGTGAGTGCGTATCTCGATAATCTCTCTCATACGTGTTCTTATCTTTTTGGACTACTTGGATCTTAGACTGAGTCGGATTGATAAAATAGGCTTGGACTACCTTTTAACTGACTTGAACTTGCTTGATTTATTGAGCCTAACTCAATTAGATTTGGGCTCATCAGGCTTGACAGATGACGAAGGTTAAATGCCAACAAAAAAACTCTTGTATTTAAAGGATTTGGTGGACAACCTCCCTCAACTATAAAACGTTACACTAAATCTCCGTAAATTGTAATTTTTTGTGCAAAACAACACAGGCGCCAGAAACAACAATTTTTTTTTAAATCCACCAAAACAGCAATTGGGTGGCCAAATATAATTCAATACTTTATAAATCAAATTAACAAAATTCATATAATAAAGAATAAACAAACAAATTGCACATACTTTAATGATGAAAAATACTATTTAACCATAATAAAATATTTGCATGTTTGTTGATTTAAGCAAAAGCAAGCATTCCCTTCCATTTAGTACTAACATTTACATTTCACAACCATAATATAATGGATCAACTACTATTATGTTCCATTTGGTACGATGAAAAAATAGAAAGATGGAAAGTTGAAGGGATAAATAAAACATCATATTTGGTAAGGAAGGAAAATAGGAAGAATGAAAAAGTGGATGGATTAACTTTCCTTCCAACTCACATAAATCAATCCCTCCAAAATCGGAAAGAAAGTGGATGGAAAGTTAATTATTGTATTGAGATGTATCTTATTTGTCTATATATTATGTATACAATAATTTCATATAAAAATACAATGATAAAATATGTATATATATAATAATAATAATTTTTTTAAAAAAAATTTTTAAAAAAAATTCCATCTTAACTAAAAGTAAAAATTTTCGATTTAACACGATAATACGACTCTAACTCGACACAAATTTTATAACACGAACTTGAAAATGACCTGACACGCGAATAAAAAATATAAAAGACTCATAATTTTATAACTCAATATGAATCTGATACGATACGACTCAATTGTCACCTCTAATCTAAGCAAGCACAAAAAAAAAATTAGTAATTTTTATTTTCCATCCATCCAACAAAACACAAAAAAAGAAAAATGTATCATTCTTACTTTTCATCCTTGAAGAATGAAAAGTCTGTCCCTCCTACTTTCCATCATTCTTACCAAACAAAGCATTAATCAACGGGAGATTCAATTATATTTAATGTTACCCATTTAAAAAATAAAAATTATCTATATAATAAAGTAGCTTACAATTCAAATTTCAAAAGATAAACAAAATGACTTTTACTTTTCGCGGTTCAGATCATTTTAAATTTTATTTTAAAATTAATCTAATGGCTAATATTAACACCCTAAATTTAATAGAAAAAATAAGTCACTAAGGGTGTATTTTTTTAAAAGTACTTTGAGAAATTATTTTTCATAAGTACTTTAAAAAAAAATAATATCTGAAACTGTCCCACAACCACCACCACCATCGTCGTCGTCGCCGCCACCACCATCACCTCCACCACCGTCGTTGTCGTTACCGCCACCGCCGGCGCTGCCACCCCCACTATCACTACCGCCGTCGTCGCCACCACCACCACCACCACCGCCACTACCATCACTACCATCATCACACAACCGCCGCGCCGCCGCCACCACGGTTATTACCACTCACCACAACCATCACCGTCTCCTACCACCACTACTGTCGCCTACCACCTCTTTTCCCATTACAACCGATGTTTAAATTCATTTATCTCTCCTCTATGTTTGTGATTTGATTTTGAATATGAATACAAATGTGTTTATTGTTTATTATTTTTTATTATTCTGTGCTTTCAGACACAAGTAATAACTAGTATATATATATTACATGAATCTTATTCCGAATATAGTCATTTCTCACTTGGGAGATTATTGGAACAGAATCAGATTTGATATTTGTTAATAACAAATTCTTTAACCACACATATATCTCACCTGTGATGAGATTTGAATCTTAATTCTCTCAATTAAAACTAGAGATTTTGATTATCAAACCACCCATAATGATTAAATAACACCGTCTTTATTATAAATTGTATGGTTAGAAATTTGATTGTTAAGAAAGCCTGTGTTCACAACCCATCATCATGCTCTTTTTTGTGTTTGAAAAAAATAAAAATAAAAGATGAATAGATTAATAGCTAGTTTTCATTGCACACATGGTGTAAACTTTGAGAGGAAGTAAAGGGAGGGCATAGGCATATCATGTATGATCCTAACCCTAACCGAATGGCGTGAGTAGGTAATGCCCGCATGCCACATAATTCAATGCCCTTTTAATCATGTAAATGTTGTCCCCCGGTTGCAGGTTGAAGAGTCTGGAGATCAATTTAGACTCAATGCAAGTTGTAGAATACTCTAACTCGAGTTCAATTTGAATTTAAATTCAATTCAAATACTTTTCATAATTAAATTTAATCTTGAGCTAAACTTCGGTAACAAGATTTGGGTTGGGTTGTCATTCCAATTGAAAAAGGGTTTGATTTGGGTTCTACTCTCAAGCTATACAAATCGCCTTCAAATTCGGATTTAATTTGGGTTGAAGTCCAATCTGATTCTCCGATTACCAAACATGGGGTAAAACTTAAGTTGAATTCAACTTCGCTAATTCAAGTAAAGTATTCATTTACAAACTAAAAATTTTTTTTTTTTGAGTTAATTATAAAATGCTCCCTCAACTTTGGATAGTTTGCAACTCATTCCTTTAGGATTTAATTTCAATGAATAATCCCCTCTAAGTTTGAATATTTTGCAATTAATTATAATAGTTATTTTTAGACAATAAAAATTGACAAAAATTATACATGTCAAATTCACGTGATCTCAACTTTGTTGAAAATAGATAATTAAATGTACCAAAAAAGAAAATAGATAATTACCCTTACACCTATTTTTTTTCCTATACGAAATATCCATACTTTCCCCTTACCTTTACACCCTTCCATCATCTCTTACCTCGGATGGTTAACTCTCATTCTCTTCTCCCTTCCGGTAAAAACCCTCTATTTCCTATGATGAAGCGGGGGCGAAGGTTTCCTTATATTTGAATTTTAGCTTTTCTATTTTCTAATTTTTTTAGGGATAAAATTGATACCTACAAGATAGAAATATAAAAAAATAATGTACAAGACAGATGGTATAATGGTTCTTTCAAGTGTTCAGCCACTGTTGTTACTCAATTTAATCCACATAAAACTTGGAGCGAATAAATTGTAAAATTTAAAACCACAAAAAACTGATTGCAACAAGAAACATAATTGGAGGGACCCTTTTGTTTTTCAACTGCTCAAACGTCTATTTTTGTGAAGTATAATGACTTAACCATTGATCAAAGAAACTAGTAAAAGTATCCATACACCATGGCAAAACAGATACAGCTAAGAAAAATTCAAATGGAAGTTGCCAACTTGCCATATACTCGATGGGTAAGGTACATATATCTTTGGGCCCAAGAAAAAAGAAAATTTACTTCATTTGATATTGTATTTTTCCAGTTGCATGCTCGATATACGCCTGAAAATCTTATATACCAATACTTGATCCAAACATATCCGTGCTTGATCCAAGCATGGTTCATCTCCCTTTTTTTTAGTTAAATATAAATTAAGATTAAGAGAAAAAATAAGTACAAGAGATATAATCGAACACCAATACTCGATATACATATAAGAATATACTAATTTACTACTACAAAGTATATATATATATATATATATATATATATATATAGAGAGAGAGAGAGAGAGAGAGAGAGAATGGACAAACTAAAATTCTGATTTAACCTATTATTTGTGTCTGTCTTCTCATAACAAATATGACAAAAGACTTGAGACTTTCATGTGAGAATGTGTTAAGCATGGCCCATCTCATACAATCAAAGTCTTACCATAAACAATGTCAACCCATGGACCATCCGCACCCAATTGGTCATTGTTGCAAGATAATTTCGATAAGTTCACATGCCTTGTGTGTGTCATGATGAGGAGAAACTTGCGACAGTGTCTCATATTGTGTATTGTGTATATCACTAATAAAAAATTATATATTTCTAATGAATAGTTGTCACTATTTTTTTTTTTGAAAAACTCAACTTGGGTGTCTTACATAATTCTTTTGACAATGTTTCATCAGGTATGCACACTATATAACAGTGCTATATAGTGTGTTAAACTCATAAAATTTTTTCGTCGTGACGAGGATCATTTTCTAGGAGACTCAATTGGTTTTCTTATTTAGAGTTGAGTTAAAGTTTAAATAACAAATATACACCCTCCCTTTCAATATTAAACTCTTCGACAATGTTGCATATAACAATAATTTTTAAAATTTTGCATCTCATATCAACGAGATTGGTTAGATCAGTAGGCCCCCACAAAAAATAAATTAGACTCGTTGATCCAATTATGTATATTGGATTGGGATGCAAAACTAGGAAAGAATTTTGAGAAATGCACATAATAATATTTTTGAATATCCCAAAATTACAGTCTACTCCAAATTTAAAAAAAAAAAAAATTCATGCAACTTTCCCGATACACTTCATGTTCAAACTTCCACTATCTTTCAAGAGTGGAACTCAACCCCTATTGAAGAACATAAATTTTATGGGGGAGTGGGATAATTGATTCCTCATTTCAGTTTCATCTTCAGAAACAGAGACCACTTAATCAATGAAAAGCAAAATCTATTCACTGAACCATAAAAGTTCCAGCAAGAAAATAGAGTTATATGCTTATTTAAGGAGAAAATAAATATTGGGTGTAACCGTGACACAACGTCATCAATGACGTGTGATAATAGAATATTAAGTGAATTTAGTAGGCTCCACTATTTTAATAACTACTCATAACCACTTTATCCAATATCTATCATGTGGGAATAGTAGGGTTCACCGTTATTCTATAATTGGTTGGTGATACCACGTATCATTGTTGATATGGTATCACTGTTACACCTGATATATACTGTCATTTCAGAACACCTACTACTGCTACCCCACAAACATATACTTTTGCCAACCATTTCCTTATTTTTGTTGTCTTGGATCACTTGATTAAAGTTTGTCAATTTCATATGAAAACTAAAGCATTCTCTCTTGTATTCGCAATGAACTGATAAAAGTTTTGTCAAATTCATATGAAAAACAAGCATTCTCTCTTCTATTCACAATGGCAACTCTCATCTTGATCAGCACGAAAATCTTCGATTCATCCCTGCATACGAGCACGGTTTCTTCCATTCCGGCGCTGTAACTTGTTGGAGCTATTTTCCGGAGAAAATTTCAGGGGATGCTTTATGTTGCTGCAAGATCAAATTATATAAATCTGTTATTCAACAGAAGTAACTTGTAAAGAACTTTCAGATGAGAAAAAATTAAATTGGAACCAATAAATAAGGTGATTTATAAAGGCACTTAGAAAAAATTTCAGAATAGGTACTTCAACAAGTTCCAAGAAAAAATAATATGTAAAATGCTCCACTGATAAACAGGTGATGAGTTTCGTTTATTCTTCACCAAGTCTGGTTGTAATGGGATCGCTTGTTCAGTAGAAGGGTGCATAGGAAATGGCCTTCAACAAAGACAAAAACATCCAGCTACAAGTGAAATAAAACCTCTTAGGATTCCTACCTAAGGGATGTAATTTTCGAGATCAGAACTAGTTAATTTTAACTCCCAACTTTGATGTTGATTCTATATTATGTCAATATGTCGTGTCAAAAATTGTCGCATCCATAATCATGGAGAAAAAAAAACAACACAAACGATTTAAAGTGCTTCAAGTACCAAACATAATTGGCATTAACCAAAAGAACAGAAAAATAGCAATTACCATACTTTAGATAATACCAACTGTAATGAAAGTTTGTAATATTTAAAAGTGAGATTGAAACTCAAAAGGGTCTAACTTACAACTTCAAAGTTATGATCGATCTTAAAATATTGTGATATCTTACAAATGGGAAGTTATAACTGATTGAAATAATTTATAATTGATCATAAAATGGTATAACTTCTCCTCATCCCTTAACGGTAGTAAATTTTGGTCAGATACCAAAAAAAAATTCAATCTCGTAATCTTATAGGTAATATAGTTCGATAGAAATACCTACTTGTGTTCATCAAGGCACCATACCCTTGTCTCCAAAAGATTTTATGACCATTGTCAACAACTTGTCTCCTGCTATTTGTCTCACTTCCCGTATTAACTCATGCCGTGAGATCTTGTGTCCCTGGGGAACCAAAATTGAGATATAGAAAGTTATATACATATATATAGATATACATACACGGTGGCAGCCGCTGAGATCAAGAAAATAATCGACTCAATTCTGAACATCTCAGTTATTAAAAAAAAAAGTACTAACTCTAAAATGGCTGTGATGCTTTGCGATTAATTTGATGGTTTGAGGTGGTAAGAACTTGGAAAGTGCAGAGATGAGAGTTGGAAACGGCATCCATGGTGAAGTGGGTTTCTTCGGGCAGTCTTGGATCCTCTCACACCCTACAATTAGTCGAAAATGCAAAAAAATTTTACAATACAATTTTGAACTGAGAGTGTCAATATATGGAGTTGTATCATGTCTCAATATTGTCATGTCATTTTAAGTCGTGCCAATTTCATTTTGTGTCGTATTCATGTTAGATTTGTGTTAAAGACAGACTATTACGGAATTTTCTCCATTCAACAATTTTAATTTTCGAAAACTCATGAAAACACAAATTTATTAAACTACTCACCTTCCAAGTGAAAAGGAGCTCTGAAACTTATCACATACTCTGGCAAGATATGAGTATTCATGTGGGTACTCCAAACAATATACTTCTTAGGAGATAGTAGATTGTCTACTCCAGAATCAAACTCCTCACTACTTGGATGACTCTGTCCAGAACCAGGATGAACAAGCTCCATCTTACCCAGGATAACCCGACAAAGTAAGAGATGCCTTAACCCATTCTCATCAATAACTGAGGATTTCACACTGTAACATGAAAAATTTGCGTTAAATTATTTCAGTAGTCTGAAAATTTTGATTTAAAACTAAGCTTAGGGCAATTTATACAGGTTGTGGTTTGATCTAGTAACCCTTTACCTTCTCAATACTTTAAAAATCTATACACAACCCCGATTATTTGTGACTAAAGTGCAATAGCTATAAGTTTCAACAATTTAATATAGAAAGAAAATAATATCTTTTAGTTTTTTAAAATTTTTAAGCATTTTTCTTTCTGAAACCATATACAAATAGAAAAATCTATTTAATGCATAACAAAAAGAGAAAGAAAATCGCTATGATAAATTAACATTCAATGTTGACCTTTATTTTTAACATAATTTGTAACCGTTTTAGTTTTTGTGCAAAATCATAGCGAGTAATGCATACAATTTTAAATGGGTTAATCGTATTTTTGATTCCTAAAATATGTATATTTTGTCAGTTTGATCTTTAAAAAATATCAACTTTATAAATTTGATTTCTAAAGTATTCAACGTCTGTTTAAATGCATACACAAACGGACCGTTAAGTTTTTGTCAGAAGATCACGTGTTTGTCACGTGATAGCATCTGAAATAATGATACGTGACTACTTCTGTCAAAAAATTTAATGAATTTTTTGATTAAGGACCAAAGTGATACGAATTAAAATTTTAGAAACCAAATTAATAAAATTAATACAATGAGGACCAAACTAATAAAACGGGTATACTTTAAAGATTAAAAATATTATTAATATTTTTAAAATTATAAGGACATTTGAGCTATCGAACCAAACTAGAAGGAGATTATCTATAGTTTCCCCTTAAACTATAACACAAAATAAATGATTCTCACCATAAACCAAATGAAGCCAAATTGAAAACTTGCTTACCTTTCAGTTGGAGAATCATCAGGAGAGAGAAAGACACAGCAACCAAATCCATCTTTCTCAAAGCTTCTACAATGACCAAAGCCATGTGAGATGATCTCACTTATCTCATCCTTGGAACCACCATACCAACCATACTTCACATTAACATTACTACCACCATTCTTCTTTTCTATAGCTTGGGAGTAAATCTGAAACGAATGAAACCTGGCTCTTCTTGTATAGCTAGAATAAGCATTCCTATGAATGGCCTCTACTCTTGTATGTGCTCCCTGAGATCCCAAACCCGAAATCAATCTGTTCTTGATAAGATGGTGTAGTCTGTTCCCTTCATCCACTTTGATCAACCCATCACCCCAATATTGAGATTCCGGATTGGAAATTCCACTTTCACAATCAGAAATTGATTGTTCTTGATCGTCTTGATTAGTACCCGAGATTGTATCTTCCATACCCGAATGGTTCAATGGATTATCCAATGATTTTGTAGTCACGGTGTTAGAAATTACAAAACCCCTCAACCCCCATTTACAGACTTCTCAGTAGCTCCCATTGGAACAGAAAAACTTTGACAAAAATTACCCAAAAAATGACAAAATAATGGGTAATTGACGATTGAGACTGCTTATTAGGAAGTATACGGACAGATCTATCAGCTTATGTATTCTCTGATTCCAAGTTTCAAAGGAACAAATCTAGAATATGTGAAATTAAAGAATATTCACAGAACTATAATGAAGAACCAGAACCAAGAATATATGATTACCAGAAAAAACCCAACTGATAACACATCTTGAATCATTTCGAGATTATTCCAAGTAAAAACCCACGGAAAACTAGAACAACAGAATCATAAAAAGTTTTTAATAAAGCAGTAATTCTCGAACGACAAAGGAAAGAGAGACCTGCCTGCATGAAATGGATCGATGCTGCTTGGTTGCAAATAAGAAGAGATCACCCAGAAAACAATATCGACAGAGAGTAAGAATGCAATTTAATGTGCATACATGCGTAGGTACAATAAGAAGAATCACCCAGAAAGCAATATAGTCAGAGACTAGTGGTAGATTTAATTTCTATATAGATGATGTATGAGAGAAGAGGAGTTTACTTGGGGAAGAGGTATAAGGAAAGAGTAGAAAGGTAGATTAATATATATATGGTAATAGAAACAACGCCTCTTAGCCTCATGTTTTGGTTTGGTTTGGTTTACTGAGTTGAAGCTTGAGAGTGGGGTTTCAGGTGGGCGTTGTAGGCGTGGGCGTGGGCGTGGGGCCATCGTGGCGGCAAACAGTTTTCGGGCCATCAGTTTCGTATATAAGGGGCGTGGGAAGGCGGTTACGGCGCCTGTCACCCGGAATTTTTTGAACCATTAACAAAATTTCTATTTTACCCTTCTGCTTTACATCTTTCCACGTAGATCTTTTTTTCGGTTTGATTAAAGGTAGTATTCGAGTTAAATTATACATATTTCAGAATAATTTTTTTTTGGATCCAGTTAAAGGAAATTATCTATACTAGAATTAGAATATTAATAAAAAATAAATTACATCAGGGCTGAATCACTGTTATAGCATGTATTAAAATACACGACATAACATAAAAATTTGAGTATTTAAAAAAACGATCTCACTGTTTTTCTTTTTCTTTTTTTTAATTACATAATTTGAAATTAATTCATGTCCATTATTTTGTTTTTAAATGACTAAATTTTCTCAAAATATACTCTCAAAAAAAAAATATCAGCATGTTAACAATATCATATATGAACAATGTCTGGAAAAAAAATCGTATAGATCTACAAATTAATTAAAAATAAAATGATTTAATTTGCGATAAAAATGAGTAATGTTATAGAAATAAATGTGAAAACGATATAGAGATAAGATTCAAATTCCAAACTCTCTTATTACATATTTATTGGATGTGAAGAATAATATTGTGACGCAACTTTAGCAAGTTGAATCAACTGCGTCTAATGGCCCAGATCCAATCAAATACACTTTTTTTCAATTTTCTTCATGGCGGATTACGCACCATTAATAAGTGAAGGGTCCACTTATATATAATGGATCTCACATAAATACATGGTATCGATAGATGATCCACAAAGAAAAAAATTTCAAAACAATACATTAGATCAAATCTCAATCCGAGACTAACTTGCAAAACATGTATAGAGGACTATTGTATGTACGCATATAAGAGTGGAAGCTCAGCTTTAACTCAAGAAGAGTAAGGGAGTCGTTGCCCCTACAATCTTGATAGTTTTGGTTAAATTTTTTTTTTTTTTTTTAATTTTCTACGCATACATTAAGAAATGTAAAAGCCACACTTTCATCAATTTAACAAGCCACGGTTTGGTAATCCTTATCAAAGACCATGTTTGATTTCTTATGTCTTGTTTTTAAAGGTGTTTTATTGTGCCCTATTTGGAATTTCTCTATACCTCCTCCATGTACATGTGTCTTATGCACTATTCTAGTTGAATTGTTCTAAATCGTAATAGTTGATTATTCACTAAGATATAGTAATCTAGGTTGTATATCAGAAAGAACAACTTGAGCGAGTTAATTGTTTAGGGGCATATTGCTTGGCTCCAACTCCATTGAGCATAGAGTTGTACAAATACCACTAACATGAGATTGGTGACACATGATCAAGGGCGGAGTCAATATTTTTGTTTATCTCGGGTTAAGCTAAACATTTATATGATTAACAAAATACAAATATAAACTCATAAACACTTACTAATGAAACTGAACTATTCGATTCTTCGTAGAACAAAAAACATCTATTATTAAATCTGTATCGATTGTTTTCATTATTTCTCTTTCAATATAGACAACTAATGAATCAGTCAAATACTCATTTTCGATCTTGTTATGAAGAGTACTTTTGACATGTTTCATGGTTAAAAATACTCTTTCTGAAGTTGCCGTAAAAACAGGAAGAGCTAAAATAAGACAAATCAACCTATCAATCAAATTATAAGACTCTACCTTATTTGTTTCTACTAAACCATGACATAATTTAGAAATTGTAAACATTCTTTGAAACCTCTCATAGTGAACCACATCAAATCGATAATGATCCAGTTGACATTTCAAATGATGCATGTATTGTCTGTCAAAATCAGTTGCAAAAAACTTCTCAACAAGTAAATAAATGCGATCATGATTGAAAGATTTAAAGTTGTTCCGAGAATCTAAAGCAGAGCTGAGCATAAACAATTCTATTGTCTCTTCATTAAACTACTATATAACTCTTTTAACTAATGATCAATTATAGAATTAAATATGTTCATATGATAGTGATGATCAACTGTAATATTATCATTCTGTTGATATAAACGTCTTACCCATTTTGTACTGAGTACTCATATCAGGTATATCGACATCAAATTTCATAAAACTAATTTCACATGGTCAATGCGATAATCAAAACTTTTTGCTCGCAAGGTTTGAAGCAATAATTTTCTCTAAGACAACATCATTTATCTCAACATTCAACTTTGTCATCAAACTAATCATCTCAATTAGATTACCACAGTTCTTTGACATTACAGATTCATCATGACCTCTCAAGGCAAATCTCTGTAAAGTAAGTCATTGAACACTATCAATAGTAGCCTTAAGACGCAATCAATTTCTCTTTATTTCTTCTAAACTTTGAACATTCATAACTTGTCAATGTGCATTGATATAGTTTTCAACCCCTCAATATTTCTCACAACATTATTGTGTGTGGAAGCAGGACGTCCCATATATGACAAAAAAACACATTTGGTCCCATTATTCACTCTTTTTCAACTACTAAAATCATCAGCGATAAATGTAGGATGTAGAGGTTCACGACCTTAAATAACAAAGCACGAAAAGTAAAATGTAGCATCTTTTGAAATAGAATACTCTAGCCATGTACATTTTTTGTACCAACTTTCCTAAAATCTTCGATTTTGAACTCCAGATTTAGTCCTCCGATACTTAGCCAAGATAGGTTGATTTGGTCTCCACTTTATAGAAGCACATCTAACCTCATCTTGATTATAAGGAAGATGTTTCCATATCAGAATACGCAATGCGGGATCTCGTTCAAGTGCATTCTCATCAAAAGGAATCTTTGGAACTTTTGTTTGAGGTTGATGATTTTGAGGTTCAACAGCCTCAAGAATCATAGGAACATTAACACTTGTTGATGTTTCTACTAGACTCAAAGGTTCAAGAGTAGAATTTGATATTTCTTTTCCACTTTTTTTTTTGAAGAACGAAAAAATTATTTTTCCTCTTTTTCGTTCTTGATTTTTCATCCTAAAAAAGTAGAGAAGGGTTGAAAATTAGACAAACAAACCAGAGAAACAAATCAACAATGATTCTACTTAAAAAATAATCAACAGAAAATCAGAGAAAATAACTCAAATAACGTCTGAATATATGATCAAGGAGACAAGCAATGAGTCATGGTACCTCACACAGCTTAGGTGTAATCCCTGTTTGTGGTTCTTGGAAGAGAATTAGTCGAGTAGAACTAGAGGACAAATGGACGATACGGACAAAATAAAAGTGTTTGGCGTTGACGTAATCCTCTCTCTGTTCCGATCAAAATAGGAATATAAAATCCTGAAAAACTCTCTTTTCATGATCATTGGAGCTTAAGCCTTAAGGGCTTTGAAAAATTGGGCTAATGATTAGTGATTTAGTGGGCTGGTACTAGTAGCCTTGTATGAAAGTGATAATTTTTTTTATTTTTCTTTACTCTGAGCTTTAGCCCACCGTAGCCCACTAATGACTCCGTCCTTGCACATGACATCAACATAGCTAGTATTGTGCCCTAATAATGTACCTCAAACTTGGTTTTGCCATACTTAGCTAAAAATGTGATAGTGGGTGACAAAGTCTATCGACTTCAACTAAAGCTTATCTATAATTCTAAGAGATAGTTTAAGTGGTAATAATGACAAATTGTAAATCTAAACGTCCTAAATTCGAATTTTGACATCTCTTTATGAGTCAAGTTATGAAAGATTAATCCCTTATGAATACCGTAGTACCAACGTGTATGACATGCTTTTGATTGAGCCAAAAAAAAAATTGTCGAAATAAGCATAACCTGACCCGCATACCTCTTACCGTTAAACCAAAAAACAATAACAACTAAAGCTAAGTATATTCACCAAGAAAACCATGCCCAAACTTTTGAGGAATTATCAGCAAAAACAATGATCCCCACTAGCTTGTTTGGCCATACCACCCAACACCTTCATGGGCCTCTAGTGGTTTTCCAATGACAACTGGCATGACGACAACTATTTTCAAGTCTACGGTACTTGATGGACCCCAAAACTTCCTTAATGGTGAAGACCAGAGAGTTGCTTCTTCACTACTACAAATTTGGTCCAGAAAATCAGACGTTAACCCTGCAATTTCATTCATTGTCTAATAGGAATCGTGCAAATCATTTTCTGTCAATTGAACAATTAGAATTTCTTGGCCTCCAAGCCAACATTTGGAAACTATTATTGTGAAAGGGAACTCAAATGATTCTTCAACACCCACATTTTTACATAGATAAACACGAACCCGATAAAACACAAAATAAGTAAGTTAAATATGAATTTTATGCGGTACGAACACGACACTACACAAACCCGACTGCACATTAATATAAATAGATCAGATATTAGCTGAGTAAATTTCGACTCACCTCTATTTAATCACAATATGAATTTGCCACGACACCACTTTAAGTTTTCTTAGTCAATATTATCTTCAATTGCTTCGTGGCCATGTTTTGGTTTTCCTTACTACTATAGATAGGCCAACAATCAGTGTGACTTTGTGCTAAAGTAAAAGGAAACTGGGCCATGAAAAGAATGTTGTTGAGGTCATGTATGAGGATTACAAGCTCAGATTGGATAATTTTCTTCTTTTTTTGTTTAACGGTCAAAGGTATCTGAGCTAATTTATGCGTATTTCGACTATCTCTTCTCCGGTCTGATCAAAGACAGATCATTCACATCGGGACTAAAGTATTTATGATGGATAAATTCTTCATGGCTTAGTCTCAATAGATTGCCAAAATTTAAACTTAGGACATCTGAGTGTACAATTCGTCCTTATTATTACTTGAACTGTCCTGCAGTTCGATTGAATAATTTTGGAACAAAGAAGACTCTGATGAGCTAGGCCCAATAGCAAGTGGATTTGCTTCTGGCTTAAGTTGGCTTCCTATCCCTGATGGGCCTTTAAAATATCCAACCCTCGTATCCCAACCAAGCCATCAAAACAAACATGGTCAAATTGTAAAATAGTGAGGACTTAATTAAGCCATTTCATTGAACCCACGAGCAAGGATGAAAATATTATTTTAACACATTATTTTGATCACTTAAAAAATAAAAAATATTTTGAAAATATGTCAGAAATATAATGAAAATAAATAAAAAATTTGAGAATTTATTTTCAAAACATTTCAAAGTATCAGTCTAAATATATTTAAACATCTTGAAACACTTCAAAATATTCTAAAACATTAGTAGAAACATACTGAAACATCTCAAAATAATTCAAAAATATTTTAAAATATTAGAATTTCGATTTAGTCAATGATTTGTTTAAATCTACTTAAAAAGGAATTTTTTTGATCATTTTAAAATGATAATTTGATCCATACCCACATGTTATACTCGGGGCAAAATGACACAGACAAACAATAATCATTAAAGTTGATCTACAAAACAAAGAAAGGACGGTTGTTGTGGTACTAAAATACAACAGACAGAGGAGATCCTGTCCACCGACCCACCCCTTAGATTCGACCATTTTTCAGACCATGACTGCTTTGAGAATGAGAGAATTCTCGTCCCTTTGGTTTGGTACCTTAGAATAGCGCCCGTAGGCACCGCTGGAACCATCACGCATGCTCATAGACTATGCCGCTGTTGGTGGAATCTTCTATCAAATTATGACATGTTTTTTGGACTTTTTTAATATATGACACATTAGATTTGTTATTATTACAACATAGCTGAGTATTTCAAAAAGTTATCTTAATTCATTTTGCTAATATTCTAGTCTTCATTATGTCGTTTGATCTTAAAAATGTCAGTATCTCGTATCAACATGTTATAACATATGTTTCTAAAAAAATGTTAGATCAACTGATTAAGTGCTACGTTGTTGATCCGGAGATCTAATCCACGAAATGTACGGACTATTACCAAGACTAAGAACTAAGGGACTTGTTTGACCTGAAATTGATTAGACGCAATGCCAGATATACTTCGCATCACCCTATGGCACGCCCTTAGCATCCATATATTATTGTTGGGAAAAAAAAGGCTCAAATACAGCACTGGTGTGGCCTTTGGATGTCAAGTCTTAGTAAGACCCTAGCATTCTTTTAGAGTTTTCTTTCAATCATATCTAACAATTAACAAATTCAATAGATCAAAATATTAATCATCCAAAAGAGTGCCAACATCGTGTACACACATGGACACTAACAGCCCTACTGCATCCAAAGACAAGGTACCATTCTTGTTATAAATTTTTTTTTATATTTTTGGGGGAGCCTGAGCGAGAGCAGAAACGGGTTAGAGTTCATTATTTCTCGACACAAACTCGTATATAATACTACCCGTTAACACGAATAATAAATAAATTAGATTAATGTCAAACACAAACAATACGAAATTGACCTAATACTCACTTTTATTATTATATATATTTATTACATTTATTTTTAGTTTATAAAAAAAATTTGAGCATAAATTTGATTAAGTAATAATAAAATTGTAGACGTACAACTGAATGTTAAATTTTTTATTCATGTATTATATAGGTCAACACAAACACGAAAAAAAAATAAAGAAGTTGATATAACACGACATGATTAATTTAACAAATTGAATTAAAATTGATTAATCTTCAACATAAATACAATTCGATACGGCATAATTGGCACTCTTCATCAATGTTGCACCTTGACCTTTGTTTAGTACTCTAAGCTCCTCGTGTCTTATGAATGAGGAAGATCGGGGGACCGAAATTCATATCACACAAAAATTTATAATTTTTTTGCAGTAAAAGACATAATTAAAAAAGTGATGAGAGATACAATTTTTAAAAATTAAATTATTATTTTTTGAGTTTAAGTTATAATTTTTAAAATAATACAAAAAATTATATCTTTTAAAGATAAAATTACAATAAATAAGATAATATTTATAATCGATTAAAAAATTACTTCAAACAATTACAATTTCATTTTTAAAATGTGCAGGTGACGAGGAGAAGAGGAAACACGTGACAGACGGAATTTATACTTTACTTGTAAGAAGGGAATTGGAGGGGTCTACCGTCTACCTATAAGCCAGTGGGGGTCCAGGAGTGAAGTGATCTTTCGGTTTTGGTTCATTCTTTGTGCTCTTTATCGAAGACCCCAATATCCTCACTTCAGTCACATCACACATGGCCTCCCTCAATTCCCACGCCGTTATTTTTTAGGATAAAATTAGGGAATTAAGTATACAATTTTTAAATAAAATTATTAAATTACAATTAATATTTTAAAATTTATTTATTAAATTATAATAATTTTTAAAAAATAGATTCGAACAACTTCATTTTTGTTAAAAAGTAAAATCAACGACTCCGTTTTTAACCTTTACTCAGACAAAACTATTCAACATTTTAAAATTTAAATTCCAAAAAAAGAGTCATAAGTCCAATAAATTCACGCTTAAAAGTGAGGTAACAGTCCTATTTTCAAAAAAAATATATCGTAATTTCGTAAATAAGTTTTAAAATATTATAATTTGATAATTTTATTTTAATATTATCGTAGATTAATACTTTGTTCAAAATTATGGTACGGACTTTGATATCGACATGTATCTTGATGTTAAATTTTATTTTGAATGATTTAAAATTATTAATTAAAAATAATAAAATTTCATAGATGATAAATTTTTGGTAAATGAAAATAGAAATTACGGTACGAAAATATGTTGTAACTACCTTCATCTATGGTTTAGATGCTCCCAATCAAATTGTGGTGACATCTAGGCCGTGTGTTAAGTTGGATGTCGGTGGGGTATACAATTGGGACACTTGACAGACACTGTGGGGCCCATTTGAGTTCTCACTGCCCGTAGCAATAGCTATCAGTTGCTCTCCACTTTTTCTTTTTTTAAGTTGTCATGTTAAGTAGACAATCTAACATGCACCTTTAACTAATTTTTCTTTTAATTTAGTTAAAAATAAATTATTTATATCGAGACTAAAATATTTATGATAAATAAATTTTATGATTTAGCCTAAAAAAATTACCAAAATTAACGGTATTTAAATTTACAATTCATCACCGTTACCGTTGAAGTACCTATTCATTACTCTCCACCAATTCCTTCTTTTCCTTCATATTCCCAATCACCAGCCCACCCTTTGCCACCCCAAACCAATCAACCTCTCTCTCTCTCTCTCTCTCTCTCTCTCTCTCTCTCTCCACCTTATGTATAAAAACAAATACATCCCTTTCTTGTTCTATTTTCTCTCATTTGTATGCACTTGGTGGCAGTGAAGCTGTGAATTAATGCAGTGTCTCTTGAAGTTTGAAGTCCCCAAGGTTGAACTGCAGAATTTCAATCTGGCTTCACATAGCTCAGCTTGTTTGCAAGTTCGCATGGATTCATCTGACTGGCTACAGGTATATATCATGCATTCTCTCTCTCTCTCGTGCAAGATAGCTTTAGAGGAGACAAATGGTCTAAGGAATGGATAGAGCAGTTCTAATGCCAAAAAGTAACAATTTGAGTTTCCATACCCGCTATAGCTAGATAAAGAAGATAAAACAAAGAACCTAATCATGACTTATGGGTTCTGACAGTTCAAAAAAAAAAAAATCTAACACAACTGACAACAATAGTTCTAGTGGTAGAAGATTTTTTTTTTTTTTCAATAGTCAGGATTATTCAATCCAACATACGTGTATTTCGATTAATTTTTTTTCAAATTTGATTAAAGACAAACTATTCACGCCGAGACGAAGGTGTTTATGAAGGATAAATCCTTAAGTGTCTGCATTATACTTTAGACATTCAAATATACATATCTAATTTATATAAGACAAGAAACATTAATAATGTGTACATTAATTTTTTTTTATCAAATTAATGTGAATTTTTTAGGCCAGTGAGTCCCAATGAAAAAATAATAAGATTCATTGTTCTATCCAACAATACAAATCAAATTGATAGGCAAACTTTAGCAAGTGATTTGATAAATTTAGCAGTATTTGGACAAGGAATATCAACTACCTGCATTATTGTGACATGAATTCTAGGATAAGATTATGATACTGGGAAAAAATGTAACACCATTGTGAAAATTATCAATTTTTAAGTGAAAGGTTTACCCTTTAAAGTGACGTTTCATATGATTCATGATTGAACATGAAATATTATGATCGATGATGAATTATTCCAGGCAGTTATAATTGTTCTTTTACGAGTTGTAATTTAATCTTTAAAAATTATAAGTTGAAGTTTAAAAATTGTTACTTTCATAATTAATCATATCATTTTTTTTATTGATCATGCCCTTTGCAATTTACTTTACACTCTAAAAAATTATAATTGAATTTAAAAGGTTAGTAATTTTCGGTGCGACAACGATCATAGTATTCCCCTAAGTTTTAACACACATTCCTATTGCTCTCTTGGTTTCCATGTCAGGGCACAATTATCGACGAGACAGGAATGGATTCTTCTTCTTCACCATCTGGGGACATGCTCACATGCTCAAATCCCTTACTAGAGACCAGACTTAGGCCCCAACATGACCAAGCCATAAAGTGCCCTAGGTGTGACTCAACACACACCAAGTTCTGTTACTACAACAACTATAGTCTCACCCAGCCAAGGTACTACTGCAAAACATGTAGAAGGTATTGGACCAAAGGAGGGACCCTAAGGAACATCCCTGTGGGTGGTGGATGTAGGAAGAACAAGAAGGTTTCTTCCAAGAAATCAAATGATCAACCCTTCGACCCGAACCCCAGACCCAGATCATCGTCTATCAATCCAACTGATCTTCACCTTTCTAACATATTAGGCAACCATGGTGGCCTTACTAGCCCTAGTTTCATGGACACCAAGTACAATGCCTTACTTGAAAATCCTAGACCCATTTATTTTATGGAAAGTAAGTATGATGGTCATGTTGGAGTCAGTTCTAGAGACCATGGTTTCATGGAAAATGGTGGATTAAGTATGATGGGTGGGTTTGGTGATATGGGTACTCATGGGTTGGGATCCAATTGTCATGGCTATTGGTCTCCATTTGGAATGTCTCTTGATGGGAACACTAGTGGGAGTGGGACTTTGATGAACAGTGACCAGAGGCTAAATTTAAAGCTTCAACATGGAGGAAATGAGGATCAAAATGCAATGGAAGTGAAGCAAAACAACAAGCTTTTGTCACTAGAATGGCAAGATCAAGGTAGTTCTTCTGATTCTGGGAAGGGCTCTTTTGGTTATCCCAATGGACTTGGACTGTGGACTCGCATGATGAACAGTTATGGGTCTTCTGCAACAAACCCATTGGTTTAAAGGGTCAGACAAGACTATACTTCTGAATCTGATCATCAAGTTTTGTTGCATGATGAATGGTTAAGATCATCTACAAGAAATATAATCCTGATAGTGACTGTCTAATTATATAGATACAAGAAAATGCCGTTGATGGAAAGGGTTTTTTAGGGTTTCTGTCTGTGAAGGTTGTTCCTGTTAATAATTGACTCGACTAGCCTGAGTGGGAATGGCCAATGAGAGGGTGGGTGGGTTCAAATATGGCTGCTTTAGTAAATTAATGTTGGTCTCCAACTTTCTGTTCTTCAGTCTTTATTTTATGTTTGCATCTTGGTTGGAAGACATTCAAAACTTTAGAATTTTGGAATATTTTCATGTAATATTGCTTTTTAGTCACCTAGAAAATGTGTTGAGTAGCTGGTGGTGTTGGGTATGAAGGAGCAATAATCTCATTCTCACCAAAAGCACAAAGAAAAACACAAAACAGGGGCAAAATCTACTTATCATTAGACAGCAATGTATTTAGCAAGAGAAGCCACCAAGTCTCTTGATCCAGGGATCATTGGAGAGAGCAGCAAACTCCAATTCATTTTTTTCTTTTTTCTTTTTTTCTTCTCTCTTCAAAAGATCCTTCTTTTCGCCGGTTAGTAAGTTAAGAGCAATTCCATTAGGTAGAAACCCGAAATCTCTTTTTTACGATCCGTTTTTTTTTCACTTGTATCGTGACCGAATCAAATCCTTTGGTTGTGAGGTCTATTTTGAGAAGAATTTGACTATTTTCTATTGTTTTATATGGACAGAAAAGTGAGGACTTCGAAAAAATCATCAAGAAATCTAAAAAGAGGAAAATAGTAGGAGTTAACAATGATAATAAATGAAAGACGAAGAATTAAAGTTCTACTTGGTTTGCATCTCATAAACTATTTTTTTTTTTCAAAAATTATTTTTGAAAAAAAAGTAGTTTGACTAGTTATTTTTTATTTTTGTTTTTTGAAAACTGTGAACAAATATTGAGTAGATTTAAGAAATCAAGTTAAACTGTTTTATTTATTTTTAAAAATAATTTTTTTTAAATTTAGAAAACATAACTACCACACTTTCATCACTATCACATTTTTTTTATTGTTTTGGGTTACTGTCCAAACAAATTTTACTATTTTTTTTATTCTGTAGAACTATTTTTGAAATCATAGAACCAAACAAATTTTATAATACAAAAATATCAAAAATAATTTTTGAATACTAATTTTTTGATAAGCAAATCAAATAAGCCTAAAGTCTTCTCGTTAGAAGACAAAACTTTTATGCATAAGAATGGGCCGGCCATATAGGCTTGGCCTAAGACATTAAAATGGCCAAATGGCTACAATTGGCTATAGAAAAATATAACCCCAAAACCTCAATAATTTGGGCTGTCCTCATAATCTTTGCCATTAAATTATAACTGGGGAAATAATATTAAAAAAAAAAGATATTATAACAATCATGATGAATATAAGTCAAAATAAGAATACTTTAAAAGTAATTAAGTATCTTTTAGAGAATGCATTAAAACTTATGACTCCACAAGCTTTTGACCAATTTTTTCTTAGAGTAAGTTATTTAAAAAAAATGTAGCTTAACTTTTTGTTACAAGAAATAAAATAAAAAATAGTGACAGTGGATCACCCAATTTTGGTAAACTATTGGATGTAACTGTGACACCACGTCATTATTACTGTATGGTATTATCATTCAGTAATAAACTTATAGGTGGACAAAGATAAAGCCCCACTTGATAGCTATTTTTGTACATGAATAGGGGTAGTTACTAAATTAAGTATGGTCTACTTAGGGTAGTTACTAAATTAAGTATGGTCTACTTATCTACATATAGATTTGTTTTTGGATAATAAAATTACGTGATAATTAGGTCTATCAATCGTGTCGGTTGAGATGGGTTCGTGTTGTGTCTTAACAAGTTTGTATTAAAAAATATTTACATCATACTTGATTCATTTATTAATTCATGTCTAACGATTATTTCATATTGGATTCGTGTTGTGTATAATCGGTATATAAATGAATCGTGTCATATTTTTTTTTGGTTAATTTCACACGTAATCGATTCGTTTATTAATCGTGTCATGTCGAATCCATTTTGTTTACAAAATAGGTAGATTAAGGAAGACTCAAACTCTCTAAATTCATATTGTGTTCAGATCGCGTTAACGTAATATCACCTTTACATTCGATATTTTCTCCAATGTTTTGGCTTAATGGGTTGTCATTTGTCTGAAGCCCAGATAGAGGGTCCAAGTCTTTAAGTTCCCCAAACAAGAATAAGCCCAAATTTCGTAGAGCTCGTCCCATTAAACACTCTGATGATCCGATGGAGGTTAGACGGATCCCATTCGAAAGCTTAAATCTGTTTTCTCTCTCCTCTAGGGTTTACCTCCGGGCACTTATGCTACAAGACTGCGAGTCACTCCATTGACCTCTCTGGCTACGATCAGGTAATCATTTTCCCCAAAATAAGTGGGCAATCGTAGGTTTTTCGTCTTGCACGTTAGCTGTTTGATTAAATGCCTATTTCAAAATGGCTTTGTCAAAACCTGCTTGGCTTTGTGTTCAATGCCTGTGTACTTTCAGATTAGTACTTTGAACAACGATGGTGACTCTATGATGGGCTACGAACATATTACATGATACATTTTTCAGAATGTCTCAATTTCCATATCATACAGGAGGAAAATAAAATGGTTCTCCTTGTTACCAGTTGAGGAACAAAGTCGTTTGTTTTTGCTGTTGTTACATTGTAAATCAGTACATGGTGAATTCAAATGGGCAAAAGAAATTTATAATTGATGAAAGAGGTTAACATGCTAATATCATAAATTTAGTTGTTTGACAGGTTATGTGAAGACTGATTGCTAGGTGGATTCATTGCACTCTGTTCTTTATAAAAATACACCATTCCTCTTCACATATGGAAATGGATAATTTACAATATTTAGATTTAGAGAAATATACTTTCCTATAATCATCCCAGTTCTCAAACTGAGAAAAAGGGGGGAGGGGGTTTCTGGTTGGTAAGCCAAATTTTATGGGAATCATGAACTTTGTAATTACAGTTGGATTGTATTTTGTGTCTTTTATTTGTTGGATTTATACAAATCCTATATGATCATATGTATGGTCGCCTATAACCAAACTATCAACGATTATTCCTGTGGAGTGGAAACGAAAAGAGAATAGGATTGGTCGTTCCTATCCACCATGTGGCTGTGACATGTCATGCAATGTTTGTCATATTATCACCTCTGACCCTGGTTGGCCCTTACAATTTTGAATGAGACCTGATGGTTTATCCTCGGCCAGTGAAAAAGTTTAACTTACACTCTCAATTCCTTTTTCCAGGTCAAGTTCGGGTGCAGTTCAGATTTTCATGAGAAAAAAGTGAAGCTGCCATGACCAATTACTTTGAATGCTACAAATGCGTGATTAGACTACCTCCTTCCCATAAGCATGCACTGATGAATTAATGTTTTTTCTGATCGGTAAACCATGAAGCTTGTTGCATTGCTCAGATCCATTTCTGTCCGCCCCACTCTTAGAGAAATAACTGGTCCTTTGCAGTCATGTTCATTCCAATCTGACTTTGTTCCCAAAGATCCCCATGCAAAACCCAAAAGATACAAGTACCCACCATTCTATGATCCCTATGGCCCTAGACCCCCACCTTCTGACAAGGTCATTGAGCTTGCAGAGCGAATTGCAGCCCTACCCACAGAAGAACGGATTCAAATCGGTCCCACACTCCGAGAGAGACTACGCCATCCCAAGATGCAGTCAATATCGGTTGAGGGCATGGACGTTGGTATCCACGGAGGGGCAGGTGCTGGATCAACAAAAGCTGAGGAAAAGAAGGCAGAGAAAACAGCATTTGATGTGAAGTTAGAGAAATTTGATACAGCTGCAAAAATCAAGGTGATCAAAGAGGTGAGGGCTTTTACAAATCTGGGATTGAAAGAAGCGAAAGATCTGGTCGAGAAGGTACCGGTTTTAATTAAACAAGGGGTTACCAAAGAGGAGGCAAATGGTATAATAGAGAAGATTAAAGCTGCTGGAGGCATTGCAGTGATGGAGTGACACTCTTAACCACTCTTGTAGGATCTGTTCTTTTCTTTCAGGTTCTATCATTGTTTAAAAGAACCAGTGGGATATCTATCCTCCCAAATATGAATTTTGTCTTCAAGTCCCTGGATAGGAGTTCATGCTAGAGTTTAGGGAGAATTTCTTTCAAACTTGTTTCCTTGTTTTGAATTAAGCTTCTAAATTTTATTATGCTAAGACAGTGTGTTGTCCACACCCCTATGCTAAACCAATGCAACAGTATGGTTCTCTAGTGTTCCTGCTGCTGCGATGCAAATTAGTCAGCATATCAAGGGTGTCCCCAGCCTGAGTTGCTGGGGAATTGCTGTTTCATTGTGGTTGTGATTTTGTATTCATGATATTATACAGTTTCAAAGATTTATTTCTTGGATCGTTGAGAGAATTTTTTTTTTAACTGGAAATAAGATAATTGACTTCCCAACATTTTCTCTCTTGAAGTGATTGAATTCTAATCTTTGAAATCGCATTCTTCAAAGAGAGAAGAAAATCAATTGAGAGGGTAGAAAGCCTCCTAATATTATTGGAGTCCATGTTTGGTGGAGTGACCCGTTTGGCCCTTAGGAAAGGAAGAGCTGTCAGGCTCCGTAAACACAATCAATAAAGAGTTTTGTTAGCGGTCTTCGATGAACATAGGCGGGCTAGTAACAGATGAAGCTTAGGTAACGGTACTTCAGTTAGTAGTTTAAAAACTATGTTTTGAGCCTATTTCGACACAATAATAAGCAGTTAAGTTACACACAGTAATGCTACATAACTTAAATAAAATTTAAAAAATTATAATTCAAATGCATATTATTTCTTAAATGATTGAATCTCATCATTTTTTTTAATAGAATTTACTCATCCAACCCTCATTTGAAGGATGATATGCATTGTATTGCACTTTTTGAGTTTCGTTTGAATCATATAGTATTTTCCTTAATGGACTGGAGTATGATATGCAGTGTGCATTGGTCACAATTGGAATCACCAAGTTTTCAAAAATCCCATGACTTTGGCCGTAGTCAGTTAAAACTTTAAAGACATAAACCCAATCCACTTGCAGCGGGCATGCCACCAGACAACCTTTGTTCCACTTTGTCGGGCATAAATATGGCACCAGGTTAACACATTAGTTTCCTATTTCTTATTTGCACCCTAGTCAAAACTCCATAGGAGTAACACTTTTATTTTCAATGGTGTTTTATTATGGTTAACTATGTAATATGTAATTAGGATATCCTTGTGTTCTTTTGTCTTGTAAGTACCTGTTGAGAGTACTAATTTTAGTACTCCTCACAGATTTTAATTGTTACTGTCACTGCACAGCAAGCAGATTGAGGATTTAGTGGTGCAATGTTATGAGGTCGTGTGACATGAAGACATTGATAGCAATATGGGGGAAGTTCCCATCAGGCAACAACGGTTCTGTCTGACCCTACTTAGGCATGCATATAATGTCAGTGAAGACTTGGTGTGAAGCCTTGGAGCTTACGTTAGAAGAGCAAAAGGCCGGGGATAGGGTGAGCTGAGGAGAGGGACAGCATAAGGAAGCCTCATCTTTCGCTTGGGTTTTATCCCTTTATAGTATACCTCTGCAGATTATTAACACATACACACACACATAGCATCAACAATGAGGAGGAACAGAACAGGGACGCAAGCATGCCCCAATTACCATAGAGTCGATGAACTTACAAACAGCTTAAATCGAGAGATCCGTAATTTACCAATTAACTTACGAAGAGGAAGAAGAGCCAACCATGGTGCTTACTTTCGTCAGTAGGCCTTTAATCTCACTCTCCAACTTGGCTCTCATCTCTGGTGAAAGATTATCCCCTGATTTCTCCATCGTAGATGTCATCATCTCAAGATTCTGTCTTATGTGCAAAAGATCAGGCGCTTCACCTTGGTGTTGGTGAGGTTTAAAACCAGGAGGATTCGCTGGGGACTTGAATCTATCCATAGGCGGAAAGGACAGTATCGTAGCAGCAGCTGAAAGATGATGGAGGCGATAACTGAGAAGGGCTGGCCCAAAAGGGCTGCTTTTTTCCAAACTCTGCAACGCGTTTCCAGCATCAGAACTCCTTGAGAATACAATCTGGGCACTAACATCATTCAACATCCGGGTTTCTGATTCCTTCAATGGTCCAAACCCACAAAAGGTTGCAACCAGTACTTCCCTTGAAGGCAAGGGAGATCCGGGAGCAAAATTTAAGAGAAGTGCAGTCCCCAAAGCTTCTTCATTGGTTGGCATTTTGCTATAATTTACAATTACATTTGGCATCCCAGCACCAGCTTTACTTCTCCTCCTCCTCTTTCGCTGGGGTTTAGCTTCAGGCAAAATGCAATTCGTATATGGCAGATCTTTACCTATTGAGCTGGGTTCAGTGACATTTCCATTCAAATCTGGTATGGAACAAGTAACCGTAGACTTCAGAGAATCAGAAGCTTTCTCCTTTCTCTTCCTCTTCTTGCACTCAGGCTTACCACCAGAAGATAACGGGCCCATCAGCAGCGAGTCTCTCACCAACGAGCTAGGTTCCGCATTGTTCCCATTAGCGCCTGGTTGCCCAGCCGTAAGTACAGTATTCAGACACAATGAAGCAGCTTCATTCATTTGCTCTCTACCATTCAGCTCATCAATACTTTGGAGCGAATATACAACACCTACCGGCACGTCTTTCAAAAATGGGGCAAGTTTGGAGCTTTGAGTCTTCGCATGCTCCGAAGCTGCTGCCTCACTACTTTTTCTCCTCTTTGGCTGAAGTTTACCTTGAGATGCAACAGGACCTGTAATCTGCATATCTTCAACTGACAAGCTAGCGTTATTTCCATTCAAATCTGGTATTTCCGCCATTATTTTTGTCTGTGGAAGACCTGTCTGCTGGAAATTTATTATCATTGAGCCACTTGTAGTAATGTCCCTGTTCATGCCCAATAAGCCAGCAGTAGGAGTGCCTCTTACCTCCTCCTTTCTCTTCTTCAGCATGGATCCATCAGCAGGTGCTTGAAGGCCCATCTGCTGGAAGTTTATTATCATTGAACCACTTGTAGTAGTGTTTCCATTCATGCCCGATAAGCCAGTATTAGGAGTGCCTCTTACTTCCTCCTTTCTCTTCTTCAGCATGGTTCCACCAATGGGTGCTTGAAGGCCTGTCTGCTGGAAATTTATTATCATTGAGCCACTTGTAGTAGTGTTTTCATTCATGCCTGATAAGCCAGCAATAGGAGTGGTCTCCAAAACGACCAAAGTTGCTTTTTCCTTTTTCTTTCTCCCCCTCTTGCGCACAACATTGGATGAAGAATAGTTCATCACTTCTCCTGCTGAGTTAATGCTATTAGTGACTTTATTCGCATCTGGTTTTCCAGAAGTTTTTATGGTTGACAAATGCTCTACATTCGCTTCTTCCATTCCAATTTCCTTCTCCATCAGATTAGGTAAGGTTTGGAGACAATTAATCTCCAGGTTAGGCTCCTGCTGAACAACCGTATGCACCGTAGGCATTTCATTATTAAACTTGTCATGAAATACAAATCTTCTAAATTCAGAAAAGAATCTTTCAACTGAATCAAAATATCTCCTTTTACTTGCATATAGACAATCTAGAGCTGTAAAACGGAGTTCATAGAGCAATTCAGCACAAGATGCATTTATTTCAACTGGTTTATTGAGTACACCATGCCCAGCAACGGGTTTCCTGGACAACTTTTTCCGTGACTTCTTGCCACTACACTCAACCATTGGAGTGGACCCCACAGACTGGCCAGCGGGCTTGTTCATGTCCACTCCAACATGAGAAACCTCCTTGCGGTCCTCTTTCTCATGTTCCCCTGAAGTAGGTGCATCTTTGCCACTCCAGCTCAAGTTTACAAAAGGAGGTGATAAATACTTGCTCCTCTTCCGTTCCCGTGTCTCATAGCCTTTATCAGATCTCTCTTCGGTTCCCCCATCACTATTTCCTATGCCAGACTCTCCACCCTCCATTGCTTTTGGAGGTTTTAAGAGGCTGGTCATCACCACCTCACATGCAACCATTTTACAGCCACCAAGATCAGTTCCATCACTGCCATTTGACTCTCCCTTTCTGGATTCTATTTCTGTATCACTTGAGATAATTCTTTCTTCAGCAACACCCCTCCCACATTTTTGCAATACAATATCACTGTCCCCTCCACAAAACTTAGTCAGGTTTTCATCCTTCTTTTCTGATGTCAACCCATCCGGAATGCTATCTTTAGCATCACCTGTTGGCCTGAGTTTGTGCATAGGCAGTTGGTGATGCCCTATGGAACGATCAAAGGCAAACAAACAGTTCTGGATTACTGTAAACTCAATCATACCAGGCATAGAAACATCCAGGGCAAGATTTTTGATAAATGCAAGAAAAGTGGCAGGTTCAAACTGAGTCGCCGAAAATTCACAAAGTTCACCTGTTTTGTTCTCTGACACTGAGGTTCCTTCCTTAATTCCAGTAGCCAAGAGAGCAGTCAACCAACATGGACAAGTCATCTCCATATTTACACGCCGACCAATCACACCAACAGCCTTCTCTACAGCAACAACAAAGTTTCTTGAGTCACTTTGCTTCGACATCTGATCGAAGCACTCAAGAAAAGGCTTACACTGAGATGGAGAGCACCAAACACAATTACCATTCCCGAAATATTTAACTAGGTGACAGCTCCTTTGATCTGACTTTGTCACATCCTTTGATGCACCTGAAGGATTATAAATCAGTCCAGGCCACCAGGATTGTGCCTTTGTTTTAACCCATACTAAATCACCCTCAGAAAACTGGTATTCTGGATCACCATTGTCCAATTCTTCTTTTGCTTTACCCTCTACAGGGCTATTTTTTGCCTCATCAAGCACGCCTTCGTGAATCTCTGAGCTTTTGGCAATTGGATATTCCTCATTAACAGGCAACAACAGCCTAATCCCCTTGTGCTTATTTTCTTGATCAGATTCGCTCCCATTCAATGCATGATCTGTTATATCATTTGCATCATCACCTTCAAAAATCCCATTCAGAGGACCGAAAACTTCCACAAATAGAGAAATACCATCTCCGGAAACTTCTATATTCTTAGTTGAATCAACCCCGTGCAACAGCGGTGCAATTTCTTCTTCCATATCCTTACCCATCACAACCTTCTCAACTCCAATCTCCTCTCTCCCGCTAATTTTTGGACCCACTTCGATAACTGAACCCTCATTAATTTCCATTCCATTGCTGTGTGGTAAAACTAACCTTTTTCGTTCAGAATCAGATTCCAAAGAACCACTTTCCATCGGACTTCCTTCAGCAACACTTTCATCTCCCAAATAGTCCTTCTGAACTTCACCAAGTAAAAAACTATTTATGGCTTTCACATTGTTCATTTCCACATTATTACTAGTAAAGCTAAACCCACTACCATTTTCACCGGCAGAGACCTCACAAGCCAAAACTAACCCAGTACCCCTACTCAAACCAGACAATCCTGAAGCTTCTTCTAGGGTTTTATCACATGGGTTTTGACCTTCATCCAGTTCTGACACCACAGAGCCCTCCTCTAGGGCTTCTGAGGTATTGAGGGTTTCCATTTCAAGCATGTTCTACAAAGGTCTCACCTTTTTCCCCAAATTATCAACCTCACATCAACATCACAGCTGAACAAAAACAGGAAAACACAAAAAATCAAATAAACCTTTTTGCTCTTTACTATTAATGTTGATAATCCAACCTAATCATGCAAAACAATAGAAAAGGAGAGGAAATAACAAAAACCCACTATAAATCAACCAAACCGCAATCCAAAACCGCATGCATTTCAACAAAAAAATACTAAAATTATAGATCATTACAAAAGTAAAGAAATTTTAAGTACCTGAAGAACGAAACCAATGCTTTTGCATTTCCATGAACCGACTGATTGGCTTTAAAAGAAGATCTAAGGCAAGAGAGATGAAGGGGGGGGTGATATTTACAAGTGGGTAGTAATAGGAAAGTCGAAATTTTCTCGAGAAAGTGTTTTATGGAGAAAGATTCGGCCAGTAATGACAGAAATCTATTTTTCCGGTGGTTGGGTTAATGTAGTTGTCCTTATCAAAAGGTGTTTTTTTATAGTACAGCACAAATAAGTGGTTTTATCACTGATCCGGTGGTTCCAAGAATCCAAGGCCCTTACCAAAAATCATTGAAGCTTAGCGAGAGTAAGAGAAATTTTACACAGATCCAAACAAGAAACGGTAATCATGTGGATGATATGGTTTCAGATAACCCTTATAGTTCAAATGCTAATAAAAACGACATTTAAATTCAAGTATTTTATATTTAAATTTTGACAATTCTAAATAGAGATGACAGTAAATCAAAAAAGAAATTGAGCATTTGTACCATTTAAATAAGAGATGGATAATATCTATTAAACGATAGACGTATACAAAGATATCCGTATGGAGATAGAGATGGAAATAAATTGATATATATATATATATATATATATATATAAAGAGTAGAGCTGAGTTTGAATTTTGGAGACAAAGAGAGGTCCACATCGTTTTGAGACAAAACATTAACACATCCAACAAACAACGTAATTCCAATATAAAAGACGGTTTAAATCATCTCATAAATACTAAGCTGATGGTTTACAGTGAGTATTAAATTTTGTATTTCCGCCCAACAACTTTTTCTTTTTTAATTATCAGGGCTTTTAACTTTCCTCAAATCTCTCTTCCTTATTCTTTTATCGCCTCAAGGCCAATTTTTCTGACTCACGCCTCTCTCTCTCCTTCGAAATCTCTCATGCCTTCCAAACTCAATCCCAAAATCTCTCTCATAGAATTTATCTCAATCTCACTTTTGTCTCTCTGTCCCAATCTCAAACTATTAACGTTTCAAATCGTCTCAAAATTTTTGATCCGACACACCAATTTATTAATGAAAATCTTTTTCCCGCTCACCAGTTTCTATGTTTAACTCCCCCAAAATCACACCCAAATCTCCTCTCTTTCTCTGGATCTCCTTTCTAAACCATTCCTCTCTCAAGTCATCAATATTATCAACGTTCATATATTGATCTTCCCATGACCCATTTTTTGACTTCTTTCTCCTCCTATCTTCCCCAAAATACTCCATCATTTCTTCCTTTCCTTTGCTCTCAAACCACTTTCTTTCATCTCTCTAATTGAGACGCCACCTACCACTGGCAACGTCGCCAACCCAGTGACGCCATCCACCAGGCATCCCCCTCTCTGGCTCTCTTAAGTATGTTACATGAGTCATGCTTTGATTATCGGTGTTATAAGTCAATTGTATTTGTATCAAGTCATTTTTACATGATTAACTAGATAGTTCATGTTAGAGTTTAGTGATTTTTTATATGAATCCAAAATAACACAGCGCAGTTTGATTGTCCTCCCTACTTCAGGTATTATAGATGTTGAATTTTTTTCAAATGGCTTTTCAGTTTTTTTAATGATATTTTTTGGGTTATGTAGTGCCTTCATGTATGGGCAATTGCTAATATATATATATATATATATATATATATATATATATATATATATATATATATATATATATATATATATATATATAATAACACAAAGATAGAATCTCTACTCACCTGCTTATTAATAACTCTTATAGTTCAAATGATAATAAGAATGAGATTTAAATTCAAATGTTTTGCGTTCAAATTTTGATAACTCTAAATAGGGATGGTAGTGGATCGGGAAAAACGAATATTCATCTAAATTCGTCTCATTTGGATAGGAGATGGATCATACGTATTAAACGGTGGACGTATATTAATACATATATATAATATCACAAATCTCACCCACCTGCACACTCTTCTTTTTGTCCAAAAAAAAAAACATTTTACTTTCTCTTTTTTTTTTTAGTTTTTTGGGTGTGGGTATAATTTTTTAGACTTATTTGAACAAAAGTGTATGGATAAGTTGTTTACTCTATTAAGTACAATTTTTATAAAAATTCTTGTGTTTAGGTACAAAATTCAAATGAATTAAAAAATTTTTTTACCTAAACACCCTCCCTTAAATTATGTAGTCATCATTGACAGTAATTTGAAAAAACAAATATGTAAAAATTAACAATAGTAATGGGAGGTAAAATAGGAGTTTACAGAGAGCGAGAGAGAGCAAAAGCATTGGTATTCATGCTAGAAGATGAAGATGAAGGAGTATGGGTGTAAAATATAAGTGAAACATATATATATATATATATATATATATAATATATATATATATATATATATATATATATATATATATATATATATATATATATATATATATCATGCCACCAACCTCGCTTCCATATCATTTGACCAAAAGGAATAAAGTCATTTACTATAATAATTGGTCAAACCCTAAATTTTCTCAAAAAAAAAAGAGAATTAGCCAAGATATTTTGTTAGATATTATGTATTATTCGTTGTTGAGATGTAGGAAAAAAGAATTTTTTTTTTATTTTTTTTAACGGGCATAACTATTTTCTAATGAGTGTAACTATTTTTCTAATTAGTGTAACAATCACAGTCTCATGCAATTGTTAAGATATGATGGTGTAACGAAGCGACGATACCAAAATGATGTAACTATTTAGTTTATGTAAACAATTAAATGACAAATTGGATTGATGTCATAATTTTGTGTAATTATTTTGTATAACTGTTTTAAAAAAAATAAAAATTGGTCAAGATGTTTTGTTAGATATTATGTATTGTTCGTTGTTCGGATATAAAAAAAAAAAGAACTTCTTTGTTTTTTTTAAATTGGTGTAACTGTTTTTTTATGGGTGTAACTATTTTTTTAATGAGCATAACTATTTTTTAATTAGTGCAACTATTTTTTTAATGGGTATAAATATTTTTTAATGGTGTAATTATTTTTTTAATAGGTGTAACAATCACAGTTTCATGCAATTGTTAAGGCATGATGGTGTAATATACCATGATACTAAATGGTGGAATTATTTAGTTTATATAAACAATTAAATGATAAATTGGGTTGATGTCATAATTTTGTATAATTATTTTATGTAATTGTTTGATTTATTATAACGCATGAGTAACTGTTTGATAAATTATAAGACAATTGTAACTGATTAATGTAACAGATTAGTGTAATTGTTTTATTGTAATATTAATATAAATAGAATAAGAGAAAATAGGAAGAGAGAGAAACTTTTAGAAAAATTTGAGTCTATTTTATCCCTCTTTACTTGATTGTAGCCAAAAAAAACGGAAGAAATACAAAATGGTTTCCATCCATGCCGTACACTGAATGGCAATAGTGTCATTTTTTAAAAATATGCATTTTACTCTACATAAGTTTTTGAGTTATATTTTTATCTAAATAAATTTAAAAAATTGTACCGGCATCTAAACCCCCCCCCCCCCCCCTTGTTTTTTTATCTATTCGATATATAATAGAGTTTTATTTGTCTTACAGAACCATTTGTAAGATTTTATATTTTTTTTTCAATTTTTTATATTAAAATCATATAAATTAATTATTATAGATAGGAATGAGGATTAAAATTTCCCCTGCTAACAAGCGTAGACAAGAGGTGGATGAATATTTTTTAAGTGAATATGGGAGTGGAGACTACTCCCCTGTCCCTGCCTCGGTCCACTGCCATCTTTAGACATGGATGATCTGCCTTTAATCGAATTAAAAAAAGAATTAGTCGAAATGTGTATAAATTTACTCAAACACCCCTAATCTCATCCTGACCTAACCGTTAAACTTAAAAAATAAAAAGATATGGTTCCACCTAAAGAGTGAAGGGTCTGGTCTGGACTTATGTGAGATTTTCTATTCAGCCGGACTTGTTTTGTTGGAATTGGTCCTAATACCACTTACTAAAATGGATTTGAACCTTTTCAATTTCGTAATTAATCAAATCTAATAATCTACCATTAAAATTAAGATTAATACTACCTCGTTTCCTTAATTATTTCAAATTTTTCATTTTATTTCTCTAACAATTAAAGATCTCACTTGATACTTAAATTCCTCCGAATAATAATAATAATGTGGCCAACAAGTAGACCGCATTTAATTTTATCATCCTATGCACATTAATTATTATCTTAGATCATATAAGCGGAGCGGCCCACGAAGGCGACGTCTTTTCGGCCACCATTAGACAAACGATCGCCTATAATTGGTATCGTAAGGGGGTGATAAGTACAATTCAGATATTTTAGGAGGGATTGGAACAAAGTATAGAAGAAATGTTCATCGTGGGCATTGCTTGGTTTAGAATTAGTATTAAAAAAAGAAAGATTGTCTTTGAATTGTGAACCAAGTTCATGAATATGCCCTAATTGTTTGCAATTGATCCCTAATCTATGCAACTTTGTTTCAATGTGTGGATTATGAAAGTTTTTGACATAAAAAGTTTGTGAACACATTTCCTATGTTCATGACATGTGAGTTTGTAAAGGAGTATAATTGAAGTTCTTAGTGAAACCCTATCTGACATATTTCAGTTTTTTTTTCTTTTTTTTTTGAGTGGAAATATTTCATTCATCTAATTGAACTTTAATTACAATCAAAAAGTAGAAGAACCCTAAGTTCAGGAGATGGGTTAAGTATCCAATCCTGAGGCAAAGGTTGAGCGGATCTAGAATTGGTCACCCAATGAGCCACTTTTGGTGGTGGCTTGTGGTCGGTACTTCAACTTTAGGTCCAGTGCATCGACTGTGGCTTTGATATCTCCTACAAAAGCATCTATTTCCCATGGGGGAACATCTTCACCAAGACATTACTGCATGAGGGTCTAGCAGTCACTCTTGATCATAGCTTGCTGGAGATCAAGAGACGAAGCCACAAGACAAGCCTCCCGGACAACAGCAGCCTCTGAGTAAGAGTTAGAGACAGCCAGCATTTGTTTAGATATTCTTTCAAGAAGGGCCCCATTCTCATTCTTACAAACAACTCCTGCTGTCTTCAAGGTGCTGGATTTGAAAAACTCCATTTTTAGCTTGGTCCTTGAAATTTTTATACATGATTGATGTATTAAAAAGAAATCATATTTTTCCCCAAAAATAACCCATCTTACTCTATTTATCTATTTTTCTGTCCTTAAATACCTCATCAAATCTCTCTCTTTAATAACCATTTCTTTTTAAAACTAAATTTTCTCTCTTCTAAAAACTATTTCTTTATTATGGTAAAAAGTAAAAATCCAAAGGTACCTGCAAGAAGTTTTGTCTCCAAGGGACCGTTTGTGTGGGTTTGGGAGGCTTTGAAAGATGGGTCGGAGATAAATAGTTCAAATCACAAACAAAACTCATGTTTTGATTAACAAATTGGAGTCTAGGTTACCAAGCTTATTACAAGCTCAGATCTAAATCCTAGATCATGGGTTTCATCAAACCAATAGAGGTGATTTTTGTATGAAGGTTAACGAGTATTGACTACAAAATGATAATTATACCTTTGCACACGCCACCCCCTCTTTCTTTCTTTCTCTCTCTCTCTCTCTCTGCTCATCTGCCCCTCACAAACTTCTCATCGCCGTGGCTAAACCAGCAGCAACAACAACTTCCTCCCAGGTACACCCTTCTCTCTCTCTCACACACACACTCAGACCCAGCAGCCCACATAAACAACAAACAGCAACACACACACACACAAAGCAACCCCACACACACAGAGAACACGAACAAACACACACAGAGCAGCCCCACACACGCACACAGACTACACACACAGAAATTTTATGTTTATGTTTTTAATTTGGGTGTTTAATATACTTTGTTTAATTTGGGTTATTATTTTGTGAATATTATTGTTATGAAATATTTTTTTTTTTTAATTATGAACACTTAATAATGTTTTTTTTCAATAATGTTTTTACCGATTCCACTGCTCAATGGTGTAGCAACTGATCCATTCACTGCAATGCTAACAATAAGTTTTGTCAATAATGGCTTCCCGTCGCCCAGAAGAGAAAACAAAGAAGACATACAACAAATTTCATTACAACCCCATAAGTTTAGTGTATTTATATTTTGATCCCTCAAGTTATAGAAACATCATTATTATCTCTTGGATGAATGTTTTATTGCGCTTTTATTATGGTTATGAATAATAGTTATATTTTATCAACATTCATATTTTTTTTCATAAGGTAGGAAGAAAAAATAATCAAATATGAAAATCATAAGGAACAAGAAAATGTAGGTATACAAACATGAGTTTGGATTAGATTGATAAAGGGGTACAATAGTTAATTATAGACAAATATATTATCATAATAGTGATATATCCGTGGACATACCAAACATGATTATGGACAAAATTAAATGTTGAATCTTATATTTGGAAAGAGCAATTTGAATTTTGAAGGATTTGAACAAACTAATTCAACTCCTCCCAAAAAATTATCCAAAAAGCCCCCAAAAGTCTAGTCCTACACTCCTACAAAGTAGGGTTAATTATAACATACCCCCTCGAAGTTTACGTCACATTACAATCTGCTCCCTCTGATTTTTATTTAAGCAATTAGCCCTTTTTTTGTGGGGGGGGGGGGGGGTACAGAAGCAATTAGCCCCTTCAAGTTTGGACATTACATTAATTATTGAACTGCCATTAAATCTGACCCTATAAAAGCTCACAGACGTTTACCACGTTAATATGACCTGACTTGAATTCATTAAAATATCAAACTTACCCTTTCATCTCTGTCTTTGAAAAACTAACACCCACAAACACACTACCATAATCCCACCCAACCCCCTACAACCAGTAGACGCCGCAAGTAGTAGCCCCAACCAACCTCTGGGTAGTCCCCCAGCCCACTCACTCCTTGACAAAAAATTCCACCCGTCCCATCAGCGGCATCCTCTGCTGACCAGTAACTCATCACCGCCACCACTTTTATCTCACCATTATTATCCCTAAGCCCATACTTGTCCTTTTGCGGCTGCTGTCCCTGAAACCCCTCCTACTACACATGAAAAATTCTGATCGCACACACCATGACACAAATCCGTTGTCAACCTCTCTGCCAAAGCTTTGTTTGTTGGAGCCTCTTGGTTCAATCGAAGTTAGTCGCAACCCTATTTGGGGATTCGACGGAATAGTTGCAATTTGAGCGCTGCTTAGCATTGGGTGCCGAATAAGTGGAATCGGATCTTTGTTCGTGGTGAAGCTACTACATATGTAGTAGTGATTAGCGGCTAGGTTGTGGTTGGAGGATTTGCAATGGTCTTATTCTATTTTTTCTCATTTTCTCATTCTCTCATTTTCTATGGGTTCGTTGGTGTTTGGTGATGGTTGGATGGGTGGGTGGGCGTGGCCGCGACGTCGACAGAGATATGGGGTGCTGTCGGTTTTTGCCGTCGACGGCCATGAGGGGTGGTATTGGTGTTGTCGTCAATGGCCACCGAGTTGGACAAAGGGAATAAAAAATAACATAATGTTTGGAAGGGTATTTTAGGACTTTTATATTTTCCATCCATTCTATAAGTTAATTTAATCCATTCAAATTGCTTAAATTTAGAATTGATTGTAATGTGATCCAAACATAGAGGGAGTATTTTGTAATTAACCACACTAAGTAACTTGCCAATTGACTTTTCCTACGTTGTAAGTCCACACATGTATCTTCTTCTTTTTTTTTTTTTTTTTTTTTAAGTTCAATAATTAGAGGTGTTTAAGTCAACTTACACACACCTTGATTAATCTCTTCTCTGGTCCGGACAAAAATATATCATCCATATAAAATTAGGATATGAAATTAGAATATTTATGAAGAATTCCAAGAACGAACTAAAAACATTTGAATTTACAGTATGTACTTGTTATCACTTAAGCTACCCTTGAGATTTCGCACATAAATCTATGGCATATAAGACTTTTTATTATCAAATTTACATTCAAATAGAAACATACTTATCCAGATTACTTACTTTCCAAAAAAAAAAAAAAAACTAGTCTCACAAGCAGTTTTAAGTACAATCCTTTACATAGACACCCCCAAAAGATTAAAAGACCACATCCTTGTACAAGTACTGTGATTTTCTCTTCCTTTTTTCTCACCTCTCAAGCATCAGCAGCCTTCTCCACAGGTGCAACTTCTGCACTTGCACCCACGCTTGCACGCTTGGCCTCGTAATCTTTAACAGCTGCCTTTATCGCATCTTCAGCAAGCATGCTGCAGTGGAGTTTAACTGGTGGGAGAGAGAGATGCTTGGCAATTTCTCTGCAATGTCATTGAAAATAACACCACTTAGAGACATAATTTGCCAGCAGTAATATGAAAGATCTCACAAATCGCCACTTCGAGAGGAAATAAATAGTCAAAAAGGAAGACAAAGCAACATCTATGATGAAGCATTCGTTGATTTCATAAAGAAGGAAACCTCTTCCATGTCAAATGGTGGAGAAATACAAATACTACGATAGCATGACATACACCGAATGCGAATCAAGATGCCCATAAGAAGACTTAACCGTTTTATATTCTCATTTCAATTTCCTTATAAGAATTAAGAAAGTTGTTAATTTATGTATGATAATATTTGGCTGCAAAATGTCAACCGCCAGTATATATATGCCTCTCAATTTTTTTTGTTTTAATATGTACAGCAATAGGAACATAATGGCAAAACAGGATTTAATGTAGCCAACCTCAAACGTGTTTTGGTACAAGACTGTTGAAAGAGATGTACATCAACAGGAGAGCAGGGATTGGGACCTGGGTTGTCTAGATCATCAAAAGTAGCACGTTGCCACTGAGATAAACTCATGGTTCTTTCTTTTTTTTTTTTTTTTTGGGGGGGGTGGGGTTGCCATGTACAAAAATATCCCCATTACATGAATGATTAAGGATATACCAAAAAGTGGATTATGTTCTCTCTTTTTGACTGCAGGTAGGGAAGATGCAAGAGAGAGGCTAGAGCCTAGGTGGTTTACAAATCTGAATGTTAGCGATACAAGCTGAGATAAATGTGGACATAGGGAGGCCAGGGAGTAGGGAAATTGGAAATCCTGTCCTGCTATATTTGGCCAAGTCATTACAAATCAGTTTTTTGACACAAATAGTTACTGTTCCCTTTCCCCCTTTCAATTCCTCCCACCTAAAATTGTAATTGTACTAAAAGCAGCTCATTAAATTGACTTTCACAAGAGAAGCTTCCTTCTAAATTGTTATCTGCCTCCCTTGTTTTCATAGGACAAGTATTAGGGCATCCTGTCCTCCTTTCCCACCTACAGCAATCATCATATTAAACCAGCTCATTAACTTGCCACCATTGGCTATTCTATCCCCTTTCATACCATTTCCTGCAAATCCTATTTAGATCATTTCCCCTGAACTATATATCAGGGTTAATGGCAAGATCCATGTCATACACTTCAATATGAAAAATTAAATCGAGTATACATGTGTGTGTGTGTGTGTGTGTGATGAAAAAAATTAAAAGTTGGAACTTACGTATTCTTGATTGTCAGAACTTCCTCCATTTGTCTCCCGTTCACCCATTCAGTAGCGGAAAACAAAAAGTTAGTCGTTAGCGATGTCCAAGTGCCTAAATCCCCACAACAGTTAAGCACAGGATCTAGACTAACTTTTAGGTAGAAGATTTTCAAACAGATATACAGAAAAGAAAGTGTATGCAATAGAGCATTTAACAACCTAAATGGGGTGGCTCCCGTTGCAATAGTTTCATGCCAGGTTGCAGAAACAAAATATAATTGAATTAAGACCTCAAACTACCCTCTAATATGGGATAGACCATATTATAAAATGTGAAATTTCCAATAGCCCTCTGAATCCAACAGCACATGAACATGATTAGCGAAAATATCAGTGTGGCCCTTTATGAGATAGTTGACTGCAAGAGTAATGCTTTCAGCAAGACAGTTCTAGAACAAGTCCTGTAAGTTCATTTGCCGCCCCCAAATATAATAGCTTAGAACTGTGTCAAATGAAGGCACAAAATCCATAAAAAAGAACAACATATTTGTCATTGCCATCATTGAAACATGACTAATCCCCATATATTTGCAGCTATTTGATTCAAATGGGAAAACAACCCATGCCAAAATCACATATACAGGTCCCAATGTTAATTAGCCTACATCCAACCACTGTAAGTAGGAAAAGAGGGAAAGGGGGTGAGAGGGGCTTAAACCTCTGGAGAGAGAAAATGATGATCACTTTTCTTGCAATAAACTAGGCTCAAATTTTTCCCAACAGTATGAAATAACGCATTTTTTGCTCAAACGCACATTTATGAACAATACAGAATAAAAAGCAGATAACCCAAACAAAACAAACAATAAGCTATCAATTAGGCATTTCAATTAAAACAAACCATTAACCAATCACCAATCCTACTCCACCTTCCAAGCAACCCATTCCGAAATACTAAAAAATTGATTAATTTCAAAGAAATATTTCCTGTCAAAGTATTTTGGAGCAAAAGACAATGGAATTAGCCCAGCCCAGCTCAGAAATTTACCAGTCAAAACACTGGAAACTCATCACAATTAACAGACTTGTTGGAAAATTAATCTCTCTCAGACCACTATATACCGCAAAACAAATTGATACACCTATAAACATAAATGAAAACACAAGAATTTTCGAACAAATTTCGAAAGACTAACCCACAGATGCAGATGCGATGGCCGAACCACAACCGAAGGTCTTGAAGCAAGCATCGACGATCTTCCCCGTCTTGTCATCGACTTTAATCTGAAGCTTCATGACATCGCCACACGCTGGTGCACCGACGAGCCCAGTTCCGACCGTTGGATCGGTCTTGTCGAACGAGCCTACGTTTCGTGGGTTGTTGTAGTGGTCCACCACCCTCTCGTGATAAAATCGCGGCAGAACCTGCACCGCCGGTGATCGGGACTCTCCGAGAAAGCCCAGACCCAGAAGTTTACTGGTGGATTGCCTCAACATTTTGGGTGATTTCTTTCGAGCTGATTGAAAATGAAATAGATTTGATTTGCAGGTTAGGGTTTGTGGTGATATGATAAATGTGTGCGTGTGGAGAGAGAAAGCAGGTTGGAGAATATATATATTTTGGGAGAGACAGGTGGCGTAATATTACCCAACCTTTTATAATGGAAAGAAATTTACAACTTATCAACAAAAATAAGCATAACCCCACGTCACGCAAATTGATAATAAAAATTTTAATTTTAGCATAAATAATCTATCTTTTACTAAATTAAAAAAGAGATTAATCAAAATACGCGTAAACTAATCCAAAAACCCTTGACGTTAAACTATCAACAAAACAACAATAAGTATTGAATTTTATGCTCGCATTTTTTCGATCATTCCTATTATATCACTTATTTCTATCACAAATTAAATTTTTTTATTTAAATTTTTTTATTTTTTTTATTTTGTAGCTCAATATATTTTTAATTTTGAATATTACTCATATACGATAGTGTACACATATCAATCTTTTGATATTCGAATTTTATATTGTATCGTATCTTCAGATACGAGTTATTATTAATTTAGTTATATGATATTTTAAATTTTCATCTAATAAAAATATAACACATTTATAAAATATTTTTATTTTTTCATTCAATTATTAGAAATTATCCAAATTAAAATCTCCAATGGTGATTAATTTTTGTACGATAATGACGACAATTTTGTTCATGATATGCAAAATTGAAAATAATATGACCAATAAATACAAATAATAAAATATGTGAGATTAAGATTAAAGGCAAATAATACGATTGATTTATATTACAGGCCAAAAAAAATAGTACTTTATATATTTTTTTATTTTTTTTACTTGCTACCATATGAGGTGTTTTAGAATTAAAATAATTTTTACTAATAGGAACGCTAAAATAACATGATTCGAAATGACATGGAGGAATTGACACCCCTATACCAACAATATAGAATAAAATGAAATTAAAATTATTCCCTCCTAAAAATTCTTTTAGCACTATCCTGCATCAATTTTGGTATTCTTGCTAGTACATGGTCCATTATTGGGATATTTACCATTAGAGGGCGCCGAAATGAATTAGTCCATCACTGCTTGACGTTATCCAACGATTCATATGACATGCTAAATTGAAAAAATTGAACATGATAAAAGATTCAAGTCAAATTGTAATATATACAATTGAACTTGAATATATAACTCTTAGAGGTGATCCAATAATTGAATAAATCATTTAATAATTTAGAGATCTCAGGTTCAACCCCTTCTTGCACCTCTAGGGACTAATCACCCTTGTCCCTTTAGAGACATACTTTAGACCAGCTCAATCCACCGATAGCAACATGTACATATGCAAAGGATTATGCACAGCTCAATGTACCATGCTACCATGAATCACTTGCATTTCCATTTTCCCCCCATTTTGTCCAAAATTATTCCCCAAAATCGGTAGACGATACATTATGTGTTTTCGAAAATACAATTTAACCAAGTTTTAACACCAGACATGGATCATTGTCATCCAAGATCATCGCATTTCTAGCCGATAATCATTGGGATCAAGAAAATAATAAACCGCCCCCAAATAAAAGGAACAAAAAGAAAAAAGGGAAGTCTAGTGGAGATCCCTGCCTGAAAATTCAACTAAAATCCTAAATATGCCAATGTTGATTATCTTAATAAAAAACAAAGTTTACTTCAAAGGAAAAACTACCAATAAAGTTACCAGCAAAAAATTTTCAATTAAAGAAGTTCAAGCTGTCTTGGGCTTTGACTTAATCCGCTTCACCCTTGAATAAAGAAACACTCCAGCAAGGGCCACTCCAGTACCTGTGCCATACAACCAACAGTCATATTAAAACAGCGGGCACCCAATTTCTTTCAATTTTTTTTTTTTTTTTTAAGATTTTGGCTATTCTGTGGGAATCAAATGAAAGAAACTATACCAACAGAGTTGATAGGTGAAACAGGTGTGCGGAAGAAGAGAACGGAGGTAACGATCACCACCACCCGCTTCACACAGTTACCCACAGAATGGGTAACTGGAGATACCCTCTGCAATATCATATAAGAAACCTGCACCAGCAACCTCAAATCAGCGTTGTCAAAAGGCAGGCAGCCTTTCTAATAGATTGTAAGCTTCTCGGCATTCATCTGGCATATAACTTCATGGAACGTTTTGAAGAATTTCTACAGTAGTAAAATGTTTAGACTCCACAAGAGGGGCTGGAGGCTCTAAAATTTATGTTATCCAGCCTCTAAAATTTATGTTATATGGGACCTACTGTATGTTGCTTTAGTTTGAAACAGTGTTATAAGCCTTGTGTCCGGCTAGTGGCTTTCTTCCAGATGCACAATTTGCATCTCTGTATTAACAACACAAAACACTGTTTTCCTTTCCCCTATATTAACACAAATTTCAATAAAATACTGTAGCTCTGCTACACGTAAAGATAGTCTGATAATACAATTAGTATACCCCACCAGATGTATGGTATGGCATTTTCAATAATTTAATAGACTTTCATTCTCTTGAGGTTGTACATCCTATGCCTAAGCTGTAAAAGCTCACTGTAAAGCCATTTGTTCAAGCCAAGTCATGGGTGCTATCAGTTTGTTCACCATGAAAAGAAAAAGACAACGAAATCCCTATCAAGGGACTAACAAAATCATGAAGCAAGGACGTCTATTTGCATTACGTAGATAAGTTGGATACAGAGTTGTTATCTAAGTTCAGTCAGAGTTATGCATACTACGCATATAGTTTGATTTTCCCCATTCTAGTACTTGCTACGTCTAGTAACGTCTATTTATCAAAAGATATACACAGAGAGGAGAACAAATACACAGTTAGCTAATTTAAATGGTGGGTGCCAAATGAGTAGATTTTCGAGTGATTGCTGTAACAGAAATGCATATAACACTTGGTTATGGATAAATAAGCATTTATTTCCACCCATCTTTACACAAGATATACTGTCCTGAGAATGAGAAGTGGTCCTATAGGTTTAATGCATGAGATCAATCGTCAGGAAAAACCTTATTAACTTTACATATTTCCAGCATTCAAATATCAGCAGGAAGTTCTGAGTATCATATTTTCAGAATTCAACCAGAACCAGATATAAAAATTAGGACGTGTGCTAGAAAAGTAAACAAAAAAATTTCCGTACAAGTGACAGAAAGGAAGTGGAAAAATACATCACTTAAAATGCTTACCTGCTGATATGCATGGAAGCAAAGAGCAGCAATGAGAGACCTAGTGTATATCTGTCTGACATTCAATTCCTGACAAGCCAACAATAAAGAAATCAGTAAACCAAGATGAAAGATACCATGACTGCAAAGTATAAATATAACAAATCAGTAGAAATTTCTGCTCTTAAATTTTACTCACAGCAGATTGCAGGTATGCAGGAGTGAACTTGACTCCTTCCATAAAAATGGCAGCAGGTGCCAACAAGATGAAGGACATAATTGTTATTATCGAGAAGAGTGTAATGTTATCCAACGATTCCTGGTTAAGAACAAACTACTGGTTATGTACAAACCAAAAAAAAAAAGAATAGCAAAACTAAAACCAAAAAATTATCTTCTTAAAAGGCAAAAGAGTAACAATAGACCCAAAAGAAAACACCACATGACAAAATGATTTTCTTCAAGTCTTCGACTAATTTCAAGAGAACCTAAAATCTATGAAGAAAATAAACAGTGCTCACTAAATATTTGCACTCCACTAATTAACGCCATCATGATTATGGCATATGCAAATAGTAGTGAAGAATACCTCTTTCTTAACCATGAACTTTTTGCTGAGGACATTGCGGGATTGATTCGTCAAATTGGAAGCCATGGCACTCCAAAACCCAGCCCTGTTTACATTTACACAATGAGATCACATATCAAAATCCAGTATAATCATTCCCTTAATTGTTACATCAAAATAAGCAAAGCTGCACTGATTACGCATGGATTGCGGGGGGGGGGGGGGGGGGTATAGTGCATGTGCATCCTCACCAATTAAAAGAGGCCTCAGTCATTGATGCCAAAGCCACTCCACCAACAATTGGGACAAGGGAAGAAACTACCCAGAGGGTAGGAAACTGTTCAAGCAGAGCAGTTAGGTGGAAAAACAGAGCAACTCAGATGAGAACAATATCAAAGCTTCAAATCAACAATTCATCCTCTATGCGTTGTGCCATGGGCAGCAACAATGATCAAGCCAGTAAAGCCCATCATTTTCACATAATATTTTGAAAAATAACTTTTTCCATCCAAGTGTTATTCAAATTGGCAACAGAAATTCAAACTCCAGTATAAGCAATGATGAAGTGAACCCCAAATGTGAGAAAAATACAGAAAAGCGTATGTAATGCGCACCTCTCCAAGAAACATAGCAGAGAGGACAACGGAGAAGAAGGGCTCCATAGCTTTAATCGTGTGAGTGAACGAAACAGAAACTTTTCCAAGACTCATGTTAGTGAAAAGGTTGCCTAACGTGTGCACCACTGCCAATGGAAGGATAGCTGCAAGCTGCCAGATGGATATTCATAAGCAGAGCCAGTACCAAAAATAGATAAACTGAACACAAAATACGACAGTTTCAGCACCTATTGAAGTACCTGTGAACCACTGATCTTAGGCCGTTTGTAGAGATTAAACATCCACATCAACGTAACAAGGACAGTCCCAACAGCAAATTGAACCAAAGTGACAGTTACTGGATATTGAAAGACTTTCAGAACCTGTAAGCAATGAACATCATCAATTATGTTATCCTTCTTATAACAGGAACTTCAACACTAAAATTTTTAATTTACAGAAGTCGATTCTAAAGTCATGTAATGACAGAATTATGATTGATATAATGACTAAAAGTCACAATTTACTCTGTTTTCAGCACATTGAACACTTCTTTCTACATTTCCTCAAGTACTGATGTTAATTCAAACAATTTTTAATATTGTAACATTTCGTGCTTTTGATCTGTTTTCAAAATTAACTTCTTCACATTAGGTCAGAGATTCGTATACTTGAAAACCAGCGCTAATTAAGCAAAAAATCTATTTATAACCCATCAATTGTTACCACAACAACAATTACCTCAGCATAGGATAAGTCATAACTTACTCATACAGCCATTGCACGATAAAATTTGTTCATTACCGTATTCTAAATTTATATAGCTTGATTTCATATATTTTACAGAACAAACAAAGAAAAAGAAAAACCAAATTTGAAGTATATGACAGTTTAGAAAGTCTCAGACTAAAATATCTTAAAAAACCTATAGTAATTATGTTACAAATATGTATATGTGATTCCACTTAATAATGCCATGAAGCACATTGTTCCACAAATCTACAAGATACAGACATGCAAGCACACCAAACATATAAGTGCATAGATACAAGTGCATGTGCGAGTATAAACAGATCAAGCAATAAAAGCAAATCAAGAAGCCTTGAAGAAGAAAAACGCGTACCTGCTTGTTGTAGATATTGAAGTAGATGTTGAAAAGGTACCAAAATCCAAACAACGACCCGAGCACCAATGTATCAGGCAATGCTTTCGACTTGGGAACCTCTCCAGCGCTCTCAGGCACCGACGTTGCCCTGACCTCAACACCTTCCGATTCGCGTTCCGGCACAAGCGAAGGAGCCGAAATCCATCCATCATTCGGTCTCGACGAAGACGAACAACTGATTGAAGGCAGTCGACGAGACAGCGCTACAGAGCCAAAACCAAGTGATCTCGAAGGCGACAATTGAGATATAGGGTTAAATCCATAGAAAGAGCTGGGGTGGTTTGAATTTGAAGGCTTTCTAGGCTTGGTAAGAGAAATCGACGGCGAAAATGAAATTGCAGAGCTCTGCATTTTCGAGATTCGGATCAGATATGTGTGAGTGCGTGTGTCTGTGTGTGTGAGAGAGAGAAAGAGAGAGCGTTGAAGGCTCCGTCGCTGAACGAGGTGGATTTCAGGAGCATAGAAAGGACTAAGGAGAGTTAGGTGAAAGAAAGAGTAGCGGAATCCGAAATGAAGGATATTCTCGTGATTGGGATCTCAAAAAGCGATAATTTGAATTCTCGGGGTATTATGAGATGGCTGGTAGGCCTTGTTGTTGGAAGGTGGAAAGAAATTAGGTGGGTTGTCTATAATTATAGGTCTCAAATTGATCGAATTTTGGTCAATTTAAATCCGAATTGAAATCCTTAGGCCTGTTTAGTAATTCTAATCCAGAAATGGATATTTCATTGCATGTAAAGTGGTATCTGACTTTAAAAAATTATAATAATCTTTTATTTAGTATTTGATATCTGATGATGTAGAAAATTGATTTGTACACCACCTGTCAATTGAGTAATATAAAATGCAATAAGTAGAGGGAGAGAGAAAACAAGGTTTATAATAATTCACCCAATGAGACCTATGTCTACTTTCAATGGCTAGGTTGGCCAGAAATTTTATTGACTCCGATACGTTGGGAGAGCAAAAATTACAAGAGAGAAGGAGATGAGCTTGATTTTGTTGAGATGCCCCCCAAGTATTGGAGGAGCTTACAATTTATAGAAGTCTGTGTAGTAATTGAATAGCTTGACGGTTATAACGGACCAGAGGCAACTTAATAGCTGATGACCTCTCCTCTTCCTCAATGGGTAAAGGTATAGCTCCTGAATGCTCCCGTAGCTCCCTAATGGGCTTGACCGTCTTGGACCTTATAGGGCTTGTTTAGTCTTCTATAAGCTTGGGTTTTTTCCCATGGATTGGGTCATTTTGGCTTGACCGATCATTTGCCCCCCAATGCCCCATGTCTAATGAAATTTGGAGAAGTGGTTATTCAACTGAATTTGAATTATAACCCAAGAATACTCCTTACCCGCTACATTCATGTTGCGCTATGACAGCGAGGATCGACCTGCCCGAACAGGTCGGGGGGTTCCACCTGCCCAGTTAGGTGGCGGGGGCTCGGGGGCAGCACCCTCGGACTTTAAAACGATTTTTTGAATTACATACCAAGGCTCCTCCTTCTTTTCTGATATATATTTTAGCTTTGTAGGACTCCTCCAGCTACATAAACTCTTCCTTTTATTCCCCCTTTTGAATTCTAGAAAAGCCTTTGGTTTTGAATTGGGCCTTTTTGCCTTTTCCTTGTTTTCAAAAAATCCTAGGTATAAATAGTAGCTCTCTCCACTTTACTCATTCTATTGAAACTTGAGAAAGTGAAAAAGGGTTTTTATTTCCAAGACTCCTTCAAGATATTGTGTCAGGAATCCATGGCGAATGAAGGAAGTAATCATGGGGTTGTTGTTGTGATCCAAGGAGAGATGGAGGATGAGGTAGACGCCAGCGTGGAGATGCTTGGGACATCCGTTGTCACTGCTTGCGCATCCATGGTGTTATCCGATGTGGGGGCGGCTATGGCGGAGGAGCAAGTTGTTATGGTTCATGATGGGTGATTAGCCCTCTGCAATAGGCAACCAGCTGATGTGTTGGGCGAGCAAGGCAGGACGAAGGAGAGAACGAGGGAGCCCACTGCATCGGGCAAGCAGGCGCTGGGCGCCGCTACGAGTCGCGCAAGGGGCGTGCAACTCAAGTGGCAAGCGAGCAGGATAAAAAGTTGGGTGCTTTGGGTGCTGATTCAAATAAAAATCTGAGCGCCACTTTAGGCGCTGGACTGGACAGCTATCTAGGCACTACACTGATTGGTCTGGGTGAGCACAATGTCCGTGTGATAGGGCAAAGGTGTGGGCAGAGGAAGGTTCTGGCTTCTGGTGTGCTGGGCAGCCCATTAGGCAAAGGAAAAGAGAGGAAGGAGGAGCCCTTGGGCGTTGCTTCCACGCACAGGACAGCTGCGCGTGTCGCTCAGGAGTTGGGCGAGCATGGGGATTCTTTAGGCGAGCCTGAGGCTGCCTTAGGCGCCCCGACTTCTCAAGGCCTCCCTCGGAATGGCACCGGCCACACTTTGCGCTCTCACAAGAAAAAAACAACGAAGCAAAGTAGTTGATGATGGGTCCAAAGTAAATACCATATCTAGCACTTTAGATACGAATGCCGATATTTTGCGAATTATCTCCGCCTACCACATCCCTCTGACTGTGCTGTGCCGTCGAGTCGAGATGAATGAGCCTACCTTTGATGATTCCTCTGGTGACATTGTCATCTATGAGAAAATTCTAGAGGCTGGGCTTAGGTTCCCTATATCTCCTTCCATTTGCAGTATTCTTCATTATTTTTCCCTCACCCCGGGGCGATTGTCACCCAATGGTTGGAGAATCCTGTTGGATTTTCTTGTATTGTGGAGGAAAGTGCACCATGAGGATGTCTCTCCTGAGGAGTTTCATGGAGCTTATACTTTGAGCGAGACCCCCGCTCCCAATTGAGGTTGGTATTACTTCACCACGAGAGACAAGTTGATTACCAGTCTGCGGTCCAATTGCCATAGTTGAAAATCTCACTTTATATTTGTCGACGGAGAGTGGGCTGCAGAGGCCAATCAGGCTTTGGTACCGAGAGGATGGGATGTCCCTAAGAAACTTGGTATGTCACATATTTGTTTTCTCTCTTCTGCTCTTTTTTTTTTTTTAACTCATCATTCCTCTTACAGATCCTCCTATGCTCTCCAAAGACCAAGAGTGGAAATTACAAGCCGTGAGGGCTCATCCTAACAAGGACTTGGGAGTCCTTTTGCCCAAGGATGCTAGGAACATTACTCCCTCCCTGAAGTCTGGTGACTCCTCTTCGAAGAGGAATGGTGAGTTGATTCTTTTGTACCTTCTTTTTTTACTTGGTGTTTTTCATGTGAGTAATACTTTATTTTTTTTGGAGCAGTAGGTAGGGAGATGATTGGGTCTCGCCTTTCGAGTAGGAATCCTCCTCTTTCTAAGGTGGTGAGGACAGAGGATGCCTCCCAGGCGACCTTTCCAACAATGCTGCCCGAGATGAGCTCTCCTTAGTCAACCCCTCTGGCACCTCGAGCGTCCTCCCATCAAGTGACCAATCTAGGGGTGCCTCCTCGGTTAGATGCTCCCATAGCTGCACCTCCTACCCCAGAATCTCGTCTAGAGTCTCGTTTATTGGCCACACCTTATGCTCCTCATTCATTCATTCCTCCTGTGGGAACTTCTTCTAAGGCACCTTCTCAGATTAACTCCATGCTAGGTAATGCGCAAGTCATTAAGGATCATATTGGAAAGTTTTTGTTCACCAACAATGTGAATGGGATTAGTGTCTTGGGCACCGAGGGGATCCTCAACTCTTTCCTAGAAGGCTAGGCTCATGTAAGGGTTTGTTCTCCCTCCCTTTCTCCCTTCCTTCCATAAGTTTCTAACATTCTTTTACCTCATGTTTCTTTTTAGGCCTCCACTGTAGCTATGTGTTTATTTTCAAGAACCCTTATTTATCACAAGCTAAAACATGATCACGAAATGGTGCAAAATGAGCTTCTTGTTGGTCAGAGGAAGATCACCGAGCTTGAAGCTACTGGCAAGGCTTCTGATGCTGACCTTGTGGCAACCCGCGAGAGGGCGACTAGTATTGAGATCGAGCTTTTGACAACCCATAGGAGGGTGTTCGGGCTCGAGGCTGAGCTTGTTGAGGTCTGTGAGAGGACCATGCTCAGTGAGGTTGAGCTTTCGACGACCCATGGGAGGGCGGCCAAGCTCGAGGCTGAACTTACGGAGGCCCGTGAGAGGGCCATGCTCAAAGAGGCTGCCGCAGAGGCAGAGGTGAAGGCAGCTCATGAGAGGGCTTCCCAGGATGAGGAGTGGGTTGTAATAGTTGAGAGGGACTTTGAGAGTGGCCTTGCAGACGCCTTTTATTGACGGTTATGAGGAGCTTCGGAGAAAGATTTTCACTACTTTTCCCGATATTAATGTCTTAGGCTTCTTGCCAACTGAGGCACCTGATGACAATGGTGGATATTCTGACGATGCTGAGGATGACGATGAGGAGGAGGATGACGACCATGAGTAGTTAGCGTGCTAGAGACTTTTTGGTTTTTTGTTTTATTTATTTATTTTTTATTTTTTGAAAAGGTAATTTGCAGCCATACTTTTATAAAAGTGATTTTTGTCACTAATGCTACTTTGAAGCTAAGAAGTTGAATATGAAAATGCAAAGATCTTTTTGAAGTAAATCTAGAAATTTTATTCATTTTTCTGCTCATATAAAGCAATATTGGGTAATAGCCCCACAAAAGAGTAAAAAATAAAATCAAGTCCCCAATTTTTCTACTCTCTCAAGGTGTCATTGATAGTACCTCTTCAAGTGCTCCAAGTTCCATGGATGGGGTAAGACCTTACCCTCAGAATTTTGGATCTTATAAGTGTCTGGCCTCACCACTTCTGTTATGAGGTATGGTCCTTTCCAATTTGATCTCAGCTTTCCTTCGCATGAATCTTTTGTGGCGAGTATCACTTTCTTAAGGACCCAGTCTCCTGGTTGAAAGGAACGAGGCTTTACCCTCGAGTTGTAGTATTTTACCATGCAACGCTTGTACTCCACATTACAGACCATAGCCATCTCCCTTGCCTCCTCTACCAAGTCAAGGTTAATGCGGAGTCCTTCCTCATTTGTGACGGGATCGTGGTGTTGGACCTTTAGAGAGTGCACCCTCGATTTCCACATGGATGACTGCCTCAGTTCCAAAAGCAAGGGAGAATGGAGTTTCTCTAGTTGGAGCTCTTGGTGTGGTGCGGTAGACCCATAAAACACCTGAGAGCTCGTCAACCCAAAGATTCTTCGCCTTTTCAAGCCTGATCTTTAGGTTGCGTAGCACCGTTCTCACCATAACTTCCGTTTGTCCGTTCACCTGCGGGTGCGCTGGGCTCGAATGAGGCTACTTTATTTGAAGGTCAGAGCAGAAGGAGTTCAGGAGCTTGTTGTCAAACTATTTAGCATTATCACTAATGATGGCGTGGGGTATCCCGAAGTGACAGACCAAGTTTTTTCAAATGAATCTTTTACTTTTGCATCTGTTATCTTTGCTAAGGGTTCTGCCTTCGCCTATTTAGTGAAGTAGTCCACCGCTACCACCACAAACTTACATTGTCCTCTACTGAGAGGTAGAGGGCCCAAGATGTCGATGTCCCATTTGGAGAAGGGTCATGGACTTGTAATGACCGTGAGTTTCTCTAGTGGTTGTCTGGGCACAGTGGCGAAGCACTGACACTTGTCACACTTTTGGCGAATTTCTAGGCATCCCTCATCATGGTAGGCTAAAAGTAACCTTGTCTGAGTGCCTTGTGGGCAAGGGAGCGCCCTCCAGAGTGATTTTCACAACCTCCTTCATGGATCTCCCGTATGGCATAGTCAGCTTCTTCAGGGGAGAGGCATCGCAGTAATGGTAAGAAGTAGCATTTCTTGTACAGGATGTCTTGTAGAACAATAAACTTGGAGGCTCTCATCTTGAGCTTCCTGGCTTTTAGAGGGTCCTCTGACAACACACCTTCCTGGAGGTATGCACTTATCGGGGTCATCCAGTTTGACTCAGCGGATGCACAATTGATGTTTATAGCTTCCATATCTAACTTGCTTGGTCCGAACTGGTGACCAATGAATGTTGGTTCTCTTGGTGGGGCTTCCAAGGATGAGACGAGTCTAGCAAGTGCATCAGTGGCTATGTTGTCTTCTCTTGGGATGTGACACTGAAAGTATTGGAACTTTGTGATCAAGCTTTTCACCATGCTGAGGTATTCCTGCATTCTGGTTCCTTTTGCTTCGAACTCGCCCTTTACTTGATTAACGATCAGTTAAGAGTCACTATAGGTGGTGAGGTGGTGGACTTCTATTTTAGCCGTCAATCTTAATCCAGAGAGCAGGGCTTCGTATTCTACCTCATTATTGAAAGCAGTAAAGTTAAGCTTCACTGCATAATTGAAGGGAGTACCGTCTGGGCTGATCAAGATCAGGCCTGCTCCTCCTCATTCGCTAGTCAAGGAGCTATCTACATAGAGCTTCCAAAGTGGTAGAGAAGAAGGCTCAGAGATTACACTAGGAGCCTGGACGCTAAACTGAGCCCCTGAGAATACCTGGGCGCCTGAGGTGGAGAGCTAGGTGCCTGGAGAGGAGATCTGGGCGCTTGGGAGTGTTTGGAAGCTTAAGGAGGAGAGCAGGGCACCTAGAGGAGAGAGCTGGGCACCTGGAGAGGAGATCTGGTCTTTAGGAGGGGCCTGGGCGCCTGCCCTGGGCGTCTGGGCACCTGTGCTGTCTTGGGTGCTTAGTTTGGATGCCTCATTATTCTCTTTCTTCTGCTAGTGTAAGCTCGGCAATAAAATCTACTAATGCTTGTGCTTTGATGGCCGCCCTTGGTTGGTATTGAATGTCGAACTCCCCAAGTTCCATTGCCTACTTGAGGAGTCTCCCAGATACATCTGGTTTCCTAAAACTCTTTTTAGAGGCTGATATGTGATCACGACAACGATGTGACTCTGAAAATAATGTTGTAAATGCTTAGCTGTTGTGATGAGGGCGAGTGCTAGCTTCTCTAGCCCTGAATACTTGATTTTTGTTCCTCGATAGGCTTTGCTCACATAATAAATAGGCTTTTGTACTACATCATGGTTTCGGATAAGGACGGAGCTCACTGCCAATACGGAAGTAGAGAGGTACAAATATAATGTCTCGTCTGGTGTAGCATGTGAGAGGAAAAAAGGTGTAGCCAGGTAGGCCTTAAACTTTTGAAAGACTTCCTCTACCTCAGGTCCCCACTCAAATGCTTTTCGGAGAATTTTGAAAAAAGGCAAACATTTGTCTACAAACTTGGAGACGAACCTATTTAGTGCTGTAATTCTCCCATTGAGGCGCTGGAGCTCCTTGGTCGAGAAAGGTGTTTTCATGTCGAGAATGACCTTGATTTTGTCGGGGTTTGCCTCAATTCCCTTTTGGTTGACCATAAAACCCAGGAGCTTTCCCGATCCAATGCCAAAAACGTACTTCTCGAGATTTAGCTTCATGCGGTATAATCTGAGAACATTTAAGGTTTCCTGGAGGTGGTCAATGTGGTCT